TCTATCTATCTATCTATCTATCTATCTATCTATCTATCTATCTATCTATCTATCTATCTATCTATCTATCTATCTATCTATCTATCTATCTATCTATCTATCTATCTATCTATCTATCTATCTATCTATCTATCTATCTATCCAACCCCCCATCATAATATCACTTTTTTGTCCTTCCCCCCGAAAGGAATTCTGTCCACCTTTCTGCAAATGTCAAAACAATAATGAAACATTAGCCGACATAAAAAGATTTTACAAGCTAAAATCCAACAAACAGTTTACAGTTGCATATAACCTACTTTGTGCAAGTTTGTTGGCTCTCTTTGAACTTAAATTTGCAAACTTCATATGGCCTTTCCTTCCCTCTCTGCTACTTGGTTGTTTGCGCTTTGCATTTAAACTATTTGGTGCGTATTGGATTATTCCCGATAGTGAGACAATAAAACAGCACACATTACACAATAAGCTTGTAAGAAACATCATTCTTATGGATTTAATGTTTTATTTTCAAAGCTATGTTTTGGCGTTGCTCATTCTTCTGAGGGTACACTCTCAGTCCTTATTGAGTGGTAGATTTCCTTCATGGCTGTCAAAGTATGCCACATGACATAATGTTGATGAATATGTAAGTGAACCGACATGTGCAGACACCTCATAATGCATTTTTGCACCTAATTACATGGGAGCCCTCTGGTCGCGCATATGCAAAGACAGACACAGATGCACGTCAGCGTATGTGACTTCTCAGGGCTACAGCAGAATCCATTGGGAGCTGGGATCAATCTCTCTGACCTTTTCCTTGTGGTAACCTGCAGTGTTCAATCTCTCATTATTTTCACAATAAAAGGGCAGCTTTTCCGGCAGCAAGTAGCCTGGATGGATCATCAGAATCAGAATCATTTTATTAGCCAAGTATATAGAACACACAAGGAAACAAACAAAGAATTTGTCACTGGTAGTATGGGCTCCACTAGTATTGCAATAACAAGTAACTCCGATTAACGAAAACATTACATATAAGTATCGAAAGACTTTCCATAATGTAAGAGTACCATTGTGCAGTAGTACCACCTGATGAGCTTTGTGACAATGTGCAGTGCCATCGAGCAGAGAAAAAGCGATCAGTGGTGCAATAGAATTCTATGACGGTTGCGCCGTTGCTGCAGATAATGGTTGTACCATTTTTAAGTGACCAGTCGCAGTTATTGTCGTACAACTTCAGATGTACAATTATATAGAAAGTCCTTGAGCACTTTAAAGTGTCTGGTGCTGTGGAATATTGATCAATGACAATTGTTTAAGTACGGTACGTAGAGAGCTGGAGGTACAATGATCACCGCGGTAATACTGTTCCACGGGGGGTTACAATAATGCAAAGAGCTACTATAGATTTGAGTTACTGTTTAGGGAGTTAATGGCGAGAGGGAATAAGCTGTTTGAATTTCTACTGGTTTTGGTGTGCATGGTTTGATAGCGCTTACCTGAAGGGAGTAGTTGGAAGAAGTGGTGGGCAGGGTGTGAGGGGTCCAGTAGGGTTTTCCGTGCCCTTGTCTTGGTTCTTGCGGTGTGCAAGTCCTCGAGAATGGGTAGGGCGCTGCCAATGATATTTTTCTGCAGTCCTAATTTTCTGTTGCATTCGGATTTTGTCTTTTTTTTTTGGGCGGCCCCGAACCAGACTGTGATGGAGGAACACGGCACTGAATTGATGACTGCTACGTAGAACTGTCTCAGCAGCTCCTGTGGCAGGCCTTGCTTTTCCTCAGCAGCCTCAGGAAGTACATCCTCTGCTGGGCCTTTTTCAGGATGGAGTTAATGTTGGCCTCCTACTTCATGTCCTGAGATACTGTGATTCCCAGGAACGTGAAGGTCTTGACGGTTGACACAGGGCAGTTGCATCATGTGAGTTGGCTGCGCCAGAGCGCCACGTTCTCCTCTTCTTGTCGGTAGGCAGACTCGTCGCCGTCTTCTCAGTTTCTACTTTTGTCTCTCATGCCAGAAACCACGTTGTGCTTTGTCAAGTGAATTTCGTAAAGCCTCCAACTGAATATACATTTGCTATTGCATCAGAGTGCCCCCACAGAATAAATGATGCTCTTTTTCACAATTCAAGTCATAAATTATGTTTGGCCTGCATCTGCCTACATCGTTTAAGCTTATTTTCTGGTTATATGGTGTGTTATCATCAGCAGAGACTTATGACTGTGGAAAAAATGCAAGAGAAGGTTCACAATACTCCAGACAATATACTGATGTGCAGTACATTGCATTGCATTGCAAGATTTACTTAGAGCAGTGTTTCCAAATATTTATTGAGCCAAGCAAAAGATAACATTATCACAAAATATTGTAAATTGATCTGAGGCCGAACTCGTCTCAATTTACTCAGTGTGAAATCTGGGTCTGTTTAGTTGAACACAAATCTATTATTCCGTTGTATCCTTGGCAGCAGGTAGATACACAAGTTAACAGTACCTTCTGACATCTAATGGGGGAAAATGTTTCTGCCTGTCATTCTACATCTCTGTCATACATAGCAATGATACATTATTTGTTTGTAAATAGTCATTTCCAGACCAATTAAGTGCAACTGCATAATTTCCAATTGATTTTTTACAGCTCACTGTCTTGTCACAGTGGTGGAGAAATGCTGCCTTAAAACATTCCTTGCAAAGTTAATAACCATTTGTTTTATGGTGACAGTTTAAGCTTGGAAATGTTTGCTTGTATACTAGTTTAAAATCCGAACAATCTGTCGATCGACCATTCTCACAGATTAGCATGTTTGTCATTGGAAATTCCACTGCACTGTATTTTGACAAGTTTCATGTATGCTATTATTGTATTTTAGCCCTATCTAGCTAACTAAAATGCTAGAATGATGCTCTTCGTGACCAATGGATACTGATGTTTTAGTGGCTAGGAACAGGCACTACAGGCTCCAAATTTAATGGACAGATTAGTGTATAGTCTTGTCAGCCACATCCAAGATCCATGTGAGAGCCAAGGGGAAGTACACTCTCCAGTGAGTAGACGAGTTAACCTCCTGCCATTTAACGAGGTTACCAATTCACTAACGAGATGATCTCACTAACAGGCTGCTGCTCCTGACACACAGACACCTCTGCCCACACACAAATGCACACAAATGCAAAAAGTCAAGTGGATTACTGTTAATAGCGCAAAGTGATACCGTGAACCATTTCTTCAGTTTTGTAGCTTCAGCTGGAGTTTATTTCCACAATCACGTGCTGTAATGGTGCTATACTTTACTTGAGAAGGGCATTATCATGTGTTGTTTGGCTTGTTCTTTGGGAATTACAGTCGAAGGCTATATCCCAAGTAACTCATGCTCTATAATAGCAAGTTGATTTTTCTGCACACAGTGTGGGAAGAGGTGGGAAGCGCAACCCATATTCTGCACCTCCATACCAGCTAAAGCATTCCACATGAATAATTTGCCACTCTCAGATCCAGTTTGGTCCTCACATATCTCCACTTCACATCATGCTGGTTCGGGAGCAAATGGAAAGTTTGGCATCTCAGGAAGATGTGAGCTTTTGTGTCAAAATATTTCCAATAAATTACCTCCACTTGAACGGCTGTGTAGAACCTATAAAAGATTTGATGTCGAAAGGGAAGATTTCAGGGAAGATTACATCATTGGTTATATATACTGAATATTTTGTTTCGGGTGTGACTGTGTCATCAACTGTATGACATCATGTATCTTCCACGCACTAATCACATGTTGGCCACAAAGCATGCAGTAGCTTATCAGCATTTCTGCACAGGATTTTTTTTTTTTTAATGTGTGAGAGTATCAGCACAGATGGTTAGTTCTGAGAGTGCACCTGTTTATATATAGCTTCTCAGTAGAGCACTTGAGAGAGAAGAAAACAAAGCAAGTCTGTTTGTTTGGCTTGTCAGTTGCTCCATCATCACACTATGGTCTTAGCTGAGACAACAGATTCCTGTGGAATTCGGCAGGTGCAACAGAGTTTGACACAGACACTCCACTCTGTATTTATGTTTCAGCTTTTATGCATAGGACCTTTGAGTTTCATGACCTTCGTGTACTTCCAGACCAATGAAAGTCTTACAACAACATGTTCCTATTAACTGAACGACTGTCAGCCTTGACTCATTATTTGTCTTGCTTGTAATATAGACTTTCTTCAAGGTCCAGAACTCATTGAATGCTTGATAATGGGTTTTTTTTTTGCCATGTGAGGAAAATGCCACAGTATTGTATTTGAGAAAGCAGTTGCCCTAATTAAATTTACTGCAACAATCTGACCTAAAACATTTGTTAAATATTGACAGTAGTCCGAGTTTAACAGTCATCAACCCTCTGTGTAATTCGATGTGTTGCAGTGCTTCGTATTGTGGTGTTATGCAAGTCTTGACAGACTGCCTCTTCAGACCTCAGGCAAAGATGATCCTTTTAGAAACGGAGAGCAGGGTTACAAACATAGCTCTGACGCCTCTCATTTCATATTTCATAACCTGTAATATAACCATCCCATTTCATTGAGCCACCTCAACGATCTGCCGCACTGACCTGATATCTAGTCTGCGTATGTTGAATTTGCTCTCTTGTGAAGGTTTTTCTGCTAGCGCCGCTAGCAGTTGTTTCAGTTTCAGTTGTGTCGGTATTTATATTTACATATAGATAATGTTCAGCGCAAACAGTGGAGGCCAAATTGTAGTCTTGCTGACAGCAGATGCTGTATGCTCCATATAAATTCTCATGGCCAGTCTATCGTGACAGATGTTTGAGTTTATATTCACACAGCACTTTTCATCTGTGTACTCAGTTTGAAAGTGCTTAATGTTGTCAAATTAGTGAAACATCTCAAACAGATCAAAGGCCACGTTTGGACAGCTTCAAAACAGAAAAAAGCTCATCAGTGTATCTAGTATTAAGTGACTTGATTTTTAATTTTAATGTATTTTTTCTTACAGTGTTCCTAATTCATGTAATCTTTTTCTTATTTTAGAAAAAAGAATGGCTCTGTTTGAACTGCCAGACACAGAGGGCTCTGTCAGGAAGTTTGGGAGATATTCCGGGCCCTGCCACACATTCTGTGGGGTCCACCATGCCACCTGCAGCATCTAATCAGCAACCACCTCAGCAGAAAGAGGCTGATCAGCAGTCAGGGCCAAGACCCCCAGGTCCTCAGCAGCAACAGAAACCACCGGGTCCCCAAGTAAGTGGCCCTGCTTCTCCTATGAAACAGGCTGAGCATTCCTCTCAAACCAAGGGGATACGTCAAGCTTCCCCTCCAATCAAGGGTTCCACCCACTCTGTTCCTTCAGCCACGGGTTCCTCTCAATCACTTTCCCAATCCAAGCGCTCAACACAACCCCAAGTCCAGAGTAAAGGACAATCTCCAAATAAAGGCCCTGCTCAAAGTAAGGGTCCCGCTCAGTCTAGTAACCAAACAAAAGGTCAGAGCCAGGCTAAAGGGCAGACTCTGACAAAGGGATCTGTGCAGCCCACTGCTCAGGTTAAGGGTTCTTTGTCTAGTGCCAAGGTTGCATCCCCCCCTAAAGCAGCACCCAATTATTCCAAGACCTCTCCCACCTCATCAAAAACAGCACCCACCCAGTCTAAACCCACAGGTACATCTCAGGTACGCAAACAGATACCGAGCCAGGAGAAGACAAAAGTCCCACCTAAATCTCTCAAGGAGGATGTCAAGGCCTCGCCAAAGAAAGCCTTGTCAGTGACTGTCACTTCACCAAAAGACTCGAAGATAGCAGAAGATGTGCAGAAGCCAAGACACCGAGAAGTGAGCTGCTTGAATCTTCGCCTTCTCTTCACTCCAACAATTCATCGTTTTGAACATTTATGATTTTGTTTCATTTGGTTGCTTGTGTCCATCTTTTTCATCATCTTCACCACAACTTTTGTTTACGTTTAGCCTTATTTTAGACAATCTATCTATCTATCTATCTATCTATCTATCTATCTATCTATCTATCCATCCATCCATCCATCCATCCATCCATCCATCCATCCATCCATCCATCCATCCATCCATCCATCCATCCATCCATCCATCCATCCATCCATCCATCCATCCATCCATCCATCCATCCATCCAACTAGCTATCAACCAGTCCTCTCATTCCTGCCATTATGGATAAACTATTTTGTCACAACACCATTTAAGTTAGTCCTATCATATTATTGTTGCTCTGCTATGCTGTAATAGTTATCACCCGTTTTGTTGAATGTATTTTGTATTAATATATGGCTTATCAATGTTTATTTCCTTTATTTGTTCATCATAATCACCATGTCCATTCTCAAATTTTCAGCAACATAAACATGTTCAATGGAAATTCAATTGTAATTTTTGTTTTTGTCCCAATTTTTGGTTTCTATCTGATCTTTTGTTCTCTGAAGCATTTTGTTAGGTGTAAGACTTTGTGAAAATCATGATATTTGGAGCATTCAATGCATGACCATAATTCTTCAACATCTTGAAGAATTCATAAGAGAATGCACCATGGTCACAATCAACCATGTGACAGAATGACATTCGTCTGTTGATGTTTGTTTCAAAGTCTGTTTTTTTACAAGCACTGTGTCATTTGTCTGTATGCAACACTGAAAGAGAAAATCAACCAAAAGGACATTTTTTTTTTTATTCTATCACAAATTAAATTGTATTGACAACCTGATCCAACCCATGAGGACTACTGAATATTGCCGGTGGGATCTATGTGAAATTTTGTATTTGGCGTGTAAAGCATTTTGGTTGATTTGATCTTATATTATCACTACCAGGATATGGTTGTTCTATCGTTGTACTGTAATATCCCCTGACATGTTTAATTAGAGGCACCATTTTTGTTTGTTACGGTGCATTTTATTCCTTATTATTGAGAACTGCTCAAAACTTGATGAAGCTTGATGAAATAGTGCGATAAAGGCTACGTATTAAAGCTTGTAATGGACCTTGCAACCAGTTAATTGAAGAAAAAATTGTGTATTTCATTGCTTCTGACTCCTCTCTGTTTATTTCTTTCAGGATCACATCAAATCAAGTACACAGAGTTTAAGTGACACCGGATATTCCTCAGATGGAATCTCTAGCTATCAAGGAGAGATTATTGGTCAGATTCATGAAGACGCGATCAAGCTCAATGAGAGGGGTGTGCCCGTTTCCTCTGAAATCACTAAGTTAGAGACATCGATGAAACCTCTATTGGAGTCAAAAACTGCATCAGACCAGAAGCATAGGCCTCATTCGCTGTCTGTTGGACAGGGACAAGGCATTAGTCCGGATGACGATGCAACAAGAGATGAATCAGATGATGAGCTCAGCTGTAAGCTTCGTCATGATTATGTAGAAGACAGCAGTGAAAGTGGTCTTTCGCCATTACCAGTGAGACAAAAGAAGTCACACAAAGATTTAACAGATGAAGAGTTTATGAGGAGACAAATTATGGAGATGAGTGCCGATGAAGATGAGTTGGAGGAATATGGAGACCAGAAGGCTAAAAAAGGTCATAAAACTAGTGGGGATTTGAACAAAGAGAGACGGCGACTCCCTCACCATTCCAGTAGTTTTGAAGATGCGGCCAAAGACTCAGCAGGCGTGTATAAGGCAGAAGAAGAGGAAGATGTTGTAATGGCTGGGGGTCTTCGCCGTTTTAAGACAATTGAGTTAAATAACACCAACAGTTATAACAGAGACATGGAAATCAGTGCTGAGCATGACCTACGAGAACCAGAACTAGAGATGGAGAGTCTTACTGGTTCTCCAGAAGAGAGATCCAAAGGAGAATATTCGTCCACTATGCCTGCTACCACTCCTAGCTACACTTCAGGGACATCACCGACATCAGTGTCATCCATGGAAGATGACAGTGACAGCAGCCCTAGTCGAAGAGCAAGACTAGAGGAAGCAAAGCAGCAGAGGAAGGCTCGACATCGCTCACATGGGCCATTGCTGCCCACAATAGAGGACTCCTCTGAGGAGGATGAGCTCAGAGAGGAAGAAGAGCTGCTAAGAGAACAGGAACAAATGAGAGATCTTGAGCAACAGAGGATTCGAAGTACTGCTCGAAAAACAAAGAGGGATAAGGAGGAACTACGAGCCCAGAGACGCCGGGAAAGATCCAAAACTCCCCCGAGTAATCTCTCTCCCATTGAGGATGCATCACCAACTGAGGAGCTGAGACAGGCTGCAGAGATGGAAGAGCTGCACAGGTCATCATGCTCCGAATACTCACCCTCAATGGACTCTGAAGCAGAAGGCTTTGAGATAATAGGTGGCAAGCTCTACAAATCCGGGAATGAATATAACCTTCCCACTTTTACATCACTATACTCTCCAAAAGAGAAGGCACCATCTATGTCTTCTGCTGATAAAACACTAAAAAGTGCAGAGGAAGTCTATGAGGAGATGATGAAGAAAGCCCAGCTCCTTCAGAAACAAGGAAAAAATGTTATGCAGCAGAAACATTCGCTTAGTGACAATACAAACCTTCAAACAGGTTCTGCCTTAACCCCTGGCTCAAGCCAAACCCATATTTCTGCACCTATGTCCTTCTCCACAACTGGAAATGACCCACGAATTGCACAACATCTTTCAAAAGAAACTCAAAACAGGATGGTGTCACAGAGTGCCAAAATTGAAGGTGTTGTTGGAGGGGTTACCACAAGCAAAATGCAAGTTAGTCACCCTGCTACAACTCGAAATGCAACTGGTGCGGGCTCCCAACGGCCAGCACAGGCATCACCTGACTCTACAACATCCTCTTTAACCTACAAAGTTTTCTCCCTTTTCAAAGGGCCTAGCCCACAAGCCTCACCCACCACCTCTCCTGTACAAAGCCCAACACATGTACCCACCGTGCGTCCCACGGGAAGTGGTGGCAGGCAGTTGCCAACACTGCCTGGCGGGCCATCATCAACTGTAGCTTCCCTTGGAACTCAAAGGTCTAGTTCACCACGCCTCGTACGACAACAGTCCTCTCAAGATTCACCAGTAATGGTCATAACACTTGGATCTACAGCTCCTAATCCTGCCAAACCGGTAACTGTAAACTCATCCACTTCACCTTTGTCATCACCAACACAGGTTTGCTATAAAACCCTTTATAGCTCCCAGCATCCATCAGCAAGTTCTCCAACTTCACCACAAACAAATTCGTTCCAGCAGGCCCCAAAACATTCTTCACAAAGGGCTCAAAATGTTGAAAAAACAAACGTTGCTAGTAGCGTACAGAGTCATGGATCACTTTCCATGGAGAATATATCTCTATGTAAAATCTCAAATATTTCAGGCACTTCAGTGGTTATGGTTCAAAGTCAAACCCATCCAGCTAATATTGTGGATCTTAGAGCCCCAATGAGATCTGCCCCAATTATAATGACAGAACAAGGAATGGATCTAACATCCTTAGCTACTGACTCAAGAAAGTACTCTTTGGGAGCCGAACAGCCATCTGTTCGGCACACGGCAGTGCAACCACTTATCATAAACCTGAATGCACAAGAGCAACCACATGTATCGGTATCAACACCAACAACAGTAAGTGTGACGGTTGCAGGTTCAATGTTCATCTCGCAACCTAAACAACCAGTTATCTATGGAGATCCTTTGCATAACCGTGTAGATTTGGGGCAGGGAGTGGGATCAGCCGTGTGTTTATCCCAGAGTAAGTCACCGGTTTCAGATCCATCTATTCCCAAAATTGATGCCTGCCTTGAAAACTTAGGTATACAACAGCAACAGCTGCAATTACAACAACAAAAGCTCCTGCAGCAGCAGCAACTTCTTGAACAACAGCTCCAGCAACATCAACAGCATTCTTCTTTTGCTCGTTACAATTTAGCTAATCAAATCCCTCCACTTGTGGTGAAGAAAGATCTCGTAGTTAGCCAGACAACCAGTTCCCAGCCTATAGTTACTGCTAGAGTAGCTCCACTGGCTTCCCAACCTGTTTGTAATGCCCCGCATGAAATCTACGGTGGAGTCGCACTAGAGCTACAGAATAAGCCGACAGTAATGAACCTGTCCACAGGAAAGCCCCATGTGATGATGGTTCAGCTTGATGAGAGTAAAACATCACAGGCAGGAGCAGTGACTCAGTTACTCAAGAAAGATGATCCTCCTCCCGTGCCTCAAGTCTTGGACTTGACTGGGCAGATCAAACCAGAAAACCAAGTTGCTTGTTGCGACGTTGTATATAATTTGCCATTTGCTGGTTCCTGTGCAGGGTCATTCACTCAGAAGCCAACAACAGTATCACCAGATAAAAAATCTTCCACTGAGACCACAAAAGCACCACCCCCTGCCTCTCCTCTGCATTACAATATCAGTCAACAGCAACAGTCTCATGCTACACAGGGTGTACTAGAGGAACCTAAACCATATCAAACACCAATAGTTCCATCAGGAAGAATACAACCCTCCATGTCTGATACTAATCTGCCTGCCATGACTGATGCTGGTCACTACCAGAGGAATATGAAGGGGAGTGTAGCAGTAGATCTTAGCAACACAAACCAGACTTATGAGAGTGGATACCTCGGCATCGGAGCTCAGTATGGCTCATACACAGACTTACGTCACCAAGGAGACATTGCAGGCCCCACGTTACCCATTCGGCGTTATGGCTCAATGTCAAATATCAATTCTGACTATTGCTGTGGGTCAAAGGAGTTAACAGGACCACAGGACTCCAGTCTAGCTCAACTCAGTGCAACCACTGCAAGGGAAATTAGTCAGATGTGTGCTGCTCTTAACACAGTAGATCAGTTTGCAACACGGTATGGAAATAATCCTGAACTAATGCCTTATGGGATTGGAAGAGGTGCACATTTAGGTAGGCTAAATCTCCATCAAAGTTTAGCATCAATAAGAGCAAGTCTGATGTATGGCCCAGATGGAAGAGCCTTGTCAAATGGTCAAACCCTAACAAACCTAATAAATGCAAGACAAGCAAGTATACGCGCCTTGTATCCTGCTGCTTTAAGAGGAGGTGATGGCATGATATATTCTACCATCAACACTCCAATAGCCTCTACCTTGCCAATTACTACCCAGCCAGGCCCTGTTCTGCACCCAATGCCGAGAGGCATTTACAGGCCATACCCCGTAGGTGTAACTGCTGTACCATTAGCTAGTCTTACCAGGTTGCCTCAAATGAGTCCCAGAACTCCATTGGCCACACAAGGAACATATTCATATCCTCCTTCAAACCAGTACGCTGCTCCAGCTACAACCTCTGCCAGTATACCTACTCTAAGCAGCTCACAACATGAAACTCCCGTGTACCTTGGAAAGCCTTCAACTGCAGCTCCAATCATCCCACCCACCCTCGCCAGCACAACAAAAAATACATTAGGAGCTGGTATGCAGACCACTACATTTCAACAGGGGGATCAGACTCAACAACCATCACAAATGATGTCAATCTCTCAAGGTCAAGGACAGCCTCCAACTGTCAAGCCAGTACAAGCCCAGATGCAGCCACAGCAACTACCTGCTCAAACTGAACCTTTATCCTTAACCCAAACCCATCCTCAAGCTCAATCCATCAGTCAACCCCAACCCCCTGTTTTGACACATGGTAACATCACACCCAGTGTCACTGCTCCAACTTCAAAAATATCTCCTATTGATGTTCAGAAAGCTAAGGAAGATGAGAGGCTTAGTCAACAACAAGAGCACATGCTGCAGCTAGAGCGAGAGCGTGTTGAATTGGAAAAACTGAGGCAGTTACGCCTTCACGAGGAGCTTGAGCGAGATCGGATGGAGCTTCAGCGTCACAGAGAAAAAGAACAGCTAATTGTACAGCGTGAAATTCAAGAATTGCATACCATCAAGCAGCAGGTTCTACAACAACAACAAGCAGAGCGTGAGACTCAGCTTATCATGCAAAGAGAGCAACTGGCTCAGCAGAGAATGCAGCTTGAACAAATCCAGTCACTGCAGCAGCAACTCCAACTGCAGCTGGAGGAGCAGAAAAGGCAAAAGACGGCAGCAGTGGAGGCAGCAGCATCTGCCCAGGGGCCCATACAAGGGGTGGTGGTCGGAGGAGCGCCTCCTCAAGGCTTCCTGATTTGTGATCAGAGTGGAAGGGTTATTCAACAAGATGGGCAAGCTGTTCAGTTCTGGCAAGATGGACAAGTGGTTCAAGCTGTGGTAGCTGCTAGGCCTATTCATAGCTCTGTGTCTGAAATGTCTTTGAGAATCAATGACAAACAGACTGACTCCAAGATTATGAAGAAGCAAAATTCTATGCCCCGTCTTAGAGATAGCACAGAGGATGATTCTGTGAAGAAGATAGCAGACAGCTGCATGCAAACAGATGATGAAGACGGAGAGGACCGATTCACAAATCGACGCAGACGAACAAGGCGGATTGCAGACTGCAGTGTGCAGACTGATGAAGAGGACCAAGCAGATTGGGACCAGCAGCCAGTAAGGCGCCGACGCTCACGTATATCAAAGCACTCAGAATCCGGTAGTGAGACTAAATCAGATGGGTCACCTAGAGCAGTGTCTACCAGCATAGCTATTCAAACCTCAAACGACTCCTCATGTCAGACGGAATCTGACCAACTAGGTAGGGTTTCGCCAGCTATTCATATCACCATGGCAGAAACCTCAAAGGTCGACCTGTTACATTACATAGCAGCCCCTGAAAGGACCCACAAGGGAGAAAGTCTGGCTTGTCAGACTGAACCAGAGTCACAGTCTCAAGGTGTCGTTGCTCCTCAACTCAGTGTCCCGACAACAATTAGCCCATACTCTACAAGTATGCACATAGTTGGTTCAAATACATCTGATCCAAACTCCCAGAGACTTCAAGGAGTTGCCAAGTTTGAGAGACGAAAACCCGACCCTCTGGAAATTGGTTATCAGCAGCAACCAAATGAATCTCCTCGCCAGCCCCCCAAATCCCCTCAGGTTTTGTACTCCCCAGTTTCTCCTCTGTCTCCTCATCGTATGTTGGAGACAACATTTGCCTCACAAGAAAAGCTTAATAAAGCCCATGTAACACCCCAGCAAAAGGCTTTCACTGCAGAATCGCCGCAACGCCACCAGTCTCTACCAAGACCCATCAAAAGTGTGCAGCGCTCCATGTCTGATCCAAAGCCTATCAGCCCCACATCAGAGGATCCCACCAAGAACAGATTCTGTCCATATTATCAGCAAGCTGTGTCCAACAGTCAGGTAGGAAACACCATTCTAATAATTTTTTTCATTGCATCAGGGGGAAATAATACAATACAATACATGCTGATTTATACAGAGGCAAAAATGTTCTATGCAATTACCTCAATTTACTTAATAAATCTTGGATTGAATTTGAAATGGATCCTATTGTATTGTACAGGTATATGTAATGTTGTGGTCAATGACAATTTTTTTACAATGTTATTATTAATAATAATGAGTATATTAACTATCTTAAAAGGGGGAAGCCAAATCAAAATCGTTTTTTGCAATATGTTCTCTGCAAACCCACTAGTCTAAACATGTTATTTGGATTAATATTGCATCTGACTGGTTGTTACCTGAGCACTGAGCCACTGTGATGTCATTTTCAATCGACAGCAAGTGGCAAAATGTCCGCCCGCTGAGATAGATAAAAACGGGTGGATTCTTAATCCACAAACGCAATATTAATCAGAATACCGTGTTTACCTTTAGACTAGAGGGGGTGCATGTTACAAACATATTATTGTAAAGAAAATCTTGTAACCGATAATGTAACTGACACTCCATCGCGACACGGGATCTAACATGAGAGCAAAATGTTTTCACAAGAGTGTATGCCATGCCAGAAACATGTTTCCCTTCAGCCTTTTCTCTACTTTTCCCTACTTGCGATCTCCCCCCCCCCCTCTCTTTCTCTCTCTCTCTCTCTCTCTCTCTCTCTCTCTCTCTCTCTCTCTCTCTCTCTCTCTCTCTCTCCCCCTCCCTCCCTCCCTCTCGCTCTCTCTTTCTGGCTATCAAATGCTAAAGAGTTGCCAGGAGGATACGCAATATGAGTACATCAATGTTATGCTTACCCATTTTTATAATTATCAGCTTTAAAAAGCAAATTAATATTGCTTTGAAAATTATTCAAATTGATCTGAAAGATAAACATACCGGTACATCTTATTTATATATCTACCTTTTAAATCATCATCATGGATCTACCCATTACAACTAAATTGTAAGTAATAGACAGGCATATTGTAACATTGTTGTTATTGATTTTTTTTTTTAATACATATAATGCTCTCCTCATCGTACTGCATGCCTCTGTTAATTTGAGAAATACGACAAATTTTAAAACTGCATACATTTGTAAGTTAACAAATTAGACTATTTCAGAGATTTGTTTGTTAACCTGTTTCAGAAATTCAACTGTTTTCTTCTTGTCAAAATCTATTAGACCTGTCATTTAAAGTGATTCTGGTTAGATGTGCATGTCACGCTTTTATCTTTCACAAATATGTCATCTAAGAGTGTCGTATATAATCATTTTAACAAAATCAAATATTTTATTTAAAATTCTGATGTAAATAATGCTCCGGCTCTGCAAGTAGGTCAGTTTAAAATTCAGTACTTAATTTGACAACATCAATCTACATAGCTCTTAAATTAGGGTATGCAGACTGAGGTACATTAATGAGCCTAATTTACATAAACATTTTCTGTTTATAGCTCATTCTGCTGATGTGTCTCTGCCTCTCTTAGCAGATGGCCTCCCTGCAGCAGCAGCAGCAGAATGCTGTGATGAGAAAGGTAAAGAGGACTCTTCCCAGCCCCCCTCCAGAAGAGACTCCACTTCCCATAGTTACACCAGCACAAATGTACAGTTCTCCTGGCATGCCTCAGAGGGTTTTGCCTCGACCTGCACAAGGAGTCACAAAGGCAGGCTTGCTGAGTGAACTGAAGGCCGTGGAACAAGAGTCATCAAAGCTCAGGAAGCAGCAAGCTGAACTGGAGGAAGAAGAGAAAGAGATTGATGCCAAATTACGTTACTTGGAATTAGGCATTACTCAACGTAAGGAGACCATGGTGAAGGAGCGCGAGAGGAGAGAGTTGGCTTACTTGCGTTGTATGGGTGATGCTCGAGACTACATGTCAGACAGCGAGCTCAATAATCTCAGGATGGGAACAGCAACAGCAACCTTTGATGCTAATGGTTTGCTGACAAGGCCCAGCACTGCACCGCTGAGTCCATTTACTAATGATATCAATGCAACATCCCAGTATTCCTCAACCTCCGCCTATATGTCTTATCCTTACCCGCAAAATCAACCATCAACACAACAGCCAGGCTCCACTTACCATCAGATTGGTTTCCAACCTCCCCAGTACCCTTCATCCACTGCTCCCCAGCCAGGGACATTCCAACCCCACCCCACTCCAGGCCCTGGCTACCAGAACCAGGCAACCTATTCCTCCCGTATGTATGGCCAACCCTCTTACCAAACAGACCTTGGCATGCATCAGCATGGGCACCAGGCATTCCATTCACCAAGCCAGTCTATGCCAGGCCAAAGCCTTCCTTATCCCAGTCACAGCTCTTACCAACCTGGACTGTCATACCCGACCCAGGCAGATATTCTCACAGTACACCAAAGACCAAGGCAAACGTCTTTGGCTGACCTTGAGCAGAAACTTCCCACCAACTATGAGGTCATCAGCAACCCAGCAGTGTCGGTGGCCACATCAGCTCCAGATACGACATATGGCTCCGCCTACAGCAATGCGTATGGACAATATCGCCCCTCTGAGCCTGGCCTTACACACTCTGGTGACAGCCCCACATCTGCTTATGTTTCAGATGAACATTACACCTCTAACTTAGAGCAGAACATTCCAAGGAATTATGTCATGATTGATGACATCAGCGAATTGACAAAAGACAACACCAGTCAACCCACTGATGCCCTAGGTCATCCGGTAGGAGGGCGATATCGCAGCGAGAATGGCCCTGGACGTGGCAGCACCTATGGTAGACCTGAAGATGAGCCAGTGGATGCATATGGAAGACCCACTGGCACAATGGGTTACCAGAGCACAGCGGACAGTCGTACTAGCACCACAGTTACTGGTGGATCTTATTATTACGATGACTACAAACACACACCACGAAGCAACTCCAGTAGTCACAAAGTCTCCCCTAAAAATCTTGCCCCTGCCGTAGTCTCTTCTAAACGTAGTAAGCACCGAAAACAGGGAATGGAACAGAAAATCTCAAAATTTTCTCCTATTGAGGAAGCTCGAGATGTGGAGGCAGACCTGGCATCATATACTATGACAACCTCGACAGGAGGCAGTTGTACTGTGGTGTCCAGGTCCAAAAAGCAGGATGAAATGGCATACGGAATGAAGAGGAATGCTTTTGACCAGCAGAAATATTATGGCACCAGTCGCGAGGGTCTTGAGGAAGAAGATCGCATGTACGGCTCTGGTAGGTCCAGGTCTACCGGGTATGGCATGGATAAGATATCATCCCGAGATGCCTCAGGTCACAGAAGTAAATCCTATGAGAGGGATGCCATGGAACGTTCTCAGAGAAGCGGCCGCAGTGGAAGGCCACCCATACGCAATCAAAATTCTGAGGAAGAAAGTCCAATCAGTCCTGTTGGTAAACCTGTAGGCATTGGACGGAGCTCTGCTGCGTCCAATGCCCATGACGTGAGGAACCAGTATGGGTCAAGTCATTCGCTTCCAGATGTGCAGGACCACCACAAGAAGGACCTTCCGAGGAGTCATGTGTATAAGCCAGATGACCCTTACCTTGTAGATGACATGCACTGTGCTGTCTCTGACAGTGAAGGTAACTGGTGCTGAATAATTTGTGCTGTTTTACATGTTTGATCACCTTTAAAGTGCTGAAAAGAGACTGCATGCCAAGTGAAGAATGTTGAGGAGAATGCCATCGCTTTTGTTGTCCTTTTTGTTGTCTTTGAGTGCTGGAATGTCTCCTCTGAGGAAAGAAGTTGGGTTTTTTTGTGTGTTCTGCATGCTTTTTTGTGTACAAGTTGGTGTCCTGTCTTCTTTTCACTGGCTTCCTAAAATGTGCATGGCTGTACGAAGTGGAGTTTATTTTATCGCATGGCTTCTATCTACACTTCACTTTGCTCGGACAAACTATTGACTGATAACATTTCTTCTGGTTTTAAAAAAAGCCTATCATTTGGGCCAAGAGGAGACTGATTGGTTTGAAAAGCCACGGGAGGCCCGTTCAGAACGTTCAAGACATCACAGAGGTGGAAGTCAGTCATCTGCAGGTAGGCGCACAAAGCACACCTACCATGACTATGATGAGCCACCAGAGGAATACGGTCCTCAGGATGACAGCCATCAACGCCATTCCTCCTCGGCATCATCACGAGACCAGCGATATCATGGCAACAGCTCTGGGAGGCACAACTCTTCTCGACACACCTCTGAAGATCCCCGGTCCTCCCGTCCTACTAGGACACACCCCAAAGACACCTCAGGACGATCTGATGGCAGGAGCGCTTCTTCTGCCCAGAGGCGGGGTGGCCCAGACTCCCGTTCTGCCCACGGAAGTCCCCGCAACTCAGGAGACTTCTCCCGTGACTCGGCTGCCGGTTATCACCACGGCACTGGGGGACGGAGCCAGAGACAACCAGGAGAGCGCACTAGAAGGCAAGATCCTTCTGCTGCAGGTTCTAAGATGCAGCAGCAAGGCCATGCTGGGCAACAGCGTTCAAGTGGTCAAAGCCAGTCAGGGAGACATGCAGGCTCAGAAGCTCTTGATAGTACTCAGCAAGCCCAGCAGCAGCAGCAGCAGCAGCTAAGTGCACAACAACAACAACAGCAGCAGCCGCTGCAGCACAGTCAACCCCCTCCGAGCAGCCAGCCAACAACTAGTGCAGCAACTGGACCACCGCAGCAGCAGCCGCCCAAACCAAGCCAGACACAGGGACGCCCATCAGGAGGAGGCTCTGCAGCAGGGCAGCCACCAACTACATCGGTTAGTCAACAGACAAATGCGTCAATAGCACCATGCTTCTAGTTGAAAAACAATGTGCTACAATTCTCTGCGCCATAATTTAAATACTGTTAGCAGTAGCTTGACTTGTGAGTGCTCACCCAATTTATGAGGGAAACAAAATCTTTGGTACGAGCAAGCTTTTAATATGTTATTACTCGAGTTAATTTGAAAAAAAAATTGAACGACTGGAATACCTATTCAAAAACAAGACACAAAATCCTTAACCAGTATTGTCTTACTCTCAAACAACAAGGAAGATAAAATCTGAGGATAAATCCATAATTTCTTAGACTCCAAAATTGAGTTTAAACCACTTTGTCTGTGTCGGTGATGTAAATTGAGTCAAAATGTATGTTATTGCCATGCTTTTTCCAGGGAAAAATGGATGCCACACCGTCAGCAACTTCCATAGGAATGAAGTCTACGATGGCGGTCCCAACCATTCCTCAGACAACCAAAACAACACCACCCCCTCTAACAGGCATTGGTAAGTCGCAGAACTTTGATTTCATCTGTGCTGTATCTTACACATACAGCACATTTGACAATAAAGTTGTATACAAACCAATCCAATCCAATCAACAAGCTTAAACACATAATATATGGTGGTCCTATTTGTATTTCTTTTTTTTTTTTTCTGTCTGCAGGCTCGAAAGCCGCCCCTGTTGGGATCGGCAGTAAAGCTGGTGGTATTGGCAGTGCTGCAGCTGGACAGGCACCTGCTGAGGGCGAAAACGTTCTGACCAAAATTCTGCAAGGAGGTGCAGCGGAGCAGGCGGGAAAGCTGGGAGACGGTACAGCCGCTGATTAATATATTATGATGCTTTTTAGTTTTTCTCTATGTGTGATGTGTGATTGCTCAACAGTGATGTGTTGATTTTTTTTTAATGTTGTCTGACTGATTTTCACAGCTTTGTCTGGCCTTGGGAAGAAATTCACTTCATTCTTTTGAATTGATGAGGCGAGGGTGAGTGAAAATCTACACAATCCACTTTTTCCATAAAACACAACATAGGGATTTATTTTAGGATGTGAGTCAGCAGATGGCAACTCACTTGTCAACTAAACGTCATTAATAATTGTGATTTACATGCTTTATAATTTTAATGTAATGTGTAGCAAATGTACTAAACTCTGTCGTTATTCAATTCTCGTTAAATATGTATTTCTCCTTAGGGTCTGCATAGTCACAACAATACAAAATGAGAGGCTTTGTACCAGAAAAACTTATGAAACAACATCTATTACATTTTACCATCACGGAGGACATTGAGCGAGAGAGTGGGATGCTACAATCATCTGTAAGTGTCTTGTTTTTTTTGCTCTTCTTTGTCTCTGGAGATGAATACGTTGTCACCTGCTCGATCAAGCATTGAGTCATTGTCAAGAACTATGATCCACTTTGGGTAACACTTGCATCACAAAAACAAATGCGACGAGAAGTAAATTATTGAGCACTCGGGTTCTTTGATGACTGCAAAGAAGTTGCGGAAACTTGCAAGAGCCAAATTCATATCAAAACTGAGCATTATTTTGATACAGTTCTTGCTTGAAATCTCATCGTTTGGACAGGTGTACCTAATGTTGTGGCTGGTGAGTGGAGTTCAGCATGGTCTGCACAAGCAGACGACTCAAGCTATCAGTGGTGACTCATGAAATACTTTGTACGTTGGAACTGATCTAGGGTGCCTTTACTTTACCTCAAATTACCGAACAGAGTTAGAATCAAAAGGAGAGCCTTGTCAGCACTGAATTCCCCAGACATGCAAGTGATTGAAGTGCTGCCGAGTGGGGAGGGGGGACCTGAAAATCAAGTGGATGCCTTAAAAGGAAGGTAAGTTAAAGCCATGAAAAGTAACGTGGATCATATCCAGGCCTCTGCCAAGGAGGTCATTTTCAGTTTTGAGTGTTCCTGTGTTTGTAGGATTATGCAAAAAAATATATATCTATATTATTATTATAGACCCTGTAAAGCAATTCAGAGATTATACATGTTGGAAAGTAATTGCTGAAAACATGAAAAGACTGAAAACTATGGAGGACAGTGTACCCCGCGTACCCGCAAAGGGAGGTTTATTCTTTATTTTGATTAATAGACGGATTTATTTGAAAGGCAACATATATACATATAGGTTTACTGGTATGTTTTATTTGAATTTAAAAAATTCAGAAGTTCAAATTTAGAAAACAAAATAAAAAGATTTTTATTTAATTATCAGTTGTGTTATGTTGTACTTTTTAAGAATCCGAAAAAGGTTACTTTGATGTAAAAATATATATTGTGGAAATTCAGAAAGAGTGACACGTGATCATTAAAGGACTGGCTAATTAGTTGACTTTTTTTGTTGCTCGTATTAATCGCACAGGTGCTCTTTAACGGTGAAAGCTGATTTTAGCTAGCAGGCTCGCTACAGTGTTTTGTGAAATGACTCAAAACATATTTTCTCTTGAACTATTTTAATACATTGACTCGCTTTATCCTCCTCACCACTTGATTTTTATTTGGGGGGGGGTTGTTTTTTTTTTTTTTTGATTTTTTTGATTTTTTTTATGTTTGGGGGCGCAACCCCAAACAGTAAGTTTTTGTCATCATTCTACCACCCGGAAGTATCCCGCTGCCTATTGTTTGCAAACACTATGAAATATTTTTATTTATTTTTGTTGTTTTGTTGCTTCACAGCTTGATGAGGATTTTCAGTTCATTGCGGTTTTCAACTTTCTAATGCAAAACCAAGAGCTCGGGAGCCGAGTGCTAAGACTCCACACACTTCCAATAATCTGGGCCAGGCAAACAGGGTTAAAATTAGCCCGAGAAAGCTAATTGTGGCTTGGATTTAATGTCACACACACACAAAGGTGCACTGGAACAAGAGCGCACGCGGGCTCACAGATTCATGACTTACGATTAGCAGTCCTCATTACATGCTGCAATTAACTAATGGACTAATTCTGCTCAATGGCGCAAAGTCACCGAGGAGGGAATAAAGTGAATTAGAATTCATTTGATTTCAGCCTCTGTCCAAGCACCTGCTGGGACTCTCACGGAGTGCAGTTGATAGGTCCCTTCATTCAGCTGCCACAAACGCTGCGCTGACAAGTCCGTCAATTTGAGTCCGTGGCCAGTCTGTGGATTCATCAGGAGAATGTGACGATAAATCCCGACTCAGTGGCTCTTTGAGGCCAAGCAGCTCTTCGTCCCAGTGGATTACCTCTGACACCATCAGGCTGACGATTGGCTGCGAGTTGCAGCGTGAAGTTCCGGCAGAGATCTGATTTAAACTCATTGATTGGTTTCATTCGCATTGATTCGGTCCATGTCAGGGGATCTAAAAGCACCGGCCCCCTGAGGGTAGCCTTTACATAAGCCCCGCATTTGGTTTGTCATCTTCATGTGGTCAATTTAATCCAGTGAGGACGCACTCATCTTCACCATATATTTGTCTTCATTCCAGGAGGACAGTAATGAGCATGAGGCAGAGGAGAGATGGGAAAGGAGGACTCGTATTCTGCTTCTTCTTCTCCTCGATAGAAAGCCTTGGTGGATGGAAAAAAAAAAAGTTCAAGGCCCACTGATGGAGGAAAGCCTCAGTGCGCCCTCTACTGGATACTCTTCATGTCTGAGGATTACACGTCCGGCAAGGATATTTGATTCCACATCGATGCTGATTCTTCAAGCACATCATAGGTTTTTCTGGTACCAAAGAATCATATCGCTCACAGACGACTCCACTAACAAACCCGAGTGCTCGGTTTATCCGATCTCTACATTCCAGTATGGGAACGTAACCCGGTCTTTGAATGTGTTCTTACTTCTCCCGATTTTTTTTTTCAGTGTCTCTATACAGAATGCATTGCGTAAATGTATACATGCACGCACAAATATATGAAGAAAAAAAAAAAAGCTGATTCTTCAAGCACATCATAGGTTTTTCTGGTACCAAAGAATCATATCGCTCACAGACGACTCCACTAACAAACCCGAGTGCTCGGTTTATCCGATCTCTACATTCCAGTATGGGAACGTAACCCGGTCTTTGAATGTGTTCTTACTTCTCCCGATTTTTTTTTTCAGTGTCTCTATACAGAATGCATTGCGTAAATGTATACATGCACGCACAAATATATGAAGAAAAAAAAAAAAAGAAAAACAAATCCATATCTGTAGTTTTCCAACAGCAACTAGATGTAAAAATATATGTTGTGGAAATTCAGAAAGAGTGACACGTGATCATTAAAGGACTGGCTAATTAGTTGACTTTTTTTGTTGCTCGTATTAATCGCACAGGTGCTCTTTAACGGTGAAAGCTGATTTTAGCTAGCAGGCTCGCTACAGTGTTTTGTGAAATGACTCAAAACATATTTTCTCTTGAACTATTTTAATACATTGACTCGCTTTATCCTCCTCACCACTTGATTTTTATTTGGGGGGGGGTTGTTTTTTTTTTTTTTTTTGATTTTTTTGATTTTTTTTATGTTTGGGGGCGCAACCCCAAACAGTAAGTTTTTGTCATCATTCTACCACCCGGAAGTATCCCGCTGCCTATTGTTTGCAAACACTATGAAATATTTTTATTTATTTTTGTTGTTTTGTTGCTTCACAGCTTGATGAGGATTTTCAGTTCATTGCGGTTTTCAACTTTCTAATGCAAAACCAAGAGCTCGGGAGCCGAGTGCTAAGACTCCACACACTTCCAATAATCTGGGCCAGGCAAACAGGGTTAAAATTAGCCCGAGAAAGCTAATTGTGGCTTGGATTTAATGTCACACACACACAAAGGTGCACTGGAACAAGAGCGCACGCGGGCTCACAGATTCATGACTTACGATTAGCAGTCCTCATTACATGCTGCAATTAACTAATGGACTAATTCTGCTCAATGGCGCAAAGTCACCGAGGAGGGAATAAAGTGAATTAGAATTCATTTGATTTCAGCCTCTGTCCAAGCACCTGCTGGGACTCTCACGGAGTGCAGTTGATAGGTCCCTTCATTCAGCTGCCACAAACGCTGCGCTGACAAGTCCGTCAATTTGAGTCCGTGGCCAGTCTGTGGATTCATCAGGAGAATGTGACGATAAATCCCGACTCAGTGGCTCTTTGAGGCCAAGCAGCTCTTCGTCCCAGTGGATTACCTCTGACACCATCAGGCTGACGATTGGCTGCGAGTTGCAGCGTGAAGTTCCGGCAGAGATCTGATTTAAACTCATTGATTGGTTTCATTCGCATTGATTCGGTCCATGTCAGGGGATCTAAAAGCACCGGCCCCCTGAGGGTAGCCTTTACATAAGCCCCGCATTTGGTTTGTCATCTTCATGTGGTCAATTTAATCCAGTGAGGACGCACTCATCTTCACCATATATTTGTCTTCATTCCAGGAGGACAGTAATGAGCATGAGGCAGAGGAGAGATGGGAAAGGAGGACTCGTATTCTGCTTCTTCTTCTCCTCGATAGAAAGCCTTGGTGGATGGAAAAAAAAAAAGTTCAAGGCCCACTGATGGAGGAAAGCCTCAGTGCGCCCTCTACTGGATACTCTTCATGTCTGAGGATTACACGTCCGGCAAGGATATTTGATTCCACATCGATGCTGATTCTTCAAGCACATCATAGGTTTTTCTGGTACCAAAGAATCATATCGCTCACAGACGACTCCACTAACAAACCCGAGTGCTCGGTTTATCCGATCTCTACATTCCAGTATGGGAACGTAACCCGGTCTTTGAATGTGTTCTTACTTCTCCCGATTTTTTTTTTCAGTGTCTCTATACAGAATGCATTGCGTAAATGTATACATGCACGCACAAATATATGAAGAAAAAAAAAAAAAGAAAAACAAATCCATATCTGTAGTTTTCCAACAGCCACTAGTCATGAGATGTAAATTTTCCTGTATGTTTTATTAGGGAAAGAAATTACTGCCAGTGTGCCCATAAGTGTGAGAATCACACAGACGAGAGGACCAAATGAAAGTGTGGCAGTGGCTCTATATCTTGCCATCACAAAGCCATTGTTATTGTCTGCGCGGAGCGTTCATGTTTCATCATTTTGTTCCTTTTCAATTTGCCTCATATTCACTGATTTGGACGGGCCTTATTCAGAACTTTTTTTTTTAACTTATATACCTCTTTTTTTTTCTTTTCAAATGTCCATATCATGACACATTTATTTTTACGCAGCTGTATACTACTGTATGTATATAATCTTTCAAGATGTCATGATGTAAATCTATCATTTGTCTATTTATGGAACAACATTTTTACCTTATTTTATTTGGTACAACTTTATATTTGAAGCGTTTTATTTTGTCAACTGTCTGTTTTCTCGCAGCCAATAATTCGCTCGGTGACTTAAAAAAAAAAAAAAAGAAAAAAAAAGAAGAAGAAGCAATAGCATGCAGATAACGGTATATAGCACAATGGTATCAATGTTGTGTACGTTAGCGATGGGGAATTATCCAACGCTCCTTGTTTTGTACAGTTTGTCGAACGGTTTACAACCATCGTACCCGATGTCCAGATGTGCATGCGTGTTAGGTGCAGATGCATAAGCGCATGCAGAGTGGTAGGAACACATACAGACGCACAGATTTGCCATCCCAGAGTTCCTTTCCGCTCTATTGTTATCAAAGTCATCGACGACCTCTTGAACAAGCTGGGCCCACTGCCTTTACTACCCGCCCGCGCACACACCAAGTGTTAGATGAGCAATTCAAATGTTCTATGCAAAGACTCATTTTGAACCCGGTAGTGACGTTCATCGCAGCAAAACGACACCACGATTACCGAGTTAAAGCGGTTGAAGATCTTCGTTATGTTTTTACTGTTTAATCAATCGGACGATTGAACTAGAGTTGTTTTGATTTCTCCGTCGCATGTTTCTTAAGCTGTCACCGCCCTCCACGGGGACTTGTTGCCAAAGGGTAAAACTGTGTCTGCCGTCTGTTTTCGAATGTTCCGCCATCATGTCGCTTTGTAGCATGGGTTTGCTTGGCTGCTTCCTTGGCTGTTTGTTAGTTCCTTGAGCGTTTTGCCTGACACCCAGGCTTGCGGTGACCGTTTGTGCTGCTGTGAACCTCCGACAAAACACATGGTCAGCACTTCATTTGTGTCAATATCATTGTGTACATATTTGGGTGTTACTGTAACCCTGCGGGGGGTTGAATGGAATGCTTCTTTTCGATAAAGAGTTCACCTTTGATTAAAAATCACTCAGCAGCCAAGCCTTCATAGCGGGAACGGTGCATGATTAGATCTTATACGCTTAAATGCTTGGTTATCCCCGAATGACTACAACCCGGCATGATTTCACCGAACAGGCCGATGAGCAGATGATGAGGAAAAAGTTCAGCCAGTCACTCACAAATCAGGGCGTGTCTTTTTTTATGTTGAAAGCACAAGCCTGGCTGGTAGCGGCCGCTGCTCGAAGGCTAGCGGACACGTGGAAGTTATGTCACAGTGCCTCCGAGATCTGCTCGATGTGAGGCACGTACGACTCAACAGCTTTTAGCGCAGCCATCCTCATTTCTAACTGTAAATACACATTCAATGGACTGTACAGCTTTTGTTCCGAGTACGGCTGTCATGTGCATCCCCATGCCGTATTTGCTGCCAACTTTTGTGTATAAAAAAAATAATAATAATAACATTTATGAAAAGTAACAAGGAAGATGATTATGATAATTGCTTATGCATAGTCTATGTGGCTAACTTGTACTGACTGTCTACAACAGTGGAACAAAAATGGAACAATACCGTCTATGTCGAGATTCTATCCTTAGTGTATTTTAGAACCTCCGTGGCAACAAGTTGCCTTCAGTGTCCCACAGTCAGGAGGTTTCAGTGGTTATGATCTAGAATGTGATCATATTTTTGGTGGAAGAAGCAGGGAATTAAAAAAACAAAACAAAAAAAAAAGAAAAGAAAACATCTGGAAAATGTCATTCACTGTTGTAAGTACAATGGGGAAAACGTCAGTCGTGTATCCATTGTGAAACCTTGTGCTCTATTCAGTGTATTCCTGTAAACTGATAAAATTGATAAGTACATTTTGGTGCATCATGTCCAGTAATGTGATTCAATGAAAATATTGACCCTGCAATTTCCAAACAGAGAAAAAGAATACAAATTAAAGAAATGTCATGTTGTCTTGTACATTAGTCTCCGTGTCACCTTATTCCCTTGGCGAAGGTTTCCAGGTGCTCAGTTAAAAAATAAAAGAAATATCAAACTGTCTGGGACAGTGTCAAGAGAGGAAAAAAAAGTTTTCTAGTAACATTGTCATAGTATTAGCTGCATTTTAAAACACAATAGTAAGTTGTACATGCTTACTCAAGTAAAATTGGATAATGTTGGACAATCGTGTTCTCCTGCGATTGTTCACAAGTGCCGCTGTGAGATTTTTTTCCCCCCAAAAAGTGAACGAGTGCTCCTGTCAAAGTAAAATTTCCTTCCTGGTTCCCATGAGAACACAAACCACCGTGCACCTCTTTTCTGCTCCGTTTAAAGAGTCTGCAGATGTAGGCTGCCCTCATCTGGTTTCACTCCCACTTATCACCGAGTCGCTCGCGTCGGTCCTGTTGTGCCTCAGGCTCAAGCTGACATTTTGCAGTCCAAAGGTGTCTCAGGGGTACAAATGGGCCTCAGGACGGAAAATGTCACTAGCACTTTGGCTCAAGTTTGTTTTTTTTTTTGTTTTTAAGTGGTGGAGGTCGTACCTAGAAGGAATTTATGCCTGCTGCTACTGAAAAAAAAAAGGATTAATAATTCTGATGTCACCTCTGTTGGTCCGATCATCTATCTGCCAGCGTGCTGAGAGCCACTAAGTCTGTCTCCCCGCTGCCCTTTAAATATCAATGCACCTCTGTGGTCCGCACCTGCTCCTCACCGACGAGCAGTCGCTTCCATTTAAGGCTCACATCACCATCATATTTCCTTTCCCCTTACTTGAAATTCAGCATTTGAACCACTGACAATGATTGACATTGTGATTTTTACCATGTCATTATTAGCGTATTTACTGTGGTACATCCGACCCAACCCCCGGAATGCTAATTGACCGTCACTTCTGTTTGTCGTTCAAGGAAATATTCGACATGAAACACTAAGCGGAAACAATCTGTTGCAGAGTCAAATTGTAGCCCTCGATGTACCAAATAAGGCATTTTCATTTTGAACACCTGCTGAAAGACCCTGTAAATTGAATTCAGAGATTTGTTTCGAAAAACCCATCATACACGCTTTAAGATGATTGCTGAAAATGTGTCAAGACTGAGAACTATGCAGTACTGACTTGTGGGGACACAGTGCAATGTTAATCTGTGTCTCACCATTTCAGTTTCCCTGCAATTTTTGCGGGGGGTGGTTGCTAAATCTGTGCCAAGTGGCACACTTCAGCTCAGGCGTGAGCTAACATGCAGTTAGCTCGCTCGCTACGCCTACACTCTGAAAATGCATCTTGCCCTAGGATAGTCTACTGGTGTGGCTGCTCTAGAGCGCCTCATTGTCGCCTGTGAGTGCATGCGCATTATGCAGCAAAAGAAAGAAGAACGTGGAAGAGGCTGTTAAGTCTTGAATATGTGTGGTCCCGTGTCTGATGAAAGACAATGTACAGTACATCATTATTAACCCTTTCAGGGACAACGGTCAATGTAGTGGACATCTTACCATGTTATCAGGTTATAGGGTGCACGAAAGGGTTAATAACTTAAAATTAGATTTCGACGGGTACTTACTGGAACACACAGAGGCGGTCATATCAATTTGTATGCAGTCAATAGAGTGGAAAATCCACAAAGGTAAAAGTGTCTTGACCTTAAGTTTAATGGTAAAGAAAAATCGACTGATGCTGAGTCATTTTTCTTCAATGGCCCCACTGTAGTCTGCTGCTAATAGAAGGCCACTGAGATTTAACGGGTCGCCTGGTATAGCTTGAAAAGCCTGAAACCTCTTTGTGTTGACCACTGATAGCTCGCATGTAAAAGTGTCTTCAAAGGAGGCAAGATTTACCATTAATATAAACGTTGGAATGGAATAAAGATGGTTTAGGATTGCACAGTTCAAAACACCTCTATAATGTTCCTATTAATTGATACGAGCCATCAGAGATGGATTTACGGGTGCAGCAGCAGACTTCAAAAAAACCCATTTAAAATGGCTAATGACTGTCCACGTCGCCTTTTGCCCTTCAGCTCTCTCTTGTCTTCTGGGTGCTTGTCTGAAGGGCCCCTCTCACTTGGCCTGAACGTCCTTCTAATAAGGACAAACTGTCAACTCATAAACTGTAACCACCATCAATCTGCAGTCATTCGTTTCCCGAAAACCACGGCGTGAGTGCAACCCCCGCCCCACACTATTAACCCATCATTTCCACCAGCCATGACCTCACAGGCAGTGTGACTCATCCACGAGTGATGGGAAGTGTGACATCAATTATAAGAGAGAAGCGGCTCCTTGTCTTTTTTTGTCACTAGGTTTCGATAAGTCCTTTAAATGTACGGCCGACTGTGCAATAACTCATTTTGAACCTGACAATTTAGAACCTGATTCTGGTAACGTTTTTTTTTTTTTTGAATTAAGCCTTTATTGGGATCTCGTTGAAATACCTCCCGGAATATTTCAGTTTAATCGGGAGCCATTTCAATTAATTGAATGTTGAGTCACATCACCACTGGAGGCCAGCAGAGAGCATCAGTGATCACAGCACACGTCATTTCCCAGAACCATCGGACTGCTGGGCAAAAGATCTACTGGCTGTTGTCGTGAGTCATGTCGACGTTATAACCAATCACATATCTTAATCACAGTTTTTTTTTAAATTTTTTAGAACGTCTCCTTGAATGATTAAGTAGTAACATCAACAGGGATTTGTAATAAGGCAAAAATGTAATTCCATCTATTTCTTTTCTGCACCGCTAATATGCTCTTCCCAGTCACTGGAGCTAATCCCGGTGAGGCAAGGTTGTAAATTTCCATATTTTCCTTCAATAAAACATTTGATCAACAACTTTCGTATCGTGTCGCACCCGTCCATTTGTTAGCATCCAAAGAACCGTCGAGTTTACCATTCCAGGCACCTTTCAGTAACCAGGAGGCTTGATAGCTTTCACAGAAACACACGGTGAGAAGGTAAAGAGGCTAATACTGTATTCTGTGTGACCTTTGCCCCCTGATGTCCCGCGTAGTGATAAGATGGGTGCGCTGCCTCGGTGCCACTTACGTTGAGCATGAATTTAACCAAGTATAACACAAAGTGTGCACGAGATGCACTGCCTGTGTGCGTGTGCATACGTGTGTTTGCAGCTCACGACTCAGAATTGCTGATGCTTCTCCTTTGGGCCCTGTCAAGCACACTTAGCATCAGCGTTTAGGATGCAACGTGGGACAAAGTCTGTGTAATTTGGAAGGAGAGAAGCAGGGAGCCATGGGGACCGTTTAGTTAACACTTGTGAAGGACATGCTCAAATTTATATTTGTAATTTGTGCAATTGTGGCTTCTAATCCTGTTAATGCTGTTTTCCAGTGTACTGTTTTGGACACTTAGCATCAGCGTTTAGGATGCAACGTGGGACAAAGTCTGTGTAATTTGGAAGGAGAGAAGCAGGGAGCCATGGGGACCGTTTAGTTAACACTTGTGAAGGACATGCTCAAATTTATATTTGTAATTTGTGCAATTGTGGCTTCTAATCCTGTTAATGCTGTTTTCCAGTGTACTGTTTTGGCAGGTGTGTCCAATAGAATCAACAAATGCCTCACCAGAAATAAAGGAAGAAAAGTGTTGAGTCCCCAGTGGAGGTAACAAAGGATAACACATGCAGATATATGTGCGTATGAAAAATAAAAAATTGTGTATGGCCATGAAGGGACAATGCACTCCCCGATCCGTTTTGCATTTTTTTCAGGCCGGGAGTGGTGCGGATTAAAAGGGAGAGTTGAAAAAAAATCCCCGTGCAGAGAAGCGGCTCCTTGTCTTTTTTTGTCACTAGGTTTCGATAAGTCCTTTAAATGTACGGCCGACTGTGCAATAACTCATTTTGAACCTGACAATTTAGAACCTGATTCTGGTAACGTTTTTTTTTTTTTTGAATTAAGCCTTTATTGGGATCTCGTTGAAATACCTCCCGGAATATTTCAGTTTAATCGGGAGCCATTTCAATTAATTGAATGTTGAGTCACATCACCACTGGAGGCCAGCAGAGAGCATCAGTGATCACAGCACACGTCATTTCCCAGAACCATCGGACTGCTGGGCAAAAGATCTACTGGCTGTTGTCGTGAGTCATGTCGACGTTATAACCAATCACATATCTTAATCACAGTTTTTTTTTAAATTTTTTAGAACGTCTCCTTGAATGATTAAGTAGTAACATCAACAGGGATTTGTAATAAGGCAAAAATGTAATTCCATCTATTTCTTTTCTGCACCGCTAATATGCTCTTCCCAGTCACTGGAGCTAATCCCGGTGAGGCAAGGTTGTAAATTTCCATATTTTCCTTCAATAAAACATTTGATCAACAACTTTCGTATCGTGTCGCACCCGTCCATTTGTTAGCATCCAAAGAACCGTCGAGTTTACCATTCCAGGCACCTTTCAGTAACCAGGAGGCTTGATAGCTTTCACAGAAACACACGGTGAGAAGGTAAAGAGGCTAATACTGTATTCTGTGTGACCTTTGCCCCCTGATGTCCCGCGTAGTGATAAGATGGGTGCGCTGCCTCGGTGCCACTTACGTTGAGCATGAATTTAACCAAGTATAACACAAAGTGTGCACGAGATGCACTGCCTGTGTGCGTGTGCATACGTGTGTTTGCAGCTCACGACTCAGAATTGCTGATGCTTCTCCTTTGGGCCCTGTCAAGCACACTTAGCATCAGCGTTTAGGATGCAACGTGGGACAAAGTCTGTGTAATTTGGAAGGAGAGAAGCAGGGAGCCATGGGGACCGTTTAGTTAACACTTGTGAAGGACATGCTCAAATTTATATTTGTAATTTGTGCAATTGTGGCTTCTAATCCTGTTAATGCTGTTTTCCAGTGTACTGTTTTGGCAGGTGTGTCCAATAGAATCAACAAATGCCTCACCAGAAATAAAGGAAGAAAAGTGTTGAGTCCCCAGTGGAGGTAACAAAGGATAACACATGCAGATATATGTGCGTATGAAAAATAAAAAATTGTGTATGGCCATGAAGGGACAATGCACTCCATTTCCTAACTCATATGTCCGGATCTGATGTTGATAATGTTATGAATTTGTGCTTTGTGTGCATTGCATGGCAACAATCTATTATTGTGTGGACACAGGTTTAATCCCCTGCCCCCGAAGACATGTCCATATTCTTTTTGTACTTAAGCCATGAGGCATATAAACCGGAACAGATGTTTGAGGACCATGCATGGTTGGATGGCAGTGGAGCAAGAAATGAGTGACCAGTTTACTCCATTACATTTAGTTTCGTCTTTCAAGCGGAGTATCCTTGAAAATCCCCCCCTCCTTCAATGGGATTAGCAGCATCCATGCCTTAGTAGTATGACATGAGCCATCTTTAAACGGCATGTTGGGGGCGGTGCATAGTAGACTGCACATCATGAGAACAAGTTGTGCCTGTGAGACCAAATTCAGGGCGAATATACAGTTTTTTTTTCGCTTTTCGAGAAATAGTGCCGTGCCATAATACTAAAGTGTTCTTATTTGAACCAAGACCCCAGAAGATGTGGGAGTACGTAAACACACACATACACACTCTCACACACCTCCCTCCTCGCGCATGCAGCTGCCACTTGCGGTAGTGACGATGATGATGCTGGCGTGCAGAGGAGAACCAATGACAGCGCAGGATGCTGAGGGAGGCTGCTCGGCTGAATGGAGGCGACGTGATTCCGTTCGTCAAGCAGCACAAGAGAGGAATTGACATCGGGGGAGGTGAGTGTCTTTCTGCACGTTAATCGCAACCCGTTTATCTCGAAATCGCTCGCACGGTCCGTGAAGTGTTCTCTTTTTCCATCCCGTCGATTGCGTTTGCGAGCCGCTTAAAGGGACCCTTACTCGTTCCCGGCCGGTCATTGATCACTAGACAGCGGACGATTTGCGTCCTAACGCCGTCTGCAAAACAATGCAGCGGCGAATAAAATAAGGCTTTTATTTGGCACCTCTCTGGTGTCACAGTGGTGCGTTCAGGGGCTCGAGGCGCACCACGCCGGGGCCATCAAACATGGAGGCCCAATGAGCTGTCAGTAGGTCTGTGCTCCTTATGCAGCATCACATATAATTCAAATATTAGAATCAGTGTTTCAATAGTCAACGCTTCAGTGCGGGATTTTTAACATGAAGACATTTGTAAATGTCCAATTCAGTCCCTTTGACCCCGATATTGAAAGAATGACAATCATCCTCTCTGAATGGGATACATTTGGGGCGTTGAGGCTCAGTAGTAGAATACATGATGAGGAGGCTGCATTTTGCAGCACACTCCAAGGGATTGGTGCTGCTTCTCGGGTGAAATGACTCTTATCAACCCATATTGAGGGCTATTTTTAGAAAAATGTCCTTCTTTGTCTGCCTGAGACTCTGAGGCTCTGACCTCAAAAGGAGAGCGCCATCGTCTCCTTTCGACCACTTGTCTCCCCTCCCTCCTCCCTGTTTCATCCGAACACAATGGATGGGGCCCACCTTTCCCCAAAAAGTCCCAGACATTCACCGGCGAAATCTTTGTGGCATGTCATCTGTGTCCTCTCCACTCCAATGCTCAATAAATTGCCAGTGATGATTCGTCCTGTGGCCCTCACTTGACTCTTCGAGAGGTGTTCTGATCTCTCACTGAATCGTTATTTTATTCAACCACGAGGATGATGCCACTGAGATGAAAAATCTCCTTTTCAAGAGAAACTTGAATCATATGATGTTCGTTATGCCTGTGCAATGCTGGTATGTACTGTATAATGTTGGCGTGTGGCTCAAAATAGAAGCAAAAAGTCAGAACACTCCAAATCTGCATTGGAAAAAGCCTGCATGCACCTGCCAGGACACTTTATGAAGCCCTCCAACACAATAAAATGTCACAGCTGTTTTTATAAAAAAACTGACTTTACAAAAAAAATAAAAATAAAAATTATATATATATATATACATAGTTGAATTACTCTAGCTACATGAGGAGCCAAAAACATTATACACACAGTACAAATTATCAATACTTTACAATTATTTTGGATTATAATTACTATACAAGCTTTATATATTTTTATATATAACTTTATATATAACTTTTTTATATTTTTTTCCATAAAGGCGGATTTTTATTTTTTGGGAGGGATACAGGGCCTTAATGGTGTGTTTAGATAATTCCAAAGGAAAAGCAAAAATGTCTTTTTTTTTTTGTGAATTGAGTAAATTATTTTTTAAATTTCTAGTATGAGGTTGAAGCATTTTTTTTTCTTTAGTGTATTTTAGGTTCGTATATAATTCAGAAGCGAATTAGAATTTTATTTTTTTTTGTATTTGAGGGGGCGTGGCATCATTTAATTGCAAAGCCAGGCAACTCCACAAAAATAATTCAGTTAAAAAAAAAAAAATTAAAAAATCCAAAAAAAGAGTGAGGATAGTCCACTTATTTCCTTTCAAGCAATATCATGTACGTTTTCCTGATGGGTTGGGCAAAATAAATGATTGATTCTTCTAGAATTTGGTGACCAATTATTTGTGTCTTGAAGTGAATGAGGCACATTGGAGTGCACTGCTAAATTACTTTTGATTTTCGGCCAATTAATGATCTGAAGGTGAACACATCACCTGTGGAAATGTGCGCTACATCTCTGGGCAGCACTGAAATTGGAATTCGGAACATTCAGAAAGAAACACTCGCAAAGAACGATGCAACAATACCATTTCATTGATAAAATTTCATTTTCCCCACAGTGGAGCAAGGACATTTAGGGAGCAGACAATGGAGTGACATTCATTGGCCTGTTAAACAATTTATTTCAATGACACTTAAAGACGACGCACATTATGAGCCTCACTTTTTTCTGGCAAAGCATTTGTAGTTCATTCAAGGTGGGGACGGTTTTGCCCGCACTGCCAATTTGTCTCGAGCTGTTGAAAGCTGACCAGTGAAGATAAGAGCAGCTTGTTGTACAGGCTCCACTGTGTTAAATTGGAATTTAATTTACCGTGGCGTCTCAGCGGGTCTCCGGCGAACGCACAGAAGAAGAATTTTTTGTTTATTTTTTTTGACAGATGATTTTTGGACTTTTCAACTTCAACGTGCTAACTCACTTTTGGAGAGAAGAGTAGTGTCCTCTCTGACCTTTTCTTCTCAGAAATGACCTTGCGAATGTCTTCAACAATGGAGACCTGATGCTATCTGATCAATCCACCAAAAATCCAACAACAACGCATGGACAATCTTAAATGAATACTCTTTCAACGACACGTCTTTTCTCCTCTGTCACCTTTGGTAAATGACGGCCAGCGACTGAGGTGCTTAATCTCTGGTAGCCCAGACGTCATCACCATGGCAACTGGTCGGAATAGCAAGTGCCGCCGGAGAGAAAGTACCGTAGCTCTGTCGGATGCTCGAGTTTCTCACAGATGGTCCAGTATCGATCACAAGGTGAAGCTTTAGTGATAGATATGTTTTTTTTTCCCCAGGACCAATGCCGATTATTAGTAGTCAAGGATTCCGATATTTGCTTACGTGGAAATCATCAAAAGTTTGACATATGCAAACTCCCAACATTTGTTCAAATGCCTTTAAGCACGTGTTTTGCACCAGATTTTCAGCTTTGCAACATGTTTATGTTTTTTCCACTATTATAAAATCGACATCCATGTTTCAAAATACTAACAAAAAGTCCAGAGAGCTTACAGGCTAAGCAGCATTCCTTATTAAGGCAAATTAAAACGTCAACAAATAAATAGGTCCAGGTCCAGGTTTTCAGGTGTGTCTATTCAATAGCCTGACAGCAGTCGGCAGGAACGAGCGGCGGTACCTCTCCGTCTTGCAGCGCGGGTGTATCAGTCTCTGGCTGAGGGAGCTGCCGAATGCTGTCAGGGTAGCCTGGAGGGTTTTAACGCAGTCAAACCTCCGAAAGAACATTTAGTTATTCTTTGAGGTTGTCATTTTAAATTTGTGTGTCATTCACCTGACAAATCCAAAGTGTTTGTCCTCCTCCAGGCGCCTCCCCGTTGCTCCTTCCAACTTTGACCAGCTCCACCTCCCCAAGACCATAAATCAAGTCACCCATGTGCGGTTCAGCGAACCTGTGCAGTATCATCGCAGCGCGCCCCCGTTAAGGACCCCCCTGGTGGCCGTGCGGCCGACTCACGGGACATGTACGGCAGTGCCAGAGCTGTAGGTCACTTAGAGAGCAGCCCCGCACGCTCCCCGCGCCTGCCTCGGTCCCCCAGACTGGGCCATCGGAGGGCCAACAGCGGGGGCGGGAGCGGCGCGGGGGGCAAGACGCTCTCCATGGAGAACATCCAGTCTCTCAACGCTGCCTACGCCACTTCAGGCCCCATGTACCTGAGCGACCACGAGGGCGTGGGCTCCACGGCCACGTACCCCAAAGGCACCACCACTCTGGGTCGGGCCACCAACCGGGCCATGTACGGGGGCCGCGTCACAGCCATGGGCAGTAGTCCCAACATCGCTTCGGTGGGACTGCCCCATGCTGACCTTCTGTCTTACAGTGACCTGGGCTCCATCTCCATGCTGCACGCCCACCACCACCACCATCAGGGGGTGCCCTCCGCCCTGCTCAGGCAGGCGGTGCGGAGCAGTGGGGGGGAACTGCTGGAGATGCAGGCCCAGTTCAGGGATATGCAGAGGGAGAACGAGATGCTGCGCAGGGAGCTGGACCTGAAGGACAGCAAGCTGGGCTCGTCCACTAACAGCATCAAGAGCTTCTGGAGCCCCGAACTGAAGAAGGAGCGCATCATGAGGAAGGAGGAGGCGGCGCGCACGTCTATCCTGAAGGAGCAGATGAGAGTCACTCATGAGGAGAACCAGGTGAGACCCATGTGCACGCTTTCTGCCATTTCCTACAGGGAGAGCTCTGTGATGGCCTCTTGTCCATCAACTTTTGCCGTGCGGTATTTTTCTCACCCTCTTTTACGTGGTAGACCACTTTTATGTTTCGGAGGCCTTTCTGGAAAGAGTTACTGCACTTTAATGCGTGAATATTCGACACGTTCATTTGAACATAGCTGCACGGTATGCACCGCCCATATTTGTGGTATTTTGGGATTAAAAAAAAATAATAATAATCAAACCTTCATACAAGAAATGTCTCTTTGTAGTACAGTTGCCCTCATCGCAAGGGAACATTCGAGACCCGTCCACAATAGGTCAAAATCGGGAGTATAAAGTTTCGCATATTAGTTTCATTTTTCATCCCCCAAATATCAGTGAGGACTTTCATAGTTTTTTTTTCATAATAAGGGAAATAACACTCTTTCGTACTGTACTTTATAAAAGCATAACTAAATAGTTGATGCATGATTAAAGATTCATTCATTGCAGCTCCTTCTGGTGCGTGCGAACTAGGCCAACATGGCGCAATCATCCATACACAAATAGATAACAGTTCCACAACTACTTGTATTGATTCAGTACGCTGCTGTAATATTAAGTGTTTTTCATAGACGATAAAGTATATATGCTTGTGGCAGTGAGCATTGTTCTGTTTTCTGTCTACGTGTGTTGCTGCGCCAGTCGTGTTCAGATATCACTTTTTATAATAAAGCCACATGGATGCTCTTCGTTAACCCGTGTATGGCATTGTGTGAGCATTAAACTACCGGAGTTTAAGGCAAAGTAATATTGTATTTTTAAATACACAATATGTGATTCTCTTGGTTTTATGTCAGCAAACTTCGACTGGGAGGGGTATTAATCAAACATTTTGATGCATCTTTTTTGAAGCACTCTTATCTCCAATTTTTACTCACAAGTAAAAGCAAAAATTAAAAAAAGCCTGTAAAATGATGGCCCGTATCTAAAAAAAAAAAAAAAAAAATTGCTAAATCTGGTCGCTCATAACTGAAGGCACCACAACATTCCTCCGTGCCTGTTCTCACTCTCCCACTTAAATTTGCCCAAAATAAGAGGCAGGGAGTGCTTGCTTGTTTGTCTCTGCAGTTGGGGTTCAGTGACTCATAAAATAAAAGAGAATCATTCAATATAACTTCCACATAATTGCATCTAATGAAAGTCTGCGGCAGTAATCACAAGCCTTCGAGCAACTCCTTCGACACAAACAGCATCCATCAATCCTCACAAACATGGTCTCTCTGCTCTGGAGGAACAACAAATATTAAACAGCCAAATATGGTGACCCACTGTGTTACACCGATGGGGCATCATCTGCTTTCTGTTAATTACGCGGCATCTCTTCCAGCAGACTTTAGTGCTGCCCTTCATGTTGCTGCACAATGTGGGACTACTCTAAAGGCGGACAACTCTAAAGTCGGACTTGCTTGTCTAAACCCGCGTTCAATTAAGAATGCACCAGATCATAAAACAGGGGCAGAAATGTTGTGCTGAACCACGTATGCCAGGTGTTTACTGAAGAGCATTCACCACATTTTGACACGAGAATATTCATCAAAGTCTGCGTGGGGTCCTTCGTTGGCTATCCTGAGTGCGGGGGTGTCGACATGACCCAGTTAAATCAACTTGTGACAAGAGTGGGCACCTCGCTCAGAGACAGACGACACAAAAAAAAAAGCTTCCCGCCTTTTAATTCCTCTGATCATCTGTCCGCCTCCGTTGCAAAAAAAGTTGATCTTTTACTAAATGCATAAAATCCCCCAAAGCGCAGATGTCTTTTATTTGGTGATAGCCTCGTATACTCGTTTCTAAAATAAGTAAAGTCATTCCAGACTGAACATAATCTAGGTTCCAATTTCCACTCCGCCTTGAGTCATGCTCATTTCGTAGCTTGTCATCTTCATCTCATTATGCAAATTGCTAATAAAAAAAAAAAACTTAGCCAGAAGAAGTGTAGTGGCGTATGCGCTCGGTTGGTATTTTGCTTGTTGGGATACTCGAGTGTATCCAGACTCTGGCACGATGCAGCTCCATTTTCAAGCCAAGTAAAAGGTGTTATCTTTATTGTTCTCTTCCATGTTACGATCAGCCAAAGCAGCACAACTCTTTCTTTTATTGTTAAAGCCAGATTGTGTGGACCTCCCATTCAATTTCAAACCGAAACGTCTGTTGCTTCTGCATCTGTGGCTTCCCTCGAGTTTAAAGAGACGGCGTGTTAGTGTGGAGCTTTCGTTCTCGGTCACACTTTGATGGTTGCACCTGAAGAGCCACGGGGGCTGGGATTCATTCATTCTATGTATGTCATTGTTCAGCACTATTCAGCACTTGGTTTTGGATCCTTTTACACGTGTTAAACCTAGTTGCATATATTTCAGAGAGTAAAATACAAAAAGATGCACATTTTGGACTTCTTTTGCTGGATGTAGACCATTTCTTGCACTCGGCGTTATCTCGAGCGCTGCACTCAATTATGTTCACAGGCAGATGTGGCGGCGTGCCATAATTGCTCTTTTCTATCTTGATTTCTGGGTTCCTAAAATGTGCACGCTGGGCCAGACATTGTCTGAAGAACGACTGTGTAGTTAAACGGCCAAGACTATTGTGGAAGAGCCTTGGGCCACCTTTGAATTCATTGTTTTGCTCATGCCTTAATGCCCATATACTGTAGGATTAGACAATAATTAAGAATTATATATGTTTTATGTTCACCTATGGTGTGGTGGCTCATTCGCTTGACTTCCGTGCAAGTAGCTTGAGTTCAGTTCCCGCTAACTGCCTGTTAGAACATGAGTGAACGATTTTCATTTTTTCTTTCATGTGAGTGAATTTCACATCTTCTCCTCTATGAGAAACTCACAACATAACAGAAATTGTAGACATCCCCCATGCTTTTATTTTTCCCATACATGCAGTTTTAAGTTATACAAGATTATAGAATAGAACTACCGGTATGTCAAGGCGCAATTTCATAAAACAGAACCCGAATTAATTTAGTGACTAACATATTCCAGTTTGCTGATTTGCTACGTCAAAATGATTCCTCCGGAGAAGGTGATGAAGTCAAGAAAGCAAGCGGCGCTTGATATCTCTCAGTATAGTTTGCATTATAGCAACTCTCAGAGCAGGTGCCTCGAGGGCTCTGTAAGCTTTAGCAAATAATGCGCATCATTCATCTGCTTAATAAGGTGAGGGAATAAGGGCCTGTGTTTACCACGTCCAAACAGCACTATTGTGTGAGAGTCGTCGAGGCGGTTCCAACAACATACGACTGTTTGACTTCAGCACAATTTCCAGAGCTGCCGAAGCTGGACAGAACCTGCTGGCGGCAAAGATACGAGCTGGAGCCAGTTATGTCTGACTGAGTCACGACCGGCAGTGACGCTCAACACGCCCGGGCCCTTTTCAGCACAAGCCCCAAAATGGAGGCTGAGCTACATACTGTACATCACAACACAAAATGTTTCTTTATTTTTATATAGAAATTTAAATGCTGTCAAAATGAGACCTTAATACGGTGTGTATGCGGAATGAATGCGATCAGTTGGGCATTAAAAAATGGGGAGCATCTCACTTTTCGGATCTAGCACACGGGCATAGCAAAGGATAAGTGTTTTTTCTCATCGGCACGGTGACCACGACAATATCAGATGGGATTTGACTGACTCACAGGAAGTGGTACGCTCCTGCTATTGATGGTTGAGTCACAGTCTTTTTCAGCCTTAGTGCAATTATGCAAATGCACTCATTGACTGCACTAAGCACTTTAGCTCCAAGACGGAAGGCTATTGATCAGGGCAGAACATGAGATAAAGAGGAAGCTGAGATACTGGACGGACACGCTGAGAGGAGATGCACCACTCTTTTGACGTTATTGATTGACCAATCAAAATTGAAATCTATATTTTTATTGTGAGTCATTGCATTGTGTCATTATCATGGTGGGATGTGAGTTTTTTTTATTCTCCATTGCTACATTTTAACTTGTTGAAATGGCTACGATGTCTGTGACAGAAGACTTGAATGGAAAATGACACGAAATGGAGGCTATGAGCGGTGGATGGATTCTGGTAATGACTCACACATGGAGTGTGACTAACATCGCGGTACATGGCAGCAGCCTCTCACTCAGCAGGAACTTTTACAGATGATGCCAGAAGAAAAACACTGCCGACTAGTGGTCGTAAATACACACAGCAAGAACATTAAGTTACACTGCTTGCTGACAGAGATCGTGGGATAATTCTCATGATTATACCGGTGCTGTGTTGGTGCGAATACAATACAAAATTTGTGTAAAACTGTTCTGCATCATACTGATTTCTAATGTTTTGATCGGGCCAGGTAGCTGAAAATGCTTATTAAATATCAGGAACCACCCCTCAGTATCATCCAGTTCAGTTATATAACACAACAGTGACTCCTCAAGCAAAGGTGTTTTTTTGCGAACTTTGCCAAAGGGCCTCCACTTGAACAGATCCTGCTTTATACGGCTGTGTTCTCCATAATTATTATTGAGTGTATTTTGTGAAATGTTGGAAATTAAAGCCACAACTACAAATCATAACCTGCCGTGAGCTGTCAAACAGGAGGTTGGGAACTGCTAAATACACCTGACAGACTCCACGGGAACGATAAGGCTTGCGTATCTAAATAGAAGAGCTGATGAGGGCAAAGACTGAAGATGACCATTTGACTTTACAGCAACGCTAACTTGGACTGAGCTGACGAGGACAGGGATGACAGGAAGATGACACGCACACACGATGAAATACATTTCTGTCCAAAGCGCCATTCCAAATTTCAGTCGGTGACAGTGACGCCTCATCTCATCATTTAGCAGGATCTTTACTTACTCACGTACTGTATTAATATTTCAGCCTTTAGTTTTGCTGCGATTTGGAATTTGAATGGCAGGTGAATGCTGTCACAGCGTTGCAGAAGCAACAGCCAATTAAAAATGTCGTGTTGAATCACGTGAGCTTTCACGGTAGACCAAAAAAAAAACGTTATGACGTGTCAAAATGTGCTTTTATAGTAACCACAATGAGTAACAGTGGCGTCGACTATCTGGTGTAAATTACGTAAAATGTATTTATAAGATCACAACTTTTCTTTCAATGGGCTGCAATTATATTTCATTTTAAAATGTTGGATTTTCAATTATTTTTTTAGTGAGGTAAAAACGAGTCAAGTCATTCATAGTAAAGGTAAAGGGTGAATGTTGTTTGTGACTTTGCAGTCATCTCTTTCCAGAAAGGTCAATATATATTTTTTTTCTGAAGGAATCTTGTGATCGAAATGTGAGTAACATAAACAGCTGGACAAACAGTAAAGAGGCTTCTTTTTTCCAAAATTGGTCAGGTTCATGTTGCCCATTCGTCTCTGTGACGTCATAACCTGACACTGACTGTTTTACCATACATTTGTGTTTTATTTTATTTTTTTTTTCTGTTCATTCTGCCCATGCTGTGCAGCTGCTGGATGCCAGGAGAACAAAGGTTTGTCCCTATGTTTGCACCAAATGTGGCGTGCACAACATAGAGTCACCTTCAGTGTGATGTGTATTTGCAGAAACCTGGCAATCCCTTTCCACCTCTTCTCCTTATGTGACACCAAGTAGAAATTCAAAAGATTCCCATGAATGGCCACCAATACCATTTCACTCATGCTGCCCCAAAATATGTTCCTATAGGTAAATTACACGTATTGTTGTTAATCCTTTCACTCCAAATGTGTCTTCCTCGTGCAAAACCACAACTCACAACCCCTGATTACTGAAGAGGTACATCTGTGATATCAGTTTGAATTATTCGTTATTTACATTTTTTTAACTACCAAATTTCTCACACTATTTTGTACCATCAAAAAATGTCCGTGTATAGTATTATTTCAAAAATGTTAACAATATTCTGTCGAATTCAGGACACCAGGGCAAAGCTACCGAAGCAAGCAGTCATCCAACGTCCCGCTAAGAAACGTCTGTTAGCACATTCTACGTGCTCACACAGAAGTTAAGCAGTTGTTAACCTTTTTCACTTCAAATCAGGAGCAGTTGGTTCCAGTCTTCGCTTCCAATTTGAGTCACTTTGAATGTGAGGAGTTCATATCCGCGCAAGTCTAGCTCAAAGTGCAGACTAACCGCGCGCATGGAACGCAGCCTACTTTTCTGTGACCAAATTATCATCAGAGGCGCGGCAGCTCCCTGCACCACAACGCCCAAGTGAGGCGCATCGTTGTCCCAAACGTGCTAGACTAGACTAGTCTGGGCACTAAAATGAAGTTGCGCCCGTTTTTGCGTCAGAGCGCGTCGATACATGCCAACATAAAAAGGAAAAATATTGATCTTTGAAGTTAAAAACCCCTATTTAGCTGCTGTACGAACATTCAACCGCTAGAGGGTGCTAACGGACTATAACACGGCAAGCTGAATTTGTGATTTTTTTTTTTAACTCAATCGAACATTGTTCGATTGAGTTGTTGCTAGGGGGACAGCTTTGGGTCAGGAAACCGGAAGTGACGTGGTTCCCCCAATCTTACGAGACTGAGTTCCGTACATGTGCTTCCAGTGTTATGCCAATTAAAGTCAAGTAAGCAAATGCTTTAACCGTCCATTCTGTTTTGTTGAGTGAGAACAGAACAGAGTGAAACACTCAATATTCTACACTGAACTTTTCGTTGATGGAAAATTTTAGTGTTAGTAAATCGAACTGATGGCACAGAATTTTTTTCGTTAAGGTTTTTGGACATACAGATTCTGCTCTTTACAACTGACTAAATATGGATCAGGACACCACAATCATATTGTTGAATCAGTACCTCTCTGACAGTATCAATCAAAATCAATATCATTGTAAACTTCTTAATGGTATCGTTTCTGATTCAGGTTTTGTACTGCATGTAACGAGGTTGTGCAAGTGTACCGAATGTTGTGCCTGGTGTAGATTCAATATTTTCCTCTGAAGGACGATGCAGTATTTTTATGTCATATTAGGTTGCCAGGCATCTTTATGAAGCAGCCTTTTGAATTTACAGATTCATTTAATTAATTTCATACAGGTCAATAAAACAGAGAAACCTCAGCACACGAATATTGGTTTGATGGGTTTCTATAGATGCCCCGCATATTCTTTTGGGACTCCATCAAGTCTCCCTATTCTGATTAATCCTCTGTCACATGTTTTCCAAAGTAAGGCATCTTTCTATGTTGACATCTTTGATGACGGTATTAGCTGGTAAAGAAGGTAAGACCTCCTCCTCCTGTTTGTCCACCCACGGTTGCGCCACTTTAAATACATTCTTCCCAACATTTCAGAAGTATGTGTCACCCTCCTGTCTGTTCCACTACCTTCAAACATTTGTACTTTTTCCAACACATGAGCCTATGTGTGTTTTGTCTGAACCTCATCAGCATCTCCAGATGACCATCCAGGCTCTCCAGGACGAGCTGCGCACGCAACGCGATCTCAACCACTTGCTGCAGCAAGAGAGCGGCAACCGCTCCGGCGCCGAGCATTTCACCACCATCGAGCTGACCGAGGAGAACTTCCGCCGGCTGCAGGCCGAGCACGACCGGCAGGCCAAGGAACTCTTCCTGCTGAGGAAAACCCTGGAAGAGATGGAGCTGAGGATCGAGACTCAGAAGCAGACGCTGGGAATGCTGTCAAAATGAGACCTTAATACGGTGTGTATGCGGAATGAATGCGATCAGTTGGGCATTAAAAAATGGGGAGCATCTCACTTTTCGGATCTAGCACACGGGCATAGCAAAGGATAAGTGTTTTTTCTCATCGGCACGGTGACCACGACAATATCAGATGGGATTTGACTGACTCACAGGAAGTGGTACGCTCCTGCTATTGATGGTTGAGTCACAGTCTTTTTCAGCCTTAGTGCAATTATGCAAATGCACTCATTGACTGCACTAAGCACTTTAGCTCCAAGACGGAAGGCTATTGATCAGGGCAGAACATGAGATAAAGAGGAAGCTGAGATACTGGACGGACACGCTGAGAGGAGATGCACCACTCTTTTGACGTTATTGATTGACCAATCAAAATTGAAATCTATATTTTTATTGTGAGTCATTGCATTGTGTCATTATCATGGTGGGATGTGAGTTTTTTTTATTCTCCATTGCTACATTTTAACTTGTTGAAATGGCTACGATGTCTGTGACAGAAGACTTGAATGGAAAATGACACGAAATGGAGGCTATGAGCGGTGGATGGATTCTGGTAATGACTCACACATGGAGTGTGACTAACATCGCGGTACATGGCAGCAGCCTCTCACTCAGCAGGAACTTTTACAGATGATGCCAGAAGAAAAACACTGCCGACTAGTGGTCGTAAATACACACAGCAAGAACATTAAGTTACACTGCTTGCTGACAGAGATCGTGGGATAATTCTCATGATTATACCGGTGCTGTGTTGGTGCGAATACAATACAAAATTTGTGTAAAACTGTTCTGCATCATACTGATTTCTAATGTTTTGATCGGGCCAGGTAGCTGAAAATGCTTATTAAATATCAGGAACCACCCCTCAGTATCATCCAGTTCAGTTATATAACACAACAGTGACTCCTCAAGCAAAGGTGTTTTTTTGCGAACTTTGCCAAAGGGCCTCCACTTGAACAGATCCTGCTTTATACGGCTGTGTTCTCCATAATTATTATTGAGTGTATTTTGTGAAATGTTGGAAATTAAAGCCACAACTACAAATCATAACCTGCCGTGAGCTGTCAAACAGGAGGTTGGGAACTGCTAAATACACCTGACAGACTCCACGGGAACGATAAGGCTTGCGTATCTAAATAGAAGAGCTGATGAGGGCAAAGACTGAAGATGACCATTTGACTTTACAGCAACGCTAACTTGGACTGAGCTGACGAGGACAGGGATGACAGGAAGATGACACGCACACACGATGAAATACATTTCTGTCCAAAGCGCCATTCCAAATTTCAGTCGGTGACAGTGACGCCTCATCTCATCATTTAGCAGGATCTTTACTTACTCACGTACTGTATTAATATTTCAGCCTTTAGTTTTGCTGCGATTTGGAATTTGAATGGCAGGTGAATGCTGTCACAGCGTTGCAGAAGCAACAGTCAATTAAAAATGTGTTGAATCACGTGAGCTTTCACGGTAGACCAAAAAAAAAACGTTATGACGTGTCAAAATGTGCTTTTATAGTAACCACAATGAGTAACAGTGGCGTCGACTATCTGGTGTAAATTACGTAAAATGTATTTATAAGATCACAACTTTTCTTTCAATGGGCTGCAATTATATTTCATTTTAAAATGTTGGATTTTCAATTATTTTTTTAGTGAGGTAAAAACGAGTCAAGTCATTCATAGTAAAGGTAAAGGGTGAATGTTGTTTGTGACTTTGCAGTCATCTCTTTCCAGAAAGGTCAATATATATTTTTTTTCTGAAGGAATCTTGTGATCGAAATGTGAGTAACATAAACAGCTGGACAAACAGTAAAGAGGCTTCTTTTTTCCAAAATTGGTCAGGTTCATGTTGCCCATTCGTCTCTGTGACGTCATAACCTGACACTGACTGTTTTACCATACATTTGTGTTTTATTTTTATTTTTTTCTGTTCATTCTGCCCATGCTGTGCAGCTGCTGGATGCCAGGAGAACAAAGGTTTGTCCCTATGTTTGCACCAAATGTGGCGTGCACAACATAGAGTCACCTTCAGTGTGATGTGTATTTGCAGAAACCTGGCAATCCCTTGACACCTCTTCTCCTTATGTGACACCAAGTAGAAATTCAAAAGATTCCCATGAATGGCCACCAATACCATTTCACTCATGCTGCCCCAAAATATGTTCCTATAGGTAAATTACACGTATTGTTGTTAATCCTTTCACTCCAAATGTGTCTTCCTCGTGCAAAACCACAACTCACAACCCCTGATTACTGAAGAGGTACATCTGTGATATCAGTTTGAATTATTCGTTATTTACATTTTTTTAACTACCAAATTTCTCACACTATTTTGTACCATCAAAAAATGTCCGTGTATAGTATTATTTCAAAAATGTTAACAATATTCTGTCGAATTCAGGACACCAGGGCAAAGCTACCGAAGCAAGCAGTCATCCAACGTCCCGCTAAGAAACGTCTGTTAGCACATTCTACGTGCTCACACAGAAGTTAAGCAGTTGTTAACCTTTTTCACTTCAAATCAGGAGCAGTTGGTTCCAGTCTTCGCTTCCAATTTGAGTCACTTTGAATGTGAGGAGTTCATATCCGCGCAAGTCTAGCTCAAAGTGCAGACTAACCGCGCGCATGGAACGCAGCCTACTTTTCTGTGACCAAATTATCATCAGAGGCGCGGCAGCTCCCTGCACCACAACGCCCAAGTGAGGCGCATCGTTGTCCCAAACGTGCTAGACTAGACTAGTCTGGGCACTAAAATGAAGTTGCGCCCGTTTTTGCGTCAGAGCGCGTCGATACATGCCAACATAAAAAGGAAAAATATTGATCTTTGAAGTTAAAAACCCCTATTATTTAGCTGCTGTACGAACCTTCAACCGCTAGAGAGTGCTAACGGACTATAACACGGAAAGCTGAATTTGTGATTTTTTTTTTAACTCAATCTAACAATAGTATTGTTAGATCTAACAATAGTATTGTTAGATTGAGTTGTCGCTAGGGGGGCAGCTTTGGGTGAGGAAACCGGAAGTGACGTGTGTTTCCCCCAATGTTACGAGACTGAGTTCCGTACATGTGCTTCCAGTGTTATGCCAATTAAAGTCAAGTAAGCAAATGCTTTAACCGTCCATTCTGTTTTGTTGAGTGAGAACAGAACAGAGTGAAACACTCAATATTCTACACTGAACTTTTCGTTGATGGAAAATTTTAGTGTTAGTAAATCGAACTGATGGCACAGAATTTTTTTCGTTAAGATTTTTGGACATACAGATTCTGCTCTTTACAACTGACTAAATATGGATCAGGACACCACAATCATATTGTTGAATCAGTACCTCTCTGACAGTATCAATCAAAATCAATATCATTGTAAACTTCTTAATGGTATCGTTTCTGATTCAGGTTTTGTACTGCATGTAACGAGGTTGTGCAAGTGTACCGAATGTTGTGCCTGGTGTAGATTCAATATTTTCCTCTGAAGGACGATGCAGTATTTTTATGTCATATTAGGTTGCCAGGCATCTTTATGAAGCAGCCTTTTGAATTTACTTACAGATTAATTTAATTAATTTCATACAGGTCAATAAAACAGAGGAACCTCAGCACACGAATATTGGTTTGATGGGTTTCTATAGATGCCCCGCATATTCTTTTGGGACTCCATCAGGTCTCCTTATGCTGATTAATCCTCTGTCACATGTTTTCCAAAGTAAGGCATCTTTCTATGTTGACATCTTTGATGATGGTATTAGCTGGTAAAGAAGGTAAGACCTCCTCCTCCTGTTTGTCCACCCACGGTTGCGCCACTTTAAATACATTCTTCCCAACATTTCAGAAGTATGTGTCACCCTCCTGTCTGTTCCACTACCTTCAAACATTTGTACTTTTTCCAACACATGAGCCTATGTGTGTTTTGTCTGAACCTCATCAGCATCTCCAGATGACCATCCAGGCTCTCCAGGACGAGCTGCGCACGCAACGCGATCTCAACCACTTGCTGCAGCAAGAGAGCGGCAACCGCTCCGGCGCCGAGCATTTCACCACCATCGAGCTGACCGAGGAGAACTTCCGCCGGCTGCAGGCCGAGCACGACCGGCAGGCCAAGGAACTCTTCCTGCTGAGGAAAACCCTGGAAGAGATGGAGCTGAGGATCGAGACGCAGAAGCAGACGCCCTCAACCACTTGCTGCAGCAGGAGAGCGGCAACCGCTCCGGCGCCGAGCACTTCACCACCATCGAGTTGACCGAGGAGAACTTCCGCCGGCTGCAGGCCGAGCACGACCGGCAGGCCAAGGAACTCTTCCTGCTGAGGAAAACCCTGGAAGAGATGGAGCTGAGGATCGAGACGCAGAAGCAGACGCTGGGAGCCAGAGACGAGTCCATTAAGAAGCTGCTGGAGATGCTGCAGAGTAAAGGGCTGCCCTCGGGGCCTGGCAGGGTTTCTGAGGAGGAGGAGCAGGAGAGGAACAGGCGCATTGCTGAGGCGGAAGCCCAGCTGGGACACTTGGAGGTCATTCTAGACCAGAAGGAGAAGGAAAACATCCATCTTAGGGAGGTATGCTATCACATGACATATCGACGCCTTTATGATTTTTGCAATATACACTTTCCCAGCGTGTTGTGTGTTTGGTTCTCCAAGGAATTGCACCGAAGAAATCAGCTGCACCAGGATCCAAGCAAAACAAAGGCCCTGCAAACCATCATCGAGATGAAAGTAAGTACAATTTAAACATGTGCCACACGAGCAAAAAGAGCAAGTAATAAACAGCCAATCAAGAAAGGAAGGAACACAACTTGCGTACAGAAACTCAAATCTAACACACACACACACACACACACACACACACACACACACACACACACACACACGCACGCGCGCATTATATTGAATTTATGGACATTTTGTATCAAGTGTATTAGTTACTGTTCAAACACTGGAAACCTACTCTTGTTATTGCGATACTCTGCTGAGTCAACACACTGGCAGATGTTTGTTAAACAAGCGTGCGTGTTTATATGTGCCCCAGTGTGTGGCTGCTCCAAAGCAGCTGTAGCCTGTGTCAACCTCAACATTCAATTTAATAACACCTTTCAAATTTCATGCTTGCAGAAGTGTGCAATCATAAACACACACACGCACACACAAAAAAAAAAAAAAAAAAAGGAACGTGATGTCGCTGGTCCGAACTAGCAACTCGCAAAACAAGTCAGATTTGTTTTGGTCACAAAGTCACGCAATCTGCGAAGTTGCAAAGATTGCGATTGGCCTATTTGATTTGATTTAGAGGTCATTGTGGAATTTTGGATTGATGCAATTCAGATTAAAATAAAGCAACTGAATGTGGAGTGTGCATGTTTTCACCATGCTTGTGGAGTTTCTTTGGGTGTCCTGGTCACCCCACACATTCCCAAAATGTACATTTTAGGTCAGGTACATCAAAGACTCAAAATTGTTGAGAGGTTTGAATGTGACTGTGAATGGTTGTTTGTCTATCTGTGCCCGTATTACTGGCAGGCGTCCAGTCATGGGTGTACCCCACTTTTCTTACCAGAAGGTAGCAAAAGCTGGTATTGGCTCCAAGACACAGGAACAGGAAAAGTGCTCTGGAACAGTCTTTCCCAATCTTTATTGAGCCAATTAATCAGTGCAGCACCAAAATGAGAGTATGAATGCTTGGATAAAACATGAAAGTGCACCATTTAAGGCAGGGATGTACAACTGGCAGCTCACGACCACACTCTGGGTGTGCCCCCAGTAGCACTGATGAAAAATGGTGGCCCCCTCCAGCATTCACGTTGGCCATCCCTAATTTAAGGGGATAGACAACCAGGCTTAATACTTTCATGAGGCATCCTCAGAGACCACACCCACAAATGGTGCACAAAGGTAGATCTATCATTGCAGTGCACTCCAACTGCATCATAGACATACGCGAGATGTGCTCCACACTCGTCTGAAAGCAATCAGATCTCCTCCGATCTGAAGACTACATCTGACAAGCCGAGAAATTCAGGCCATGAAGCGAGCGAATCTCCGTCGACTCCAGCAGCCTCACTGCAGAGGCCTGACATCACTTCCTCAAAATAAATCATGACATCATCGCTGAGCAGACAGGGCCGAACCCCGCCCCACCCCTTCGCCTCGGCTGGCGCGGCCGTCACGTGGTATGCAAATTGTGCCATCCTTGTCGATGAGCGCGGCGAGCGAAGGGGGAAGACCCGCCTCCTCTCGCTGTGTGCAGGAAGACCCCGCGCCGCTCCCCTCCTCTTTACCGCTCCCGCTTCCTCTCCGGTGCTTGTGATGCTGATGGAAGCGCCAATAATCCTCCCTCCCCTTCTCCCTTACGCCCTCTCCTCCTCGCCGAGCCGAGAGCGTGCGCGGCGTACAGCCTGCTCGCTGCTGCCATGGAAACAGGTGTGGTTGTTTATGACAGTCAGAAGCCAGCATGCAAGCAGACAGAGCCAAAGGGAGTCCGGGAAAACATTTCGTGAGCAAATGGATGCAACCGGTGATGACGTGTGGAGGGAATAAAATCTATCGCCGTTGAAGGTACGGCGACTTGCGTCTTTTGCGGCGATCTTAGTTGATGGACGTCGATGCGAGGTGAGCTGTAACGTGCATGTACGACGCTCACGAGAGTCTTACGGCTCCCGAGGGGATTCGCTGCCACTGTTCCTCTTCGGTGGTTTAGGGTTGAGCCCTTGAACAAGTTCATAAGTTCAGAGTCACTTGGGCAAAAGGAAATGAAGCTTGCGTGAGAGGGGTCACGGACCATGTTGAAGATGTTGTATTATTTATTAAAAAAAAAAGAAAGAAAGAAAAAGCTGAGGTGCACTCACACTCACAGCCTTGCGGAATCCGCAAGCAGCAAAATCTGCAGCGTGTTACTTTTCCTCCTTTTTTTCCACCGCATGTTTCTCTCCACTCTGCCACTGCTGAATGTTTGTGCAACATTTCCCAATGGTGATTAGTCCTCTGCGCTGTAGCAGCCTAGCAAGCTTCTCAGATCTCTGACAGCTGCAGTCGCTCGGACACAATCCAGAGAACTTCCTTTCCTCTCATTCCGCGCGATCTATCTCTCTTTTTCTGTTTTTTTTTTTCCTGTCGTCCTCACTCTAAATCCTCCTTCAGTCTGCCTTTGTGGACTATATAATAGACTTCAGTTTGAATTTGTTTCCCACAACTTATGAGCATGTCAGTGTGGATTCTGACATATGTCTCATCTGCATGTTTGCGTGCAGGACACCAAAATTGCCTCCCTGGAGCGCAACATTCGCGACCTGGAGGATGAGATCCAAATGTTGAAGGCAAACGGCTTGCTGAACACGGAGGACCGCGAGGAGGAGATCAAGCAGATGGAGGTCTACAAGAACCACTCCAAGTTTATGAAGACCAAGGTAGGCGGCGCGCTTGCGTCCTGTCAAAGTTCGACATTCTCCCCAAAGTGGGTCACGATTGAGCCGTGCAGAGAGGTGAAGACCGAATAACGCTGCCGTGTTTAGCGTTTAGCGCCATCAGCAAACTGTCTTGTTGGAAGTCATCTTAGAGGTGCTTGTGCATGTTTTTTCTTTTTTATTTCAAGGAGATAAGAAGACAAACCCGGCAATAAAAAAATGAACTCAAATGTGTTCTTTGAATTCAACGTCTGCACTTCATCACGCCAACTCCTGCATGTCTCTCTCTACAGGGACTCATCTGTCTCCCTGTAGCATTGACTTTGTGTTTACTCATTGATTCTTCTGTTAGTGGACCAGGCGCAGACCAGTCCACAGTTTTGTTGTGCTATTTATAGACCTTTTTTCATCCATCATGAATAGGAATGATGTATAATACATGATGAATGCGGGGGAAGTGGGGGGGGGGGGATTCAGTCCCAAATGCATTTTTAATGCTAGCAACTTGTGTTGATGAAAATAGCGCCAAAGCTGGATTCTGTGCGTGTGCGCGCGGGTGTGTTCGTACAGATTGACCAACTCAAGCAGGAGTTGTCAAAGAAGGAGTCCGAGTTGCTGGCTCTGCAGACGAAGTTGGAGACCCTCAACAACCAGAACTCGGACTGCAAACAGCACATTGAAGTGCTCAAAGAGTCTCTCACTGCCAAAGAGCAACGGGCGGCCATCCTGCAAACAGAGGTAACGTGAAAACATGTCGTGGAAGATCATTTCTAACCTTCACAAGGAGCAAAATGAACGGCCTTGCCTTAGGGGCCTGAGGCAAATAATGTCAGCAACTGTTGCAAAAGCTCCCAAAAAATATTTTGTGATTTCGATGAAACATGATGACGATGAAAACAACATGCTTTGGCGATGTTTTTCTTCACTTTTGGCCTTAGACAAGGTGGAAGGGATTATGAACAGCTCCAAGGTCATTGTTAGCACATTAATGTCAGGCTTCTACTAGAAAGGAGAAGAGGGTGTGCACACTTGTCCAGCAACATTATTTCATCATCTGTCAGATTTTTTTTTTTTAATTGAATTGTACATCTTATAAATTTCCATCCAGCATTGCATTATCTGTCTTAAAAGTCAGAATTATTGACACAGCTAGTTCTGGGGTGGATGTCATTAGATTGCACAGGTGTGCCTTATTCTTGTGTCTTGGGGGTGTCATCGGAAAGAAGTCAGTGAAGTCAACCAAGCCTCTTTTGAAAGCGAATGTGACACTTTTCTGTCGGTGTTCTAGTCGCGCATTGTTTCAAGTCATCTGACATGTTTTTTTTTTTTTTTGGGGGTGGGGGTGTAATGCTCCAGGTAGATGCATTGCGTCTGCGTTTGGAGGAGAAAGAGTCCTTCCTCAACAAGAAAACCAAGCAGCTGCAGGACCTGACCGAAGAGAAAGGCACTCTTGCTGGAGAGATCAGGGACATGAAGGACATGCTAGAGGTCAAAGAGAGAAAAATCAACGTCCTGCAGAAGAAGGTATTCATATTTTGATTCCCTTGACGGGTTCTGGTCCATTACGTCATATTGCTCTCACCTACATACCAATAACACAAGTCGCTTGTAGTACTCCACTAGCAAATACAGCCGCATACGGTAAATTGTATCGCTGACTGATGTGGATGCATCTACGTCAAGTCCACTTCGCAGTTTGAATTCACCCTTAACACCAAATGGATTGATTCTCAATGCCGTTTTATGTATCATCGACTACAAGCCTCGCGATCTGAAAATCAAAGTGATCGTTGAGCATGGAGGAATGCGCACGGAAAGAAAAGCATCTGAGACCTTTCTACCTCACTGCCTCAAGTGTGTGTTTGTGTGTACGTGTGTGCTATAAATATTCCCAGTGATACACTTTCCCTCAACCTGACCCGCTCGTGTGCCCTCCATTGTTTCCTTCTCTTGTGCTCACCCTCATCCTCTCATCTGTTGTTTGTTTTCTCGGTCTGTGTTGACTTTTAAAAAGGTAACACCTCCCTCCCGCTGAAATTATTTGGTGTTAATATCGCTATAATTAGTGCCTTTATTTGTGTTTCTCCTCCTCCTCCTCCTCCTCTTCCTCTTCCTCCTCCAGATTGAGAACCTGTTTGAGCAACTGCGGGATAAAGACAAGCAGCTCAGCAACCTGAAGGACCGGGTCAAGTCTCTGCAGACCGACTCCACCAACACCGACACTGCCCTGGCCACCCTGGAGGAGGCGCTGTCAGAGAAGGTAAAGCTAAACGATTGCAAATGTTGAGACCTGCTCTCGGGTGAGCAACTATACAGTGAAACTCCTCTACAACGAAATCATGTTTGCAGCAAGAAATTTTTCACAACAGGGGACTTTTCACTGTAGCAAATTTTATCTCAGACGTAAACACGAACACACACAAATAACATATATGTGTACTTTTTTTTTTATTCCAATAGTGCAAAAGTATGAGCAAACACTTATTTGACACTTCATATAGCCAGCGTAGAAAGAAAAAAAGGGAAAGAAATTGCGAAATTTACGATCAGCATTTACTTTCACTTACGGTACATCAATTTCATGCATAATGTCTTTTATTTTGCTTCCTCCATCTTTCATTTATATGACCTTTATCCTGTCTTCAAGCGTTAAAGCTTTTCTTTTTTCTTCCTTGGTATGCAAAGGTCTGTTTTGTCGCCATTTTAGCAATGTTAAGTTCGTGCTGCGTCTGAAACAAATACTTCCTGTATGACTGCGCATGTGTAAACCAGTGTGGTGGTTACTGTTGCCGTTTCCGAACGAAGCTGCAGAGGTCGCTGTGGCATCCTGAGGTTGGATTAGACTTTTGTCCTGGAAGGCTTGTTTTCATTGTAGTGAATCTCGTTGCGAGGCAAGAGCAGAGAAAAAGATTTCGTATAACGGAACAGGGGGACTTTTCGTTGTAGGGGGAGCAGAAAAGTGGGAATGGCTTTCATGCATGAACATTTTTTCACACTCGGGGGTATTTTTTCGCCATGTAGGTTTTGTTGTAGAGGAGTTTCACTGTATATCCAACTATGAGTAAAACAGCTGGAGTTTGATGTTAATATTAAGGATATTAACCCTTTCAGGGACAGCGGTTACTACAGTGGACGGCTTATCATTATATCAGGTTAAAGGTTGCACGAAAGGGTTAAAATAAAATGAAATTGAAATGTACTTTTGTGGGAAGCCGCGCCTTTATTTCTCAACACTCTGCCTTGTCCCGTGTGTGCATATTTAGTCCAGCCTCATCGATCTGAAGGAACATGCATCTTCTCTGGCGTCTTCTGGCCTCAAAAAGGACTCGAAGCTCAAGTCCCTGGAGATCGCCATCGAGCAGAAAAAGGAGGAGTGCAGTAAGTTGGAGACGCAGTTACAGAAGGTGGGTGTGTGTCTCCGGGCGGGATAATATTCCCTTCATACACTTTTGGCTGAAAAGTCTCAGCTGTTGTATCGCCCGAGCTGCACCTGGGGCAGTTTCAGATATACAGGTACATCTCCATGAATGTAAATATCACAGAAAAGTATGTTTATTCAGCAAAAAGTGAATCGCACGATGGAACAATTCTATGCATATGTAAAACATTTTCTGAAGGCCAATCCTCCCTAATTTCGATGTTAAAAATCGTTTTGAATGTTTCTTATGTAATATTTTTGAGATGGTGAATTGAGGGATTATAATTAGCAATAATCAATAGGCATCAACATTGCAATAAATGAAACCATGAAATATTTTACTCGTTTTCTCAGTAATCTAAAATCTAGATTTTTGTTCGAATAATACCAGTTTTCCAATGATATATATATATATATATATCAGTCAAAGGAGGCAAGTTCAAAGTATTTTGTGCATCCTGACGTTAATATTAAAGTCCCCATAAAGTGAAAATAGAAGTAAATTTGACTCACTGTAGAGAAGAGCGTTGTGAACAACTCTGCCGATTTTGAATGATTAACAAAAAAAAAAACCCCAAAAAAACCTCGAACACCATAATGATAATACAAATAAGAACGCTTCGCATCGTCACAAGCCTAGGCTTTGCAGGTATACGCTCGAGACAAGAAATTGCACGCATTGCGCCACCAACTTTTGGCAAACATAATGTGCATCTACCAGACTTTCAAACGAAACAACAAATGTCAGTGCGACCACGATGCTCCCGTAAATGCCAGCCTCGCTACATTCGTCCGTCTCTTGCCACTGTCCCCCTCGTGTGGTCCTCTACATTTGTCTACGCTGTGTTCAGATGTAACAAAGTGCTGCCCCATGTCTCTTGCCTCACACAGACTCCTAACACGTACTCTCCCATCCCTGACTGCCCCTCCTCCCCTCCCCTCTCCCTCCAACGTAGCAAGCTGAGCATCTTTTCAGTCACGTGAACAATCCTGTAAGTTCCTCTCGCTGAGCCACGAACACGGAACGCATGAGGACGCTGAAGTACTTTGGGATATGACACATGGTGCTCATGTTGGCCCTCTCAGCAATCGTGGCTCTGCTTCAACCCCCTCCCCCTTTTCTCCCCCCTTCACCCAGCAGATGCATGTCGATCATTGCACTCAAGGAGCTTCACATCGGGCGGCCTTCTGCAAGTGTTTGTGCTTGTCACATCCGTGCTGAATCTATTGAATTTAGTCGACCGGCTGTTTTTTGTGTGTTGTTTTTGATTTGAGATGAGCATCACGGTGTTTCCAGCGCAGCGGAGGACTTGTTAACACAGCCGCCTCACGGTTCTGAGGCTGTGGTTTCGCAACAGGGCTCTGTCAATCCTGTGTGGAGGTTGCATTTTCTCACCGTGCTTGCGTGGCTTTTCCGCGGGTGCGCCGGCTTCCTCCCACATTCCAAAAATATGTTGTTTTGCTTCATTGGGAATTCTAAATTGTCCTTTTGTTGCCAAAGTGAGTGTGAATTGTCGTTTGTCTACGTGCACCAAAGCAATTGGCTGCTGACCAGTTCAGGGTGTAACTCAACCCGCAACACGTGTTCCCACGTGTTTGGGCTTTTTTTGTGATGACCCAATGAAATCAAGGTTGTTGTTTGGCGTAAACACAACACTGCTCCTCACCAAAAGAAGACCATCGTGAAGGAAGGTCGTGGCAGCATCATGCTTTGGCGCTGTTTTTTTCTTAAGGTGGAACTGAGACTTTAGATGGATGCTGTTCTGAAAAGTTGAAAGTAGCTATTAGCACAAAGCCTTCAAGGTTATAGGTCAAGTTAATGGTGGAAAAAGTTTTGAAAATACTTATTATTGGTCTAATTTTCACAAAAACCCAGACTTTGAACAGGGGTGTGTAGACTTTTTAGATCCACTGTGTAAATGTGTTTAGCATAAGGGTGGCAAACATAATAGTACACATTCAAAGCAATACAAAAAGGAGGCAGGTCAACAAAAGAATGGAAAAGCCAACTTAAAATAGTGCCGTTTGGTTTCTGAAGAGTTCTTTTTGAGAGTTTTTAAGTATATTTTTTCAACTTCTCTCAGTCTTACTGTAAAATCTCACGGTATTCTTCATGCTGAAAAAAAATATGGAGTGTGTTGTTTTCATGCGGCCGCCGCAAAGATTGCGGAGCTTTCTTGGGTTTGCATGACATGGTCGACTTTGTTGCATGTTGTCACTGAGTGTTGCCAAGCTTCTCGACTGTGTCAGTGTGGTTAGCTGAGGCCTCAAGCGTGGTCGGCATTCACCGCTGTGGTTATGGTGGAGGCTGCTGTCGTGCGTCACCTGTGTTGACATGTGGCTGTTCCCGTTTCGTGTACTGTCAGGAGTCCTGCGGCTTTGTTCGTATTTGTGTGCTTATTAATACACAAACCTTCTCTAGTGTTTATTGGATGTGTGTGAGCAAAGTGACGGGGAGTCTCTTATGGACGTTAAGTCGCCCGAGTTTATCGCTCCGTTCAAGTTAATGAGCTAACATCGCTAATGACACCCTTGTGTTATTTACTCTGCGATTTGCTTTTAGGCACACAGATAGAAAGGAGGAAGAAAACAATGTAGATAATATCAACAAAGTTTGGGAGTTTCTGTCAACGTCACTCAGTTAACTGAGTCCATTTTTGTGTCTGTGTTTTTTTTTTTGGTTTGTTTTTTGCGCAATTCAGAAGGCCCACGAAGTAGAGCATCAGTCAGGCTCGAGAGGGAACCCAGAATACGTGGACCGAGTGAAGCTGCTGGAGAAGGAGGTGAGCTACTACAAGGACGAGGCCAGCAAGGCTCAGACGGAGGTGGAGAGGCTCCTGGACATCCTGCGCGAGGTGGAGACCGAGAAGAATGACAAAGACAAGAAGATCGCAGAGTTGGAAAGGTAACAGACAAGACGTAGTCACGCTTGCCTCCTGTATTGATCCTGTTTGCATGTTCTCCTCGTACCTGCGTGGGTTTTCTGCGGGTACTCCGGTTTCCTCCCACATTCGAAAAACTTGCATGGCAAGCTGATTGAACACTCTGAATTGTCCCTAGGTGTGAGTGTGAGCGTGGATGGTTGTCCGTCTCTGTTTGCCCTGCGATTGGCTGGCAACGGGTTCAGGGTGTCCCCCGCGTACTGTCCGCAGACAGCTGGGATAGGCTCCAGCACACCTGTGAACCTTGTGAGGATAAAGCGGTTCGGAAAATGGATGTATGGAAGCACCAGTCAGGTCTCACCACAAGTCATTTACATAAAACAGTGTGTTTGTTACAGCTTTTACGTCGGTTGCACTTCCAGCCACTGCCTGCATGTTCTAAAAATGCTCCATAAATCACCCATTTGCCTTACAGACTGCAATATATGTCACATGGATGCATTTTTCACAGTGACTCCAACCATTGTTTTATACACTGTACTGTTGAGTCATACACATGATTGGTTGTCCATAATAATGAGAAGCAGCAAAATGTTGGATCTCTACACCAGACTGATTAATTGGACAGCAAGGGAATAATCACTTCCTGTTGTTGCAATTGTCACATTATTTTATCTGAGGCATTTGATTAATTGAGTCTTCTTCTTTTGCCACCTTTACCCACTTTTCCATCCTGCTCCCTTTTCTATCTCCACACTTCCCTCTCCCTTTCTTGACTACCCTTCCACTATTGATCACCTCCATCTTTTCTATCCTTTCCCACGATCCAATAATTGCCCTCTTTAATTCCATCTTCCTTACAACGCTGTGTCGCGTTGCCACAAATACGCCGCCCCTCCCACCCCCTTCCAAACACAGCCCCCCTCACTCTGCCCCTCGCCCCACCCCTCGTCCTGGTGGCAGAGCCCCCCCTGACCCGCTCCCCTCGATGTCCGCTGCCCCCCAGCAGATAGGGGGCATGGTGTGGGACTTCCTGGGAAAGTGAGTGCTCTGTCCTGGCACTCGAGCCCGGCGGTGCGGTCTGTGGAATGAATGACGAATGCTTGCGTCAGAGTGACACTGACGGTCTCATGACGCAAACATCGCTGCGTTATTGTTTGCTTTGAATTCTTTTCGACAATGTGCTTGCTTTGCTGCCTTGTATTGAGTTTTGATTGCTTGAGACAGGCAAATTTATTTGCTTCCATACTATGAATTGGCCCGAGAATGTGTACTGTGTTAATTTTGCGCCTTTTTTTTTTTTTTTTTTTTTGGCATGTGGCATCTGAACATCAGCAAGAACCGTTGGTCCACTGTGACCATTTAATCAGTTTATGAACATTGTGATACCCTTATATATACTGTTTGTGCAAATGCCTTGAGACATGTCTTCAATTCATTCAACCGAGCCATTTAGAGGCACAACTGGATGAGATTTGTGTGAAACGGCAAGGCAACTTTGTTCATAAAGTGCATTTCATGCACAAGATAATTCATTGTGCTTCACAAAGTACACCATTTAAAAACATTCACAAACAAAACATTTAAAGACGTTTTAAAGCAAAGTAAATAAATAAAAAAGTAGCTTAGTAAAATTACTAAAAGAACGGACGAATGGTGCAAGACTAAGATTTTGGAATACATGAAAGAGCTTGACCTTTAACCCCATCCAACAGGTCTGGGATGAACAAAAATAGAGAATTAGGGACAAGCCAACATCAGTATTACACAAATGAAGACTATAAAAGGGGTAGAAACCCCACTTCAGGCGTAATAACCAGGTGTTCCAATATTTTTTTTTTGTGTTAATATGTTTTACATGCAAGCACACACGCATGCACGTGTTGTGTGTCTGTCACGCTCCTTTCAATTTCCGACCACCTGTGTGTTCGCCTCAATCATGCAGCATCGCACACTGCCGAACTTGCCTAAGCAGATACTGAGGGAAAAGCTCGGCTCAATAACCTGCATGCAAAGGGCTGCTGTGCACCAGCTCCACCTGCTCATGATGAATGAGGGGGGGTGGGGGGGATTTGTAGGTACAGTCCAGATTCAAGTCCTGCTCCCTCAAACGTCAGGTCCGACCACCCCTGCATCCCAAACTGGTTCGCTCGCCAGCTCTTTCCAGTCTGTTGTTGAGTTCCGTTCCTCTACACCCGAACACCTCTTTCCCTCTTGTGTTACCGGGCTGATCTTTGCTGTCTGATCGCATGTCTGCTTCCCTTGGCAGCGGATGCACACGGTTCAGAGTTCCCGAGTGAAAGTGCATCATGCAACGGCCACGCCCGTATTCGCGAATACGACGCTCTCGCAGACGTCGTGGCCGCCTCCCGTTTTGGATGATAAACTTCGGCAACTTTTCTACCAAGCAGTGCAGCTTAGTTCACATGTTTTTGGTTCCACTGGGGAAACGTATTTGCGTAACCATAGCGACGGTGGCACTCAAGGATGGAGTTTGATTCACTGCTGTCCAGTGATTGTTCAAAAGTGCCAGTTGCAATGTCAAATTGAGGATTGTTACTGCTGGGTGGAAATTTGACTTGAGTGTGTTCATGACTGGTCTTGGTCTAATGTCTTGTCCTTCATTTTGTCTTTACTTTCCTTCACTGCTTCTTATGTGTTTTCCATTTGTCCTGTCGTCCTTTTTCTTCTACCGTTCCCTCCCCCGTCTGCAGTTTAGCTCCCAGGTAGGTCACGTTCTTTCCCCCCCCCCCCAGCTTCTGCCTAACGCGTTCTAACTTCTAAGTCTCTTCCCCTTGCTCACATGAAGCCATCAAGCCATGTGTGACGTGTGCTTTCATGACCGGCACCATTCACAAACTAATTTGGTTCCAAAAATAACTAATCCTCCACTGCTTGGATGCGTTTTATAGTTTTGTCCGTTTGAGTGACTACATCAAACACTCCTCCCACATTTACTTACTTTTTATCCAACTGCTCAAGAATACTTCTCTTGGCAGATAAACAGTTATTTAAATGGATGGATGGATGGATGGATGGATGGATGGATGGATGGATGGATGGATGGATGGATGGATGGATGGATGGATGGAGTACAGGTAATTGTCAGCGCTGCTCTTAATCATGAGTGCTTTTACAGACAAGGAGGCAAAGACCCGACCAAGAAAGGTACAAACATCAAACTGGGACCCCAAGGGGACAAGAAAGGTTTGGGACAGGATCTCCGTAAGGACGGCTCCTTAGAGGGCGGCCACCACTCCAAAGTGAGTTTCTTCCTTGTATTACGTCGCTATATCGCGGAATATACTTTCTGACTGTTACGCCCTTAAATATGAGAAAGAAAAAGAACAGTCACTGAAGCACTTTTTAGACGTTTATCAACAATAAAACACAAACGCCGCAATCTGGCGGAAGCCGCTATTAGCCACAGCTTTCCCACAGACGCACACACATACGCACAGAGTCGCCGATGTCACAAGCAATGGCGTCAGGCCACGCCTCTTAAAGATACGTGCATGCGTATCATATGAATAGTACTGAATTTTCAGTTCATCAACCTTTTCTAAACTGAAAGCTATTTCAGGTGTACTAAATAATCTCAATCTGAACTCATGCTGTCTGTCAATTAGCTGGAGGACCTGATGAACACACTCGAGAGGACGAGGCAAGAACTGGATTCCACCAAGCAGCGGCTCTCGTCCACGCAGCAGTCGCTGCAGGAGCGGGACAGCCACCTCACCAACATGAGGCAAGAGCGCAGGAAACAGCTGGAGGAGATTCTAGAGATGAAGTGAGCGTCTTCGCCTTTTGTTGTGTCTGTTGGGGAAGGGATTTGGTTTGTGAGTTTGAACTCAAATGAACTCCGCTCATGTCACCGCTCGGAACAACCGAACGCGTTCCCTGGATGCAGCTCGGGTTTGACAGGAAAACAGTGGCGCTATAGAGAAGAACTGCTGTGCCACATTTCGCTTGTATCTCGACTGCGCTGCTCTGTCAGGATTCAGTTCACCGGCAGAAACATTTCCAGAGAACATACTTAGTTGCCAGGCAACCAACAGAGGCACCAGAAAGTCACTGCATAGGAGCATATTAATTTGAATTCCATTATTCATTATAAGGACAATTCATTTGAAATCCGACAGTACGGTGTACTCGTGGATAGCATCCTTCCTGGCATGGCAAGGTTGTTTGTTTAAGCCCTGTGAGGCATTTGCATGTTCCCCATTTAACAGTCAAACAACTCAAAAGAAGAACTGCGACCCGCCCTATTAGTTTACGAAACCACAAACAACACAACAAACAACATGGCACTATTGTCCAGCAAGAAGCTAATTGCTCTGGCCGATGTAGCTATGTTCTCTTAATACAAAAAAGAAATGGGCTAAAGAAACCATGTGGATATTTTAGATGCTGCTGGCAATGATTGCTCCATTCATTGACTGCATTCCAGTGACAGAGACTCTCAACGCGTTGCTTTTCTACCAGAACATATGAAATCATCCATACTGCAAAACTAGTTGCAGAATCCCACACACTGGGCGACTATTTTCATTTGTTGGTAAGATCATTGAAGAATTGTCCATAGGTGTGAATATGAGTATGAATAATTGTTCCTCGATATGTGCCCTGTGATTGGCAGATGGGATTGGCTCTCCCGTGACCCTAATTGGGACAAGTAATCCAGAACGCAGTGCTGTCTGACAGATCTGGTTGGGCACTTCCCCATTTGACTCGATCATGTTGTATGAACTTTTTCCAGACAACAAGCTCTGCTGGCCGCGATTAGTGAGAAAGACGCTAATATTGCACTGCTGGAATTGTCTGCGTCCAATAAAAAGAAAACCCAAGAGGAGGTGATGTCCCTGAAGCGGGAGCGCGACAAACTGATGCATCAACTTAAACAGCACGTTCGTACTTCAACACACCATTTGAATGATTGAGCCAATAAATAAATGTGAGTAACCCCCCGACTCTTGCGGCTCATTTTCTCATCCTGCAGACTCAAAGCAGAATGAAGCTGATTGCTGACAACTACGAAGACGAACAATATCATCCGCACGGTCCACACCACCCGCAGCCCCAGGCCCCGCACCCTCAGCCACAACCTCAGACCCAGTACGCCCACCCTCAGCACGCCCAGCAGGTCCCGTATGCGCACGCCCCTCACATGCAGCACCCGCAGCACCCACAGGCCGCCCCGCAGCACCCTCACCCCCAGCAGCCGCAGCTCCAGTATCCTCACGCTCAGCATCCGCAGCAGCACCCGCAACACCCTCAACCGGCCCCCCAGCACTCACAGCACCCGCGCCCCCCGCAGCCCCAGCATCCGCACCAACAGCACCTCCAGCATCCCCCGCAGCATCCGCACGGACATCTTCCACCGAATCACCCGCATCCCCAACACCCACATGGCCCTCTCCAACCGGCGCCTCACCCTCAGCACCCGCATCCTCAGCACCCACAGCACCCTCAGCATCCTCAACACCCGCAGCATCCTCAGCATCCTCAACACCCTCAGCCCCAACACCACGGGCAGCATCCACGCCACCCGTCGCCTCATCATCGTGGCGGTCCGGGTCGAGGACCCCCACATGCTGGACACCGCCCTTCCCCGGACCAGGTTAGAAGTCTCTCACGTTATCAGGTGCTTGTCTGACTATGTTGATATACTCACTTCCTTGATGAGATGCATGTGCACACACAAACACGGCATAACTTCCACCAACAACCCAGGCTAAACTTGGCTCCTCCACGACATACAACAGTTCAGGGCAATTGCAGCATGCAGGTGGATTGCTAGCTTTGCCCAAAATAGATCTTCCCTTCTGATAAACCGCTGCTGTGGCCGCTTTAGAGCACCTTGTTGTATGCATTGAGTGCGCACACCTCACATAGAAAATGTGGGTGAGTGAGGAATAAAAAAACAGTCCCACTTGGCCTGGGTTAGCATCAATCTTCTCCGTTACACAGACCTTAAGCAGGCACACTGCACTAATAAGTTGCCACTTTCAGGACAAAATAGTTTGTACATATCTTGTTTGCACAAAATCATTACAATATTATGTTTTGTGTGTGTGTGTGTGTGTGTGTGTGTGCGTGTGTGTGTGTGTGTGTGTGAGTGTGTGGGCATGCAGTGCCGGAGCGATAATAATATTTCTTCTTTTTTTTCCCCCCTCCCAAATACATACCATCTATGCCTGCGACAACAGGATGACGAAGAAGGAATATGGGCATAATCGTTGCTATGACAACCAAAGTTCAAATTATTTTGAGGGGTGAGATCTTTTTTTATTTGTGATTTTATTTATTTATTTTTTTTGTTCCACTGCTTGCGGCTGTTGCGTTGTTGACCAAGTAAATGGCTTGTTGTTCAGATGACTCAGCCACTGCTGGGGGGGAAAGCAGCCAGAAGCCAATGTTGAATTTCCAGGACACTGATGAAACATTTGTTACCTGACTCAGCAAGGAGACCTTTGGGTGGGAGACATTTGTTTTGTGTTAGTTTTTTTTTTTTTTGGGTGGAATGGGGGTACCCCTGTGGTGTGCAAGTCAGGCGCCGGGAGGCTAACAGCTGAGCGGGTAAGTTCAAACCATAAATAAGGCTGTTCACCGATTTATTTATTTTTTTTCGGTTATGCTGTGCCATTTGTTCAATGCATTGAGCCCAAATACAAAAGCTGAATTCTTTTGTATGCTTCCCAACCACTGTGCCACAGCATGAGAGATCATCAGGTGTGCTGTGGGAAAAATATCCAAGTTCACAAAGGATTTATTTACCACAAAGCCATGTTCATCTTTCGAATGTAGACCGGCAGTGCATAGTGACAGGAAGAAGAATTAGTCTTCCACTAGATGGCGGAAGGTACAATTAACTTGACAACCCGAGCCCAAACCAACCTACCCCGGATTGATCAGACAAAAAAAAAAACAAAGGGATGCTGTTTTCAGTCTTCTCTTTAGCCTTTTGGCCTCAATTTGCCACAGCGCCAGCAAATGGTGCTGTTCCCGTGGCATCATCACGAGATAGAAACTGGTCACATGCTTTCGAATTACGCCGCCCTCTTGACTTAGAAGACGAAAAGTAGACTAGAGCAGGCTGAAAAGCATGCCAACGCGGTGGCCATGCCGGCAGGGGCGAATGTCACTTTTGCAAAGGTGAAGGCAGTTAAAAAGCATGGACATTAACTTAGCACCCCTATCATGATGGAGGTGAAAACAGGACACGCTAAAATCTGCACTATGCACGCCATTAACCTCCCACCAAGCATCAAGGAAACTGAATGAACTTCAAAAAATTTCAAACAATTTCAAACTTTTTTTAAAATATTTATTTACAATCATTTGGTAATGTACTGGGCATTTTAGGCCACAAAAAAAAAATACTTGTAACAGACACTCATCCCCAAATTAGTCTGTTAAAGCAAACTTCCAATTGCTATTCAGGTTGGAACACTCTCTCTGACGGCGTCAGTCTAAACTAACCCTTCCTGTCTTTGTAAAGCTCTTGAATTGGAGCTCATTACATGCTGTACTCCTATGCCAATTGTGGCTCTAGGTGACCTTGGAGCAGACCTTCTCAGCTTTCCCAGCACAGAAATACTGTATGGTACGGACATGAAGCGGCTAAGGAAAGACCCCGCGCCCCCCGCCTCCTTTTTCTCACAGCTATCTTAACCACATTTGCCCCCCTGCTGAACACGAGGCCTCCTCAGGAGGTCGCAAGACTATTCTCCACCCGGTCATGGCCCCCGTATTCTTCCATCCTGGCTTCCTTCTCGTGATTGCTTCAAGGTCATGGCCGCCTCAGCTGTCGACTATCCCCCAAGCCTGACTAACTCCTTCGGATCTGGCTCCCTCCACTATGTCTTCATCTTCACTGCCCTCTTCCAAGTTGACAACCGAACCCACGTCATAGCGACTGTGAATCCTAAATATCTGCGATAACACCCACAAACGGACGTCGTTTGTAACTTTTTACTGGTGTCGCCTTTTTTTTTTTTTTGGAGGAACTGCTGTTCAACGTGTCCCAAAAGTAAGAATAGTGCGTGCCACACATGGAGACTTCGGTGGTCATTTTTCAAAGAGGTGCCTTGAAATGGACACGAGGGCCCTCCAGCTTGTTTTCGCTTGAGTTTGCCGTCATCTTCATATTACCTCGTTTCAATCCAACAAAGTGAAAACTAAAAAAAAACAAAAAACAAAAAACAATCTATGCAGACGTCAGTGTTGCATGAATTCATTTAACTCACTGTCTGTTTTCAAAGTGTAATTACCCACCGAATCAGAGTGGCCAAAAAAGTGAGTAGAATCTGACAGCTAATGTCAAGAGACTATGCACCTACGCACCTTCTCTTGTTCCGGGATGTGTTTTGTTTTTTGGTTGTTGTTGTTTTTTTTTGTTTTGTTTTTTTTTAACTCATGGTGCTCCAGCTGCAGGTGCTCAATAGAAATTGTGTCAGTGGCTCAAGGGAGTCACCACATGAACAATTAGCAGTAGACAACTTTGTACATATGTCAGGAGGGGCACTTTGTGATCAATTGAAGAACCCCAAAGAGACTCAAGAATCTTCGAAATACAACAACTAGGAAGAGTTGTCCTGTAGCCCACCACCAGTCCTCCTTAACCCCGTCTCTTCCACAAGTAGTCTTCGTCACATCCCCAAACGTAGTGACCTGTTTCAGTCCCTCTCATTCAGGTGGCCTCCTTAAAAAAAAAAAATGTACACATATATGATAGATATGCATATATTATACATAGAGAGAATCTATAGAGTGTGTCTAAGTGTGGTCAGAAAATGGTTTCAACTGACAAGATTTAAAAACAAAAAACGTTTTTTTTCTTTATGGTTATTTTTTTCTAAATGGATGGGGGGGGGTGGTGTTAAGTGCTTTTTGTACATCTGGAGAAAAACCCTGAGTGGAGATGAACATTCCCTGTCTGAAAATACAGACGCCGTGCAAAAAAAAAAAAAAAAAAGAGCAGAAATACTGATCTAAATCTTTCTAGAAACTCATTTTACATTCCTTTTACCTATTCTACATTCCTTCTACTGTTTTAGTCCAGAGATTTTCAAAGCGTGAGCCAGGGGACTTCAGGGGAGGCACAACAGCTTGAGAAAAAAAATAAAATAAAAATAATTTATTTTTAAAACTGTGAAACTAACTTCAGCAAGAGGAAGAATTTATTATTTTTTTTTTTTCTATGCGTGTGGTGAGAGAAGAGAGACTGGGAAGCAGTCAGCTCAAAATGGGTCCCGGAAATTCACTTAATGATGGCAGATATTGAAATCATTTACATGCCGACGTTGAGATGGCCCAAAAAAAACGCTGCATGTGCAATGATGAATTACTATTATAACTTTAAAAACAAAAAGATGAACTTTAAATAATGCCAGACATTGTAGTGAGTTTTTCATTTGAGATAAATATACGTAAATGTGGCTCGTTCGGGGATGTTAGACAATATGGCTTGAAATAATATTATAGATTACTGGCTCATAATTGAAATAACAACATGAAAAATGTAGAGTTGACTATTCTATAATTTATATTACACAGCTTCATTCCTAAGAGAACAGTATAGCAACCTAAAAAATAAATATAATCTAACATTGAGCATCACAGTAAAGCCCACAATGATCAAACTGCGGTTGAATTTTTATTTTATTTTTTGGGGGGGGGGGTAATTTTTTAGCTGGACATGACACAAGACGGTGGCACGGTCCGCCTCACAATGCGAAGGTGCAGGTTTCGTTTCATGTGAGCTCGAGAGTGCAAAGCAAATGGTTAAAATCTTGTCAGTCATGCCATCCCGCTGTGATTGGTTGTTTTTCCTCGGATGCAGTGGTTTCTTCAGAGTCAAGTTAGAGGGGAAAGCTGCGCGATGGAAGGCAAATGTATTAATTTATTTATTTTAAACAGATCATTTTACCGACTTACTTAGGCCAGTTTGTACTGACCGCTTTCGTAAATATAACAAATGCTTTTATTTGAAAATTGCAAATTGTAAGAGTTTTGTTTTTTTTAATGGAGATGGAAACAATACTTTCCATCTTCTTCCACTTTTGTGTCACATCCTTGTGTCAGTTCGAGCTGGAAGATACAGTAAAAAAAAAGGAAAAAAAAAAGCTCTGAATACTTTTTGGGCTTTACTGTCGATCGCAATTGTGTGTTTTCTTGCGGGAGGCTCACTGTTCCACACTTTGAAAACCTCTGTCTTGGACCACGTGCTCACACTAAATTGGCCTGTGGCGACAAATCAGATCAAGAAAACAAAACAGAACTTCAACAACTTCCATCAACGCACCGATGTGTTCTGCCCGTTCGGAATTTCACTTGCGGGTGAGGAGATCACGATGAACACCGGTGTGGAATGATTCTGTCAGGATCTGCTTTCTTTTTTTTTTTTTTTTACTTGTCTTGTCATCTCGTCAACGCAAGTGGTGACATATGACAGGTTAACAGTTTAGTGGCAACTGAATTAGACTGTTACTAAACTCCCCCCATTTCTCTTCTCTGCCCCCCCCACCCCCCTTACACGGTTGTCTCTTCGATATTGGACCAAGCGTTGGCGGGTGTGTGTGTGTATATAAATATATAAATCTAAATGTATTTTTCCAATCTTCCACAATGAAGGCATCATCTGCTTCCTACGTGAAGCTTCCGTCGCCTGTCACTGACCGAGAGTCTTCAGATTGTGTTTGTGTTTACAATTATAAGGCAAAATGAATCACGATAAGGTTGCGTTTTATAGGGGAAGACAATGCAAACAGACAGAGGAGGAAAAAAAAAAAATTGAAAGAAAAATCAAGAAATGAAATCCTCTCACTTTACCATCAGGAGGGCTGAGGACGAAGCCTCCCTTTTCAGGTCCTTTATCCACTGAATACTTGAAGTAGGGGGTTCTCCTACCATGAAATATATCATTTGCATTTCAAAGGTGTCCATATGTGCAGATGTCATTATTTATTATTATTTATTTATCTATTTATTTATTTTTTTTACATTATGTGCCAATGGGAGTGTTGCTGAAAGAAAGGATGTTGTGCTGTTCTGTATGCAGCCGGATACCTCCGCAGCAAGGTCAATCATTGACAAATGCTGGGCAAAAATACAGAGCACAACATTTTTACTTTTTTTTTTCATTTTATTTTTATTTTTTTTAATGTACAAAAACCTTATTATGAACAATTCACTGTGAACAATGCCAGAAACATTTGATTCTTTTTTCTATTTATTTTTTTTTGCATTAAGTTAGCTCTATTATTATTATTTTATTTTTATTTTTTTTACTATGGTTTTCGTTTGTCGCAGATGCCAGTTCGGAGGCTGTACCCTTTGTAAAAGTCAATGTTCTGAGCTGTACAGTGCTGAGCTATCGGAGCAAGTTCAATGTGAGCGTCCAGCATGCCGAATGATTCTTTGTGTGAACGTGGAACATCATTCCTCACTCTTGCATCGTGGCAGTGTGATGTCGGTGTTTGGGAGTAACGTGCGTTTCACTGTGTACCCCCCACCCCTCCCTCCTTAGTAGACAGCCTGTGTCGTGAGAGAGCAGCATGTTGCTGGTGTAAATGTTTCTCAGAAAAGTGCTTGCGGGTGGGTGTGTGGACATTTATTATTTTTTATGGCAATGTGCGTCTGTGTGTGCGTGTATGCGTGTGCACGTGTGCATCTGTGTGTGTGTGTGTTAAAATGCATTACAGTAAAAGTGATGTAAAACAATGTATCAAAGGAAGAACCACCTATAAATAAATAAAAAACTAGGGAGAAAGAGTTGCCAGAAGCATGGATCCTCTGTGATGTTTCCTGTTTTTTCAAGCCTGGAGGCTCTCCTCTGTGCCCCGGTTTGCTATTGTATGTGCTTTAACCGAATATTACTATTGAGTGTTGGCCAGCTTGTTTATATCCATCAAATAAAAGTGACTTTCTTTCTGTCAACACACTCGGCTTTCCTCATTCTACGTATAACGTCCTTCAATGTCTTTACGGAATGATTATTTTTATACCGTGACGTGTGAATTAGTTTCATTTAAATTCCTCATACCGAGCACGCAATGTTAATAAAACAAATGATCATTGTTTCGTACTGTTCATTGTTTGTTAACCTGATGTGTGGCAGAGTACAAATTTAGCGCGTCGTTAGCTTAATAGCATACAAATTAGTTAGGCTTGCAGGTTTTCAGGAATACCAAAAGAAAACCAGTGTTATTATTTTTTTAGCGAATATAGTAGGATGTTTTATTCTTTCAGTAGCAGTAAATTAAAAATGATGAATTCAACTTGAATGTCCTTGGTCAGATGTGCAGTCTTTTTCACGGTTGGTTCAAAATAGTTTGTGTGGGTATTCATCATAACCTGGGTGACGAAAAATCGACACAGACGAAAAGAACAAAACACACATTTTAGCATACCCGTTGTTTTTTTTTTGACATTTTGACAGAAAGCTTTATATCATTTGTCCAGCTATGTTATTAGGCTAACAAAATGCACCGTCCACTACTGTTGTTATGGTAACTGCTGTTTTTCGTACCAAATCTTTGAGCATTCATCTATGACAATAAGTAAACAATGAGTGCCAGCAATACTGTTAAAATTTTAAAAAATATATTCAATCATATTCTAATGACTTTGTACGTTGCAAATCATCGCTTTCCTGTGAAAAACAAGTATGTCACTTTTTGTCCATTTTTAATTTTTTACAACACGCGGACACCTTTAAATGTCAAAATGAACATACATGTTTTTCACAGGACACCGAAGATATACTTCATTGTCTCTTCAAAGCAACAGTGCACCAAGTGTCACGCAATGTCTTTAAATTCCAGAATATTTACACTGTACGTGTATTGTTCCTTGGCTGCATGTTGCATTTTTAGTCTTCGATTTCCATCCGTCCAAGGTTGCCCATTTCCAGCCGGCCTTTATCCTTCCGCCTTCTGCCTTGCCCTTTGCTCCCCCAGTGAGCTCACACAAGAGAGTTTTCATCTGGGACGGAAGCTGGAACAAATGAAGTCCTTGAAACGGTTCTGGCAAGCTGCCAGCCGACTGCGCCACGTCCTGTTCGAATGTCACCAGGAGGAAACGTTCTCCAGTCCTGCCTTGCTGCTTGTCCCCGAGGATGAGGGACAGCGAGGCCATGAACACATCCGAGTATGGAGACTGAGGCGCGTTTCCATCCCCACTCCCTGCCCGGAGTGCCTCTCGATGCTGCTGGCTCCACTCCTGCACCAGCCCCATAGTTTTGCGAGTCAGGATGAGCACCGCGCGTCCGCCCAGATTCTTTACGTGCAGCAGCTGGGAGTGGAGCCATGGCAGGGGGCCCAGATTGCACTGCTCCATCCTGCTCCACTGGTCCACAGACACACTGAAGCCCTGACTGCTGAGTCGGGAACCCAGGCCACAAACCTCGGAAATGTCGTTGTGAACATCTGGCGGACTCAGGAGGACGACATGACCTTTGCTGCCAACTTAAAAAAAAATAATAGTAATAATAGCTGAATGTCATCAGGGATAATTTTCCCTTTTTTCTTTTTAAAAGAAAATACGTAAGCTTACTCTTTGTACATCCTCCACGAAAAGATCGGCTTGCCCATTCTATGACATAAGATGGACAATAATCAGGCACGGGGGCAAGATTTGCAGGAAAATACACTCATGTCCTTGCAAAAAAAAATAAAAATAAAAAAGAAAATTTAAAAAAACTGATCAACACATATCTCGCCGGCTATCCACCTTCCATAGTGCTTGTTCTCATTTGGGCCACAGATAAGCGGAAGTCTCGCTAGCCAATCAAAGTGCACATAGAGTATACACAAACAACTATTCACCTAAAAACAAGTAAACAATTGAGAGCCTTCAATTAGCCTAGCATGCATTTTTTTTTTTTTTTTTTTGTAACAAGCAAACTCCACACAGGAAGGCCTGAGCCGAAACTGGAACCTGGTACCGCAGAACTATGAGATAGAGGAGCTACCAAAAATCTTGTATCGCTTGAACTTACTTTTGATAAAGTCATGCAGAAGACATAATATCAATGCTGTCAAGGTGATCACCAGCAAAACTGCCACAGCCAACAGATTCCAGCGCCACCTTGCTGCTGCAATGTCAACAAGCAAGCGAAATGAGAAACATCGCTCTCTGAAAAGGGAAAGCTGTATATTTCACACTCCTGCTATCACGTTTTGCAAACTTACTCTGATGAGAGCAAAAAGGTCCCAGGTGAAGGCCCCCATTCCTTAAACGCACCTGTGTTTCAACATCAAGGTTATAATAGTTCATTAAAACTAACACACAACTAAAAAAACAAACAAAAAAAAAACGAGTTTGATTTTCATTAACAAAATAAAATGAAAACGAGAGTGCTCTCCAAAAAAGAAGAACTGACGCTACATTTTACCTTGGGGTTTGGGCTAGGGGTAAGGTTTAAATAAAAGCATTTTCGACCCCACTGTTAAATTTAATTATCACTACATGATTAATAAAAAGTCAAAACGAAATAACTACCGGTTATTAAAAAAAAAAAAAACTCAAAACTAATGGCATCACTAAACACATGAAGAAAAATAAAAAGCCTTGGGAACGCTTGAGAATGTGGTTTACCATAACACATGTTGACAGCTGCAGGTTAATGTCCTCGAAGACACCTTTTTTCACCTGCCAGGACACAATTAGACAAATGTTAGTTTGTTTAAGTACAGCAAACAACACATTTACCCCCATGCCTGCTTTTCTTCCTTGTTTTTAATGTTTATGCCGGAATCGAACCCTGCACCTCTGCACTGTGAGGCCGACGTGCTAACCAGTCGACAACAGCCCACCACCTCTCCCCCTGCCCTCTCTCTCTCTCTCTCTCTCTCTCTCTCTCTCTCTCTCTCCCTCCAAATAGATAGAAAATAAAAATAATTTTAAAACAATGAAAGATGTTATTGCATTATTTTTTTGCTTACCCATAGCATACTCCTGTTTTGCTTCCATGTTGAATTCCCCAGCTGTTGGCGAAAGCCCTCGATCTCAGTGCAAATGTACGGCAAAGTCCACCGACAGGGCCAGACCTCCCCCTCCAGCCTACAGGGGGCAGTCAGGTTCCACAGCAGCATTTGGCCCTTGTCGTTCATTCGACCGCGATCCACAGAAGCAGTCAGGTTCCGCCATACGTTCTCTTGAAGGAACCCTGATGGGGATGTCCAAAATTACTACATGGAAGTTTACTTCTTTTTACACTTATATGACGTTGAAAAAGGGTGATATTTATCGTATTTTCATGATTTCCTTCGGGAAATGTGTTTTGAAAATGCAATCAGATCGGAGGCCCGGCAGCATTGCCAAATGATTCGAGTTTGAGGGGACATTGAAGGAGCCCTAAAGGATTTTAACTTACCCATGTTTTTGAAGGGGCAGCTCTGAGAACGTCTGTCATCATCCCAAACCTGCCATCAAATCCAATACTCAAAACTACTTTGTAGCTATGGAATATTATACCATGGATGTGCTTGATGAATATTTTTTAAATGAAAGTACCTGAAGACACAAGCAAGGTGTCACAGAGTGCAGTGGGATCGTTTTCCTCTCCCAACTCTAAAGAGACACATAACATCAGAAATCAAGCATTTTATTTGTGCTCCATCATCCATCCATCCGTAAATAAAACATGGCAATAAGTTTAACACCCATCGTGTTATACAACACAGACCTGGCATCTTCCATCTGCTTCATACTGGATGCACACATTGCTCTCTCCAGAAAACTTCAGCTCTACTTGATTCATTTTTTGGTTAATTACACTGCTGATTGTTGGCACTGGAAAGAGGAACTCATTGTTTTGATTTCTTTTTTGATTCAAACAATGCCAAGCGGCACGTCAAGTGTGCGCTCACTCACCGTGACACTCTTTGATGGGTTTGCGCCGGTTTTGGGAGCACACTGCGGACAGACAAGAAGAGTTATTGTACGGAACCTGTCACGGGCATTACTGCAAGTTCAACAAGGAGTTGAAAGTCATACCTTCGTTGAGAGAAGGAGACACGACTTCCTTACGGGGATGCATTGCTTTTGAAGAATACACGTACACAATACTGCTGAAGGAAACCGCAGATGGATTGGTAATCACCAAGGATATCTGCACAATTATAAATAACCGAATAGGCAAATTATATGACAACAAATAGGCACTTGTTGGACATATTATTATTCAAATTTAAAAAAAAAAAGGGTCCAGTTGTCATATTTACCTTTGCAACTTTCTGCTCAAGTCCTTATATTATTATTCAAATTTAAAAAAAAAAGGTCCAGTCGTCATATTTACCTTTGCAACTTTCTGCTCAAGTCCTGTAGGAGTGACGGTGAAGTCCACTCTCTTGCATGCTGGAAAAGTCGGTGGCGTATTGTAACATAACGTCACAAATGCTGCTGCACGGTTAGGAGAACAACAAGAGGAATGCAATCACTTCAAAAATAAATGGAATAAATCATACAATCTACGAAATAACAATAAAATGTATCGTGATGAATGTGTGAAACAGGGAGCAGGGCGCTTAAAAAAAAATTGATGCAGGTTTGGAATCTAAAGGGAGTCAATTTGGACTCTAGTGAACTCAAATTTTAAAGAGAGAGGCAAAAAAATTTGATTTATAATATAACCCCTTTGGAATCGAAATGCCATTAATCCATTTCAACCTCCTCCACAAAAAAAAAAAAGAAGAAACGTTTTAAATGAGATTTTAAAGACTAAAACTAGCACTCTCTAGTAGTGTACCGCATAAAACATACGGCAATTACATTATCAACTAAAACCAAAAGGATTCAAGTTTTTTTTTGCTTCAATTCAACGAACATGAGGCTGCTCCTTCTGGAGCGTGTGCTTTGCCCACCTTGGGGCAGTGCAATACGGATACATGGGCAGTGGGTACACATGACACAGTCACAGCTCCCCTGTAACCTGCAGTAATATTAGTCTTCCTTCGCAGAGGATAAAGAATATAGGCCTATGAGTAGTGCCCGTCCACACGTAGCTCTATTGTTTGTGTTCAAATATCATGTCATTTTACTGCCAGCATACCACCATAGCACCGCTGTGTATAAAAATATAATAGCTGCTGTCGTCGTAGGGGAAAATGTTGAGTCCCACCTGCTGAAATTGTTGCCGCTTGGGTGTCCTCTTCAGTGTCCTGCTTTGACTGGAGCTTTTTGGCCATGTCTTCATCCACATGGATGGCGATTTCAGCTTCCATGAGCAGACACAACGTGCATGACGTGTTTTCTTTGCAGCAGAGCTCCACTTTAGCCGTTATCGTTTGGATGTCCACGGCATCACTCTCTGGGATGGCGAACGGCATCACAGCAACCACCGTGCACTCGGAGAGACCCTAAATGGATACATTGGCCAAGAATATTAATTGGAACCCGTGTCTCCATCTCTTGTCATTCCAACACCGAAATGACTTTGTGTTCAAGTAAATACAACCAGATTTCACACTTAGTAAATTGATTTGTGAGTAAATAGAGACATGTTTTGGTATGCAGTAATGTGTTGGTCATTGTAAGAGATATGTTATAGACCTGAGGTGGGCAACTGGCAGCCCCCAGGCATATACTGATTAAAAATTAAAAAAAAACAAACACTCATTTGCATTTTTGGAAAATGAAGTCAAACAATACATCAGAACTATTAGACCAGTTATTCAAATTGTATTAAAACCTGAAATATATGTGCCATCTACTATGTATATTCGTAATACAATATTGTGTCTTTTTGTCACTTATTGTGTCACCCTCATGGCAATTGTTTCGGAGCTTCATTTTTTTCCCCCGATACCACCATAATACAAATGCAATAAAAATAGAATAAAAATATTTGTTTATTATTGTTGAAGCATTAAAATAACCTCGCCCTGCACCCGTGCCCAAACTTATTTATAAACAATTTTTAAAAACATTGTACTGTATATGCATTTAAATAAAGTTGAATCAATATCAGGACAGTGATAGGTGAAACACAATTGAACGGCGGAAACCTGCAAATGATTTGTGTTTTGTGGTGTTCTGTGAGTTTTCTCGTATTAAAATACTGCCGTGGATCAATAAAAGGTACACTATGAGGACTTTAACAACCCTGATGAGTGACAGGCAATCAAAATGCTCCTTGGAGGTGACTTACCTGCGAACATGTGACTTCCGAGACATCATGTCGCACCCAACCGCAGGCCGGCTTATGAAAAGCTAGTAAAAAACAACAAAAAGGCCAACGAAGAAGAAACATTTTGCCACAGACTAAGCATGAAGAGTGTCAAGCATTTTTCTTCACGCGCGATTGTACTGGGAGTGTCAGCGATTGTTTTGCAATGCGTGATTTCAGGTTAGAGATTAACAGCGAGCTGGCGCGGAGTCAGAACAATCTCGATCAGCTTGGGTTAAGGAATTTGGTGTCGATTTTGCACGACAGTTAAAAAACAAAAAAACAAAACCAGAAAAGCCAAATGAAACCAAAACAAGATGTTGAGGCTCCAGCAGTTTACAAAACGCTGAAATCTTCATTTAAACATTCAAAACAGATGAGCACACCGCAGATTAGAATTGTGGATATGGTACTAACCCAACATTTGAAAATATGTAAACAATTTAGAAAGGTGATTTACCCGATTATAATCCATGTCAATCCATTCAGTCCCAGGAGTGGATTCAGCTACCGCACTAGACAAATATGGATTAGTTGTGGGGGGGAAAAAAAGAAACTGTAACACAAAAGAAATCACACCCTCTTGCTTTTTTTTTTTTTTTTAAATAACATGAGCTGGTTTAAAGTCCAGTTTATGAAGCGCAACACAACTCCACCTCCAAGAGTCATACAGCAGCTCCTTCACACCTTGGCAACAAGTTAATCTTGATTACACAATATGCAAGTCAGTTTTAAAAGTAGCTGACAAACCAGCTCGGCAACTTTGAGCTTTTTTTTTTTTTTTTTTTGCCGAGGTTGGAGCACATCATCTTGAACTCACATGGGCGGCTGGCTGTATTCCTGCCAAGGATGCCAGCTTCATGGAACCAGCAGGTCGAGGTTCGAGTTTCCCCAGTCTTCTTCTCATTCTTGTGTCGTTTCCGTTTGGGCTAGTCGTGTTTCCACCCACATTCCATAAGCATCAGTTGTTCGCCTTTCTGCACTGCATATCGTTTGTCGTCTGAATTACACAAAGGCTCCACCCAGTGTGACACCAAAGTCACTTTCTTGCCTGCCATTGTTCGTCTCACTCTAATTGAAGGTGAGCAACAATATTTGACCTGACTAATGGGCTGGCGTTGTCATTACCAGGATCATTTTTTTTTTATTGTTATGATCATCATTATTGTCACTTATGTTAATCAAATGAATGAACATGAAAGAAAGTGTCACTGGGCTCCTCATCCCCCCCCCCCCCATTCACAAACCATCGGTGACAAAAGCTCATCTGTAAATAACTTTTTTCAAAAACTGTAAGACATACAGACATCAGTTTGGCAAGCGTTTATTATCGAGGCACGATGAATGTGCATGTTTCGCACTCAGTGAAATGTCTCTAAAAGCCCGCCTTGTCATTAAATAACCAAGGCAGTGAAATGACTGAGTTGTGATCGTAGCGCTGACTCTGCAGGCACGAGCCAGCAGGACATAATCACAGCTGGGGAAAAACTGTAGTCAGCAGCCGAGGATCTGCAATCGGAAAGAAAACATTATTAACTCGCACACTGACTGTAGGAGTGAAAAAAAATAATAAATTAAAAAACGATCGTGTGTAGGAATAGAGTACCTGGAAACAATGATTTCCTGGTCTTTGATTTTAAGTTTTGTCATATGTTGGTGCACTTCTTCATAAACGGCTGCTTTTTGCGCTGAAAACAAGTGAGGGGATAGTAAAAGACAACTCGTGCATCAAACACATTCAAACATTTTTGTTTGTTTTTTCATTTGAGTGGAAGTTAAAGTAATCAACTGTAAAAATGTAGTTTCACATGTGAGCACTCTCATCCATAATTTTATATCCCTCTGATTACCCCCCAAATTAATTTCAGTTGTTCAAGAAGGCTTTCCTGACTTATTTTTCTCTTTCTCGCAGAAGCTGGAAGATTTTTATAGATCACCTTCTGGTGGAAAATGTTTTTCAATTTTTTTTTTATCCTGTTCTATTTTTTTTTTTTGTTGTTGTTTTTAATATTGCAAAATCTGGCATTTGAACAGTGGATGCGTAATCTTTTTATACTGTATCAAAAGTATATATGAAGATACAAATAAAGAGCTCACCTAAAATTCCTTCAGCGTCAACGTCTGAAGACCTCTGTCTTAAAACTGGCCAGAGGAACTTTTCTCCTGAGTTCTCATGAAGCAAGATGATCAGGCGTATATCTCCAACTGTGATGTCAACTTCCATATCCTGCTTGATCACTGTCACGCTGCAGAAAAGAATTTTACTTTGCTGTCAGTAACGAACATCAAACATCAGATGCAAATACAACTTGGACAAGAAATAATATTAATAACTTCGGCACTTTAGAGTGACCTAAAAGCATCCAAGCACAAATCACCTTCCAGCGGTGATGGTATCCTGTCCCATCTTCCATGATGACAAATGTCCATCTCGTCCATCATAAGTGGAGACACCACTCACGCTAACGATAACGTTGACGTCCGGTTTGAGGCGGACAACTATCTTGTTGAAGCCTCTTATTCCATCCAGCGCACCATTCACAGAGAGTCCTAGTGCAAAAGACATGCCCAACAACTTAACACCAAGCAACAATCATAATCGTGATGAAACGCGTACCACGCTAATGTTAAATAAACGGGACATTTCAAGGAACAGCCTGGAATTCTCCCCTTTCCCCCCTCAAATTTTCTGGTTTGCTGACTTCCAAATGGACATCATTACTTCATAAAAATCCACCTTTCGAAGTTTCTAGAAAATGTTCAATCACGACTGCCTAAAAAGAGCATTTGGAACAATTTTGTCCAACGATGTGAGAGCTTGAAAATAACACCAAAATCAGCTTATTTTAAGCAATGCGGTCTCCGAGATGCTTTCCCGATCGCATCTCCAAATTTGAAGAAAGGCAAAATTCTGGGTTCATTTTACTTCTACATGGAAGGAGCCAAATAAATCAATGGAAGAGAGCGTGTTGGGCTGACCGGCACTGGGGAGGTGAAGGAGTCGAAGTTGAGTACTTGCAGGGATATCAAAACAAAGTGGAAGAGACTGATTCTCAGCTGGGAGCAAAAAACGGATGCTCGGTTCAACTGTAATGGCAGACGAAGAGACACAATGAGATGTGCGAACATAACATGAAATGACTCACTTGGAACAATCAGTGAATACTCTTACCAGGTTTGATGGTAGGTAAGATTGGCTTTGGGAGGTGCTGAAGCCTGGGCATATCAACTGCAATGAGGTTCCCGGAATGGTAGGTAAGATTGGCATTGGGAGGTGCTGAAGCCTGGGCATATCAACTGCAAAAGCATCCAGATCCAGATCTTATATTCCACACTTGAACTCATCATCTTATTTTATGTCAAAATACAATCACGTATGTTTAATAATCTCCATTCTGGAAGTAGCATTAACTATAAAACACAATTTCTGATGTCATTTGATCACATCGCGGATCATTCAACCAGGTTACCTCACGCCGCTTGCCTGGCTTAAACTCACCTGCGATGTCGTACGCCATGTCTGGTAGGCTCCCGAGGACACCTGAAAGTCAACAATCAAACTTGGAACCAACGCCAACCACAAGCAAACATAAAATTGGGTCCACCTCCACACGTGAATAATTGAACCCCACTTCTCACGTAGAGGAGTAGGATGCACACCACTCTCGAGCTCACATTACACCACAACGCATCATGACATACACACACTGACATGTCCCTCACATGTCAGGATGGTAGCCAAAATATTAGGAACACGTCAGTCAGTAAGATGCATTGAAGTTGTAAACCACTGTAAGCCCTTAACGATACACATGCAGCGGCGCCTTGAAAATAGAATGGCATCAAATCATTGAAAAGTGTTGGTCACACTTTCTCATTCAATTCAAGGCACATTGCGCTGCTCAATGTACTGGGTGTGCGCTTGCCTTGGCCGCTAGAGGGCAGTAAAAAGGCCAATTCATGCTCCCTTCCAGTGATGCCAGTCAGTAGTCATTCACAAATGCTACTTTGAGTAAACGAGTCATTTAGCGTGTTACTATGTCAAATATAGCCTGATTAAAGTTATTATTCAAAGAATGTACAACTGTCCAGTGTTTTATCTTCCAAGGATTGTAACGGCAGACGATTGCCTCTAGTCTTGCCTGTAAGTCTTGTAATGTACTTTTGCAATCATTTGTTGTGACTGACACCTTACCATGAAAGCCGGGAAAACCTGTCAGGAAAAACAAAACCAAAAAAAGCAATAAATTCATGCTTTAAGGGAAACAAAAGGTAATATGTGGAGCGTGAATGTAACTACTGTCAAATTTTTCTTTTCTTTTTTTTTAAATTAGGAAAAGCATGAAGATGAGGTTGAGGCCCATCTTTGCGTAGTGATGACTTTACAGAAAATGTTCATCTCTGTTCATGTCATACCAGGCATACGTTGACGGCCTGCCACAAAAAGAAACAAACACAAATTTATTCATCCCCGCAATGACAGTTTGTGAAAAAAAAAAAAATTGGTGTGCTTATTTTTAAATGAGTAATTAGAAATCACAAAAACTTTGTAAAAACTGCAGTTCAGTTCATGCTTTCATTGAGAGCGTTAAAACGAGAACTTGTCAATAAAAACACGAATTCAACATGCATTTACTTGTAGGTTTCTTATTTACCGTACTCACCTGCGGATGTTGAAAACCGTGTCACTGGCAAAAAAAAAAAACAACACAAAAAAAATGCAAATGACTTTATACTATAATGTGGAAAATTATAGTACTATTACATATTCTTTGCAGAGGACGAAACATATACGAGCTCTTTTATATTATCAGTCAACGTGTGTTGCTTCACCGTTTTGAGTACAAATATCTGTTTCTTAAAGGGTTATAACGCCACCACAAAGACGCTAATTGTTAACTTGTGTATGGCGTTTCCTATTATGTGTTAGCAATCTAGCGGAGGCCATCCAATACACAACATGTATTCCTCTTAGTTTTACGTTAGTTTGACCGTAAATCAACTGGGAGTGGCAATAAACATCTTGAAGCCTCTTTTTTTCAATTCAGTTCATACTAACTGCCAAGTTGCTGCTTTTTGTGATGGGAGTTATGTCACTGCTACCATACAGTGCTTGTATCTCAGGATTTTGCTAGAATGGGAATGAGTTGAACACGTTCAAGTTGGAATACAGTAATTGGAATCATTCAAGAAACGTTATCATTATGAGGGGGCAGGAAAAAAATAATGGCCTTTTATTTGGAAATTTTCTTCAGTATTTTAAAATTGGGAAAAGCTCAACAGATCCCAATCAGTCAAGAAATTATGTGAATTAGAGGTTGCAACAAAATCTTAACTCGGGGATTTTATTTTGAAAACTCTGAAACCTTTCTTAACCACTTGACACGTTTATATATTTTTGCTCACGAGTCAAGGCAAAAACTGAGTTGCACGATGACGCCTATCTTGAAAAAAACTTGTGAGTCGAGTTGCTTGAATCTCATGGCTTGGCTACACCGGAATATACGATATGCCAATAATAAATTACTATGCCACTGGAGGGCCATTATCAGTGATAATGGCCCTCCAGTGGCGGGCAAAGCAGGGGTCAAGAGGCGCAGGGGCCTCAGAGGAGTGGCATCTGTATTAGAGCAGGCGGCTATATTTCGGCAGTAAGTTTCAAAATCATCCGTTCGCACCCCCCACCCCACCCCTAAATTTTTAGGGGTGCGGGCATCATACTCATGAGCTTGTCCCAGGCATCCACTGTGCCTTGACTTTGAACACTAAGAGCATACTGAGTCATTTACCTGGAACGGGCCGATGTTGCCCTGCATAGAGAGAAGACAGTTTCTAGAATGTGTTACATTGTATGTCGCCGTTTAATTCACATGAATGATACTCACTGTAAGCAACGCCAGCACTTCCGACACGTGAATGGCTGGTGATTGTGCCCCGTGGCATAGACCCAAGCCCGCTCATTCCAAAAGAGGGGCGCTCGTCAGGAGGTGGACCGCTCTCGCTGGGTTTGTGAAGCACCTCCGTCTTGTCCTTCGTTGGTTTGGTGACCACCATGGATGTAAGCGGGGTCACAAAATTGTACTTGAGTGATAGCCTCAAGATTTCGTTCTTCATTTTCGCCTTCTCATCTCCCGAATACTGTAATCTGTGAAGCAAATTGTGATTTTAGATGCCGGCGCATCTTTTTAAAATAAAACCAATTTTCCGATTCCAATTTTTTTTTTCTCATTCCACTCCAATTAAAAATACTAACTCTTTCTCCAGGAGTTGTTTGACAGTCAGGTAGGCCCAAACCCTCTGAATGTTGCTGTCCGTAGACTTTGTCGTGCTGTTTTTCTCCGAGAAACTGATACTCGTATTCCTCTGCAGAGTAAAAATGAATTCAGGGGGCCAGTAGCTTGCGCAAAACCACGGCTGTTGTGCAATGAAGAAGGACGCTCACCGAAATGGCCACAACACTTGGGACGAAGGTTTCAATGTTGTTGTCGGTGATCTGACCGGCGACCACAATCTCTGAACCGTTGTAATACTGACTGAAGTTGGTCCGGGTCAGATTGGTGCCACCGTTATAGATCATCACCACATCTGTCAAAAGAGGATTGGCCACCTCATCATAGAAGCCCTGTTGGAAAAGACACTCTCTTACAATCACCATCATCATCGTCATCATCATCATTATCATCATCATGTGATCAATCGAGCCAAAGAGTACCGTTCTGTAGCAATGTCACTTACAGTATGAGGTGCCACGTTGGCCCAAAATATTATTTGCCAAATTCTCAACCCCACTCAAAACAAACAAACGAACAAACAAAAAACACCCCAGAAGAATTCGTGTTTTGGTAAGATAAGAAAAATTATTATGAGGGATGATCTTTCCCAAATTTACCTTGAGCTGCAAATCGGCATCAGCGTCAGCATAAATACGCCGCGCAACACCATTGTTCAACAAGGACAGCTTCTCAAGAAAATTGAAGTTGACGTCAAAACCGAAACCGAGACAGTAGAGTGGGAATTTGTCTTGAATGGCCTCCATCACGTTTGAGTATATTTGTTCGAGATTGGTCACACCTGCAATAAGGGCAGACAAAGGAAAAAAACTTGAAAATAAATAAATAAAATTAGACAATGTGACATGGCACTGAAGCTATTCCACTCTACCCGCATTCAAATTGTTCTCCTTTCAAAGCAAAAAAAAAAAAAAAAACATACAACCAAATTTTTTTATGCTTTTCAGGCAGAAAAATAGCACTGTATAATGTTGCACTCCGTCAAAACATTGAGTAACATCATAATTAAATTGAAAACAAAGAAACGAACAGTTTGCTGATCATGAGTAATTCATTGCAGCTCCCTCTTCTTGGTGCTACTTGGGCACTGGGGGGCAGTATAATACAGCCATCAGAATTTTGCGATTTGCAGGAGGGCCTGGTCAATAGCTGGTGTCTACTATATTGTTATAGTGTCTGTCTATATGTGGTGCATCACCATTTGTGTTTAAATACCAGTTATTTAAAGCGTTCTAAAACTGCCCCAAAGATGCTATTAAACTATATGTGCGTGCACGTGTGTGTGTGTGTGTGTGTGTGTGTGTGTGTGTGTGTGTGTGTGTGTGTGTGTGTGTGTGTGCGCGCGCGCGCGTGTGTGTGTGCGCGCGCGTGTGTGTGTGTGTGTTAACCTGAGGTTGGGTCTCCATCCGTGAGGAGTATGAGGATAGAAGCCGAACCTTTCCTCGGGTTCTCATTCAACATACGTGATCCATCCAACAATGCTTCATTAATATTTGTGCCTAAAGCATGTAAAACAACAACATCACTTTGGGGGGCAAATGGTTACATGAGTCCAAATAAAACTTATTTGAACAAGACATGTTGAAATTACCTCCATGCTCTCGAATGTTCCCTGCAAATTCTTTGGCGCTTTTCACATTTTGTGAGTTGGCCTGAACAAGTTCTTGCTTCCAGTAATACAGGGAGCTATCAAAAGTGATGAGACCAAAGAAGTCATCCTCTGCCAGGTCATTCAGGATATGGATTAATGCCGTGCGGGTCTGAGAACAACCATTTTTAATTTATCCATAAATGAAATAACAACATTTGCTGAAATAGTTTCAATCCAAAATAAAACAATTTTACAAAACTCCAATCCCCGTACCTGTTCTATTTTCTTGCCACGCATGGAACCACTTTTATCAATGACAAAGACAACATTCTTTGGAATGCGGGCAAGTTGCGATGGAGCAAAGTGATGGACGAAATATCCACTTGATGTCTGACGAAAAAAAAAATAAAATCTCTTGTTACACCTAATACAGTCATACTGCAAAGAAAATAACATTGCAGGCAGATACACCTTTATTTCCCAAATAGATCCAATAGAAAAGTCGAATAGAAACAAAACTACAACCACAACAGACATCAAAATACATTAAAAGACATTACCTTGATGTCCCCCAGTGACCTGTCTCTGTTGACGTCATAAACTATAACCAGATCTCCGTTCATACCCTTGTCTCCACAGCTGTCACATGTTTTTTGTTGATCCACTGTCGGGTAGAAATGAACCCAGGCCTACAAAAGTTCAAGATCAAAATCAATAAAGTGGAACTGTGAGTTTAGAGGAATAGGTAAAGAGTGACTTAAAAAAAAATCACTGTATTATTCTTATATAATCGACACCATTTCTTTTGTCTTTGTATTTGTCTTCCCTTGCTGGGATGAATAACTGTACGTTGACTAGAGGGCGATAAAAATAAGACATATTCCAACATGTCTTTCTCACAACTGTTCCAACACCGGTTCAGTAATTGAGCAGAATTTAAAAAAAAAAAAAAAAAGACCACATTGAACGTATCAGTCAGGGCAAACAAACGAGTGACCTTTGACCTTCACCTGCTTCATCAACGGTAAACATGAAACACGAAAGCCATCTAGCAGCAGAATAAATTTGGCTCAATACAAATCAACATCTCCATTTTTTAGACTCCTTTTAACTACATATATCTTTTTTTAACTTCGGATCAATTTATGAATTGTCTCCATTTTTTAGACTCCTTTTAACTACATACCGTATATCTTTTTTTAACTTCGGATCAATTTATGAATTCCTATAAAATGATGTTTTAGTCTGCGCGTGAGCATCTGAGCGTGAGTTGTGGCCAACAGCAGCTTCTCAATTTGTGTTTGCGTCTTTCACCGGGCGATAAACAGATAAAAGGTGTCAATCACCACTGTGGCTCTCCTTGCCAGCACGTTACTGAAGCGTACACATATCTCAAATTTAGGCTTGCAAAAAAATTCTACCAAGCAAAGGCTTGTTACCCAAAAAGCTGACAAATCGAAGCACTCATATGTGACTTAAGATGAGAAGAATAAGAAGGAAATTACCTTAACAAAGCAAAAAAATTCTCCCAAGCAAAGGCTTGTTACCCAAAAAGCTGACAAACCGAAGCACTCATATGTGGCTTAAGATGAGAAGAATAAGAAGGAAATTACCTTAATTGCTGTATTTCTTTGCCTCATGTCTTACCTCTGTGTCTGCATGCGTTTTGGTGACAGCGTTAGCCAGCGCGCCGGTGCTCAATCCACCTTTAACGGAGATGAAACTGATTCCTGCATTTTCTTGAATGTACACATCCACCTGAAATTTGGGATAAAGAAGTTGGACCAACGCACTGATTGCAGATTATTGAGCGGCCGGCGCCAACGGGGGAGACACACACCTTGAAGTCGTTGACGGGCTGCATGGGGCGAGCGTGGATCTGCAGCTCGTACTTGCCCAGCGTGCGTTTGAGTAGTTCCTCGTAGGTGAGTTCAAAGGTCACCTTTTTGTGAGCGGCCACTGTCACAGAGGTCTTAAACTCTTCAAGAGTCCTCCCAACTGAGCTGTGAAATTTAAGCAGAGAAACACTGTAGCAGCCTTTCATTTATTTTCTGTCATGTTGAGACAATAACAACATCAACGAAAATGCTGGGTTGTTTTCTCAACCCACTCACTGCGTAGCCGTGGATTGGGTTGTTACCCAAGGCTGGATTCATTATTTTGACCCAGCAAATTAAATATTGATGACCTGACAACCTGGGTAGTATCTGGGTAGTTTTAACTCATCAATTTGCTGGGTCGAAATATTGACCAAATGTGCTGTATAATTAACCCAACACTAGCGCGCTTCCTTTTGGACCCAGCGCTAGGTTAGCCAACCAATTTGGGTTACTTTTATCCAAGCAGTTTTCTAGTGTAGCCCCCCGATGACTTTTAGCAAAAGACAGACAACACCCTGGATTGGTCACCAGTCAATTGCTGTGCACTTAAAGAAAGACAACCACATCCATATATATATATATATATAATGTTTTAAAAAAAAACCCAACACGACAGCTCTCTTTATTTCGGAGCTGCAACATTCCTTTTCGTTGATAATAATCTTGTATCGTACCTGACGATGCCAGCGCTTTCACCGCGAGACACAGCATCAGTGTACTGCTGCTCAGCCGCTTCTTTAGCCTTCACGACCCCATCATACACCTGGCCGTCCATAAACCTGCGGAGAAAGTCAAGAAAAGGTCAAAGTCATTCCCTGATCATAGTGCTTTATTTTTTCCCATTTTGCTTTATATACACAAGAAAGATCTGAAAACAGAATTTATTTCAGATTGGTGTGTTTTGAAACAGGGCCAGGTTAGATACTGCGTTTGGGAATTTGTCTCTTGGCGACATTTTTGTTTGGTGGCGTCCAGTGAAAGTTTTCAGAAGTGAAATGTGCCTTCCCTTCATAAAGTTTGAAAAACTCACTTTCATTTAACAATGTGTACTGTGTTCTCTTTCTACTTCCAACACAACTGTATATGTCCCAACAGCAAATGAGCGGCAAAAAAAAAATCTTTGTGTGCAGTCACGGTTGTCTTCAAAGTGCTCTATGATATAAGTAACGTGATGAGTTGAGATGTAAGAGTTCTTCACTGCACCCACATTCTGAATTTGCTGATGAAGGCATTCTTGGGAATCCGGACGTGGAACTCGATTTCTTGGGATTCGTCTTTACGGTTGGCCACACGGCTGGTGATGATGGTGGTAGCGTAACGACTGGTCACCGTGGAGTTGATGTGAAAGCTGTAGATCTCCCAGTCATCCTGAGCAAACAGTTGGGGAAGGGGTGGGAGGGTGGGGGAGGGTGGTTGAGTCATTGGTCTGCCAGTCATCTGAGCAAAGATCAAATCATTGTGGAAAAACAAGCATGATGGACATGAAATGTCATTGGTCTAAGGGAGAACACCCTAATTTCCTTCACTTTTCACTCAGTGTAGGCTGAAGCAATGACTTCATGTCCATACTTGAGACGCCAAAGAATGTTGGATATGTTGCGGATTCCTGTCTGCGGCATCTGAGACACACTAAAGGTAAACCGTTACACTGGGTACACCGCTTCAAACTGCAACTTGTGAAAAATTCACAACAAAACATTGTAAAATAACAACTGGGGGGACACACTGTCTGTGGATGATAATTACATTTTTGCCATTATTTGCAAGGTTGACTCGACACCTGCTTGAATGGGTAAAAAAAAACTGCAGGCATGCAACAGTTTAAGTCTCCATTGCAATGAGAGACTTATCAGTGCCACCATGTAACAAAAGGGCGGACGATCTTTTTATCTGGTCCCACTTGTGAAGCAACAACTACATGTAAATTTTACTGAAATATTTCATAAGCTGCATGTTCATGTTAATTCAGCAGATGGGGGATGTTTAATTTATCAACTAAAACTGTTCCAGAGCAATTCCAAATGCTAGATTTTTCCCTTAAAATTGATTTTTTTTTTTTTTTTTGTCCTTGCCTTGTCTGTGTCATCAATCATCCTCCCTTAGGTTGAGTGGTGCCAAAAGCCAAAAGTAGCCCGAAGATGCTGATTTGGAGCACAGTTCTCTCCATGGTGGCGCCAATGAGAGTGAAGCCACGAAATCCAAAAGCTGCCTTTTATACCCAAAAAGAGCCACGGGGCAGCATGAATGTGTTCGTAACGTCAAGCTAAAGGGCAAACTCCTCTTTCTCCCTGGTCCAGTTTAAATAACTCTCTCTCTCTCTCACCCCCACATACACTCCAATAACACATACAAAAATACAATATATCCAACTGCAATATTGAATGAGATGCAAAAGAAGAGTCTTTACAGTATACCAAAAAACATTGAAGCACAATTGTGATCCAAAATGAAATTTGTGTTCAATAACTTCTAAATTGAGGAATTAAACATGATAGGAAAAACGAGGTGTAACCGTTCAAAAGACAAAATCAAAAACAAACAAAAAAAAAGTTAAATTAATATACTTCAGAGAAGGGTGAGCATTATTATTTTTGTAAAAGCAGAGTTATGCAGCTTCTGGACTGGATTATTGACCTTTCGTGCAATGCCCGGAAGAGGGATGACAGATAAACAGTTTACCAGAAATGGAACTGTGTTAACATTACAGCCTGCCTAAAGTGCTTGCGGCCGCTATACATACAAAGAAAGTCAATTCTTAATCCATGTAGCATTTGCTATAGATTTTGTTATGACTCAGTTAATTACTTTCTTATCCAGAGGCTTGAAATTTGTCTTTCAAGATCAATACTGTAGTTCCAATGGTCTAATCAATTTGTTAAGCACTGTTCTGTACCATTTTTTTATTTCATCTCCTTGCGTTCAGCGCGTTTGTCACCGGTATGGACTCAGCAGCCCAAAGCATTCATACATTGCAAGCAGGAATAATGACAAGGGTTGGGAGTAACCTCCTCAACGATGCACAAAATGTTTTACAGGGAAAGAGAAATTGGACTCAGATTATGATCAAATGAAACCTGCCTTCAAAAAATATATGCTTTGAAACTGAAAGCAGTTTGACATGCTGATTGTGAAGACTCTTAAAAGGCTTTCCGCTAAGCATGTGTCATGTGCTCAGAGTCTGCAAAGAGCTTTCAAAAAATTTGCTGTCTACATGTCAGGCCAGATGAAGCAAAGTTGAAATGGAAGTTGTGTTCGAAGGTGAAACAATTTCAAAGGGATGGCACAAAATTTATGAGAGGGCTTAGATTGAAGTCACACAGCTTCCCTATATGCTTTGAGAACAAAAAAAATAACTAAAAAAAAACAAGAATGCATTATACAAATGAGATATAAGACAGGCTTTCATTGTGTGAATCACATTCTTGGTGTACTTTATAGCATCACCGCCAACCTCACAGGAACTCTTCAAAAAAAAAAAAATCCCTAAAGGTAACAATATTGTTGCATGTTGTCTTGAGAGGGAAGAAATTTCATTTTGACAATAAAGTTGTACTTGACTTGATACGTACCGCTACAAGTTAGAAGTGGACATTTCGGGTTCTGCTAAAGTTTTGAGCTCTTTGGGGAAGCTCTTCCTGAAATTTTGCTTTCATCACCACATTGTGAATGTCAATGTATTCACTGTAGACTTAAACAAGTCAAGGTGTGTGTGTGTGTGTGTGTGTGTGTGTGTGTGTGTGTGTGTGTGTGTGTGTGTGTGTGTGGGGGTGGGGGTCTTGATTTGGATTGATTTAAGCACATTGTATAGGTGATTATTATTTTTTTCACAACCTGTGATATTTTATGACCAGCAATGCGATGACATTATAGCATTTCAGCGAAATTGTTTTTTTTTCTGTCCATTTTGCTAATTCTTATCACATAATTTAAGGATATATTGAGAATAACTCATGGCTGCTTCGGACCTAAATGCTCATCTTCAGAAATTACCATACAAGGCACACTCACAACTGGTTTTCACCAGAAGATAAAGTTCCTTCCAATCTCTCGGTAATAGTCCAAGTGCTTGTGCTGGAAATGTTTCATTGGTGAGAACAAAAAAAAAAAAGAATTGGGAACACACAACCTTGGGCTGAGTAAGCAAGTCGGCTCGTCTGGTCCAGAGTTTTCACAGTGGCAGCCGTTGATGCTCACTGCTGAAAAATTGCACTGAGACACACACGCACGCACGCACACACACACACACAGAGCAGCTGCAGCAACAAGCTAAGCATCATCCGCTGTGAGGTGTACAAACTAACAGGAACTCCTATATTACACGCGGGAGCTTGCTCGTCGGGTGACGAGCAACACAACTCTGTAAATCTCACCAATGGATGTAACAATTCTGAATACATTACAATTTATATACAAGCAATGATGTGAATCAGCAGTTAGAAACCAACTTCCAATCTACCACTGCTCTGCAGTCAATGAGAATATGGCATGATATGAACATGAGGTATGCAAATGAGAGGCCAGAGGATGCGCCAATGGTAACATAGGCGCTGCTTAAATACATTATATACACGATATGAACGTCATGGACTAGAACTACTGTGACATTGCTTTTTGGTACAAGACTTGGAAGACACATTGCTACTCAGATTAAAGAGTTTTTGCTTTGGGGTCCGGCAGCTGATATGTTGCACTTTGGATGGAATCATCCTGGCTTGCGGGAGTGCCGGGAAAGGCAAAGATTCCGGAAGGAAGGGCGAGGGCCACGCCAGGTGATTGGCTAAGAGCGAGAGGAGAGGAAGAGACCCGGCGTGGGACGGGCGAGAGTAGCTGACAAACCCTGCCGGGCCTTGTGGAGGATACGTTGGTCATCGCCATGCCGGCGCTGTCAGGCCATGACGGGGGAAGATGGCCGCTTTCCACACCCGGCGTCATCCACGATGACACCTTGATTTGGATAATGGATTAGATCAGAGATTGGCAACTTAAAAGATGGAAGGGCCCATGAGTTTTCATCAGTGCTACTCGGGGGCCACGCGCTTCCTAACCAGATGGATGACGAAAATTTAAACTATGGACAAAATACGTGCCAAATAAGTGCTTTTACTCTACAATGGATTTCATTTTTGATAATACTTTTCTCAATGCAAGTATAAAACATCCACTATTCAACAACTAAAGTGTTTCAAGCAATAAACTAACCACATACTGTGATTTATTTTTGTTTCAGGCTCTCTTGCATAAAAATCACTTTTCAAGGGCGGCACAAAACCGTTGAACAGTCAGCCAACATTTACCGCAAGAACTCATTTTGTGCATTTTCCCATAAAAATCAACTCGTACAAAATCTGAATAGTATTGACATTCTATGTTTGTCCAGCATGTCATTCCAAAGCCGCAAAAACACATTTTTAGGCCTACTCATGTGGTCGTTTAAGGTATTATCGATTTATTTTCAAATAAAGAGTGTCATTATAAACCTGTTAATTTTTGTGGGGGAAAAAAATCCATAAAATGAACAATTGCAATTTTTTTCACGCTGTTTGTAATACCTATGTGTGATATACTACAAACTCACCTCTGATGTACTTGGCACCTGACTTGGGGCAACCATCTGATCCAAAAGTTGCGGCCCCCCAATGCGCAAGGAGTTCGTGCGGGGCCTGTGAGTGACAATAAGAACCTCCTGCTTCCAGTCATCCATCAGTCTTTGCAGATCTTCAGGCAAGTTGATGGATGAACCGGCGTAGGTTGCCGTCTTGTTGTTGCTATTATTGGCTTGCGCTTGTGCCAATCCCAACACTGGCTGATGAGGAGGAGGCGTGGCAATGGTGGGTGGCTGCTGTGATAGATTAACAGCTCCTAGCCCAGTACTGGGCCCTGCCATGAGACAAAAACACAGCACACATGGCATAATTCTCTCATGATGAGGACTACAGTGATGTACGCCAGTGATTCCCAACCAGGGAAAGTTCGGAAATTATTTCAGTGGAACCTTGAGAAATGACTGACCCGACTCACAAGTTCTCCGAGACACAAGTTGTTAATATTTCGCTCTGACTTGCAAATGAAAAGTGTTTGGTTGAAAAATGGGTAAAATGTGGGGAAGAAAAATTCCAAAATCTGAAAAATATTTCAACATTTTGGTGGAAAAAATAGCAACCCAAAAGAAATCTGTGAGTGCCGAACAGCGAGTAGGCGGGGTTTAACTACTAATGGAACTTGCCGTAAATGAACGATTGAAGCAACGGATGTTTGAACACAGTGCGGCAACATATGTAAACAATCAATATAATACTCACAGGCCTGTATTCTTTATCCTCTGCCAAAAATACTGAAATTACTGCAGGATTCTGAGTCACATAGAGCAGTTGTGAATCTCCTCTTTGTTTGTGTCTGCATGATTGCGTTATACTGCCCCCGGTGGCCAAGTTGCGCATACCAGAAGGAACTGCAATTAATTCATCAAGATGAACAATTTATTTATACTCTCTCTCTCTCTCTCTCTCTCTCTCTCGATGATTTTCCTTTTATTAACTTTTTTAATCTACTGTATCTCTGCGAGTGATGTATAGTGACAGACAGAACAATTAAATGGTTGGTACTATTGAGGATTTTTTTTTTTTTTTTTTTGATAGCGAGCCGTGAGTTTTTTTGGTCTGATGTAAAATGGGAGCCGTGGCTAAATAAAGGTTGGGAAACACTGACGTAAGCAACATGATTGCAAAGTCATTGACATACATAAATGAACTACATACTGTTGCCTCGCTCTTTGCCAAGACACAATCGCTTCAGTGTTGACCCTACGAGACAAAACAAGAGTTTATAAAACTTGTCTCAGACTCGTTTTTGACAAGAATAGCGTACGTGACCACAAGATGCATTAACAAAGATGCTGAAAAACAAAGCAAAAAATAAAAATAAAAAAGACGCTAAACTTGAATTAGAAGCAAAATGGTCAGCCTCGTGAAATAAGCGTAACAGCAAAGTGCAGCGTGAGGAGCAGAGATAAAGACTTATGAAGATACATGCCTGATATTGCAGACTGTAAATATAATGTGACTGACTCAGCCGCTCACACACTCACTGACCACCTACGCATCACATGAGAAACAATACAAGGCCTCATCAATATTCTATACATAAGGTAATGAATAATGATGAGTTATGAGGAGCATTAAGCATTCACACGCAATGTCTTGTCGTTCATTATTGAACAATAACATTGTCGTTTACGCGGATGGAGAACTGCCTTGCCTCATACTGGGAGCTGTTTTGTCATGAAGCAAACGAAGCATTAGAAGCAGCAGTGGAACTTTTGATGCGGTTCATGTAGCATACATTATTCGATAAGCACGTTGTGGCCAGTGAGTGCTTCAACCAGTTTGGATCTGGGACGGTGCACTGACAGTTCATGCGAGCAAATATTGTGTTTATCCAAACCTATGCCATACCATTCGTCAAAGTTGTCCTTTTTCTTTTCACTTTATTTTAGTTCACATGTAAAATACTTTTTGTTTTTCCATAAGTGACTAGCCAAATTGAAATCATACCTTTACACCTTCATGTCAAATTACCAATTTGTCAACTCTGCAGCTATTTGAATAAACCGGACATAATGTAGAAACCACGGTAAAATGTCGGAAAAAAACAAGTGGAAAAAAAAAAAAGCAAACAAGCTGAACAAAATGTAAAGACCATGATGTGTGTAACAGGAAAGACAGAGACGCAAAATAAGGGCAGCAAAGCAGCAAGAGAAGAGATACAAACAGATAGATAAAGGCACAGGCCCACTGAGAAATCTAGCTCTGGGCTTGCTACTGGATTTATAAGCCACTCTCTCGCTTGGTTGAGGGTAATGAGCCCAGCCTGGATAGGAGTATAATCAAAAAGGAGAGAAGACACCAGAGTAAGAAGAACACACATTCAAATAAATGCCACAGGAACCAGTTCATATGTTGGTCCAATGTCAGTAATGTGTTGCTTTGTTAGCTCTCACCTAGTCCTGGTGGAGCTTGTGTGCTCGTGCCGTCCCCAGCATATAGTGTAGCATAAATGTTATCGGAGGACAAGGAGCCCTTGAGGGAGCAGGGCTGCTGAGTCTGCACGGGTTCCGAGGTGGAGCTGGGAATTTGACTGGGACAGGATGGGTCCCTTGCAACGGACGCCTTGGCCGGAGAGCCGTTCAAACTCACAGTTGCCTCACCTGTTCCTTGGACAGCTAAGGATAAACACATACATCAGGGTGGTATCCATCCTACACAACATTTAGGAGGATTATTTTATTCTGTATTTACATTGGGTATACAGCACTCATAAAAAATAACAATAATTAGGAACAAAACGGATGAGTATTTAGATGGGACTGAAAATTGTGGCGAGAAGTGGTATCGGAGTGGTTGTGGGAATCGATTCTATGAAAGAGAGAGTTATGGGAATGATGTAGAAATGATACAGTACATTATGATACTCACTGGGTCTGCTGGAGTCACCAGATTTATTTGTGACATGTCGAAATTGCTGAACCAGAGGGCTGAGGAGCTTGCCAGGTTTTAGCCTGTGCTTGCCGGACCTTTTTCTGCGACCTGTAGGGGGTGCAACGTGCGAGTACATCAGGCCGGAGGGAGGGACTTTGCCCAGTCTGAGATAGAGCAACTCCACTTCTCCTCTCTGATGGGCCTGCAGCTCAGAGATCTCCCTCAAATGCCTGAAGGAATCGGAGCAAGAAAGTAAAGCTCATTTCTTCAATAATACATCTCATTGTATTTTTTTAATCGTGCTTTTTTTTTTACAGTGCAAGAATCAAACCCAGAACCTAGTCTGTGATTCAAACGTGTTAGCCACTAGCACACCATATTGTCCTACCAGAAACCATCATCAACCCTAATCCGAGCCAATCCTGAATGTCTGATTGTTATCATTCACGCTATAAAGACTTGTACAGTATTGCTCACTTCTCCCGGAGCGTCTGTAGTTCTCTCTTCATGTCGGAGTCCTCCATCTCCGAGTCATTATCGCTGCTGGCGTAGGCCGATCCGTACACGCCTCCATGCCTGCTCGGAGAATCCGAACTCTGCACGCTGCTGCTGCGCCCTGAACGTCTGAGGAAGGCCACCGCCCTCTTCATCAGGTCACTTCCTCTGCGCTCAGAGCGAGTGTGTTGACTCGGGGTAGCAGGGGCCAGTTTGGCAGGGCTGCTCTCGGCCCCCGAGTCTGACGAGAGGAAGCGAGCGTGGACTGTGATGTCAACAGGTACGGAGGCTGAGGTGATGGTATGAGGCAAGGAGCCCTGGGTAGCCACGGAGGAAGGCGTGTCCAGATAGAAGTCAGGAGGTGCAGAGTAGCGACTGCAACGTGTCCTCTGCGTGATGTCATCCTCGGTGCTGACCACGGAGAAGCGACCGATGGTGGTGGAGGGAGTCAATCCCTCAGTGGGAACATTGTAACCGGCAGGATGTGCTGGCGACGCCACGCTGCTCCAGCTCCTCTGCTTCACATCACGCTTGTTGGCCACTTCGGGAGGAACTGAGATTATCTGACAAAAAAGAGAGAGATGAGTGTGCCCTGCTGTACTCAGTTGAGTTTTTTTTTTTGCATCTAAACACACCTTAAACCGGCCTCTTGTCCCAGAGCAGGAGACAGAGTGAGAAACATGCCTTTTGGAATGGGATGCTGCAGATAATTTCAAGTTAACGCACACACACCAAAAAAAAAAAAGCAAGAAACATTGAGGAACGCATGAACAGTGAAGCACAATGTTTGAAAATGTCCTGATTTAAGACAGCACAGTACATACCACACACAGCCGAGTCACTCAGAGTGCTCAAACTATCCATTCTCTCAGGAATTTGAGGCTATAGGAGACGATGGACAAAACGGGTAACAGTCATGAGTGTTTGTTGACTTGTAGCTATCACAAGAAAATCTTGAGTGATAAAAATGCACTGTAGCTAAAGCATCAGACCAGTTTGGTGCCCTGTCACGAATTTTGTCAAGCAAACATGAATATAACCTAAAGGATCAGTACTGTTTACCGAACCTACCAGTTGTTCTCCTGCTCTGTAGCGACTCTCCTCCATTGGACCTGGTGTACTGTTTCCTGACCCGCCCGTGGCACTGTCTGGACCAGGAGGAGATTGGATGTACTCTGTACCAGAACCTGGTGTATCCGCTGTGCTTCCCGATGGATACATGGGAGCGTATTCCTGGTAGAGCAAGTTCCGAAGTTTCTCATCTAGTGTTTTGATGGTGCTGTCCACAAAGCCTCCGCGACCCAGTCGCCCTTCCCCGTCTGACTCGCCCGGTCCTCCGCCGTGCTGCGTTGGCGCCGGGCTCTGGGGCAGTGAGGACACTTTGGCCCCTCCCACACTGGAGAAAGGCTGGTGAAGCACCACAGGCTGCTGCGAGCGCTCATTGCGCGCGGCGGCGGTGGCGTATGAGAGAGACAGCGACTCTTTGGCTGAACCGGGCTCCTGGGGTGGAAGAGGAGTGAGCGGGGACCCGCCCGGCGAGCTGCTTACATCCAGAGACAGGGGCATGACCAGAGGACAGCAGGGTATTTCCTCCGCCACAGAAACAGGACAGGTGAGGTCCGCCATATGTGAAGTGGAGTGAATAGGGGAGGTGGCGGCCGCGGGGGATCCTTGTGGTTCGTCCATTTGAAAAGGGGGTTGTGGAGATGAAGGTGGCAAAGTTTGAGCTCTGGCCGGCTGGGCTTGATGCACACCGCTGATTGGCTCCAATGACGGTACCGACTGAAGAGCCGGAGGGGCAGACACCGGAGGAGACAGGCTGGCCAAGAGGAGAGGGTCTGTGTTGGACATAACCGGGGGACTACAGAAGCCATACACGTCATGGATGAAACCTCCACTGCCACCAGACATCGTAGAGGATGAGCCCTCCTCAGCTACAGAAAAAAAACCCACAAAGGGATCATAACAATGTCACATTTCTTTTCGACATACTCCACGAAAAGATTTATGATGCATTTTCATCCAGCTGCCTTAAATGTAATCCGAATTTTTCACAGCAGATGAAAAAGTAGTCACCCCGGGATGTGGAAGGCCTGCCTGGCAGATGCGTGTTGGCTGAACTGCTGGGAGACTGCGAAGTTGTACCCTCAGATGTGGGCTCCTGGCTGGAAAAGGGGGTCTCCTCCACAGGACAGATTATGAACCATCGCTTTCCTGTGTGAAGAACTGCAAAACCCACGCGCTTCGAAAATTAACAAGAGAATGATGAAAAGTCTTTGACTGTGAGGGATTTAAAGTGCTTTACCATTCTGCTGGTAGACCGGCTGGGATGCTCCAGATTGTTGACTCTGTAGTAAGAAAAGACACTTGTGATAGATGCAAATTTCCCTTTGTTGAATCTTGAATCACAATATGGCCAAAAGTATTTTACGAAGAACTCATGGAGGAAAATATGGAGTTGATCCCCATTTCGGAGCTTCAACAGCTTCCACAACAAGACTCGATACGAGCTGTTGGGAGTGTATATTTGGCTAATTATAAAATGTGTGAGGTCACGGGTGACAGACACTGTACCCGAGAATGAGCCACACGCATCCAACCATACATTTATGCACCTTGATTTTTTTATTTTTTTGCACACGGTCTTGCTGGAACAGTTGGAAGAACGTAACCGGAAAAGCATTGACAAATTCAGGGAAAATCTCATACTTGTGTACGTATAATGTATTCTATTCACTCTATTAATCATTTATTTTGGGAGAAATGTTGCTCCACTTCCATTACCTCTCCTACTTGTCCGTCAGAGGTCTGGCCTTGTAACGGGCTGGAATTCAAAGTCGATACCCTCTCCCCCGCCGTGTCGTCATTCAACATGTCTTCGGCTTTATCTACAATGTCCTTTAACTGGTCGATGAAGATCTCTTTTTCTAAAGGAAGGATAAATCCATTCTCCACCTAAAGTCAAACAATGCCACATGTTCAAGCACAAGCACGACACTAGATGAGAAAGAACATGAACATCAAGTTCAAATGTTGGACAAACCATGTATGTGGCAATTTCCTCTGGAGCATCACCATCCAGATCAAATTTAAACGTCACCATTTTGTGATTGTGAGTCTCCAGCTGACATTCAACCATCTTGTCACCCGTGTTGCAAACCTGTAAGTGCAGAGGTCACATTTTGCAAACGAGAATCTGGTTTGAGGAAAGTGTAACCTTGGAAAACAGATGATTCCTGTTTCTCACATTGAGCATGCTCAGTTTGGGTTTGCTCATCTTTTCTTGCCGAGAGCGCGTCCGAGTTGACTTGCGATGATGTTTTCTGTGTTTTCCTTCCCCCTTTCCTCCACTGGCCAAGCTGTCATAGCCATCACTTGCTTCTTTACTTGATGCAACATCAGAGAAGGGGCTGGGAGAAAAAAAACGAAAAACAAAACACTGTTGTTGAGGCACACGAATACAGTAATGACCATTTTTAGTTAATGAACAGAATCAAAGAATTGCTTGAAAAATGCACACACACCTGTCATAGGCATAGTTGGGCATTGAGACTGTTTTTTCGTGAAACACATCCTGAAGAGAGAAAACGCAGGGAAATTTCACTAAGCTGGTTGAATTAAAAAAAAAAAAAGTTAGCATATTTGTATTATTCTTTGTTGATTTGCAGGTGTTATTAATAAGGCATGTAGAACTCAAAATGTAATATATTACCCACTTCACGATAAATGATAGGCAGTCTAGTTTCCGCCATACCTCGGTGCAGGTATCTTGCTGTAAGGTGGAAGAAGTAGATGGTGTTTCTTTTTTCGGACCAGCTTTTGGCTGGCTTATACATTCGGATGTCATTGAGACTGCTGTCTGGATTCCAGCAGACTGCAGAACTGAAGCTGGGACAGAAGTGGGAGCAGGAGTAGCAGGCGCAGCTGGTGGCGGGACGGAGTTTGGTACTGAGACCAACACAGGTACAGAGATCTGGGTTTGTCCCGATGCCGAGGAATCATCTAAGGCTGAAGATGAGACTTTTGGTGAACCTGATATTGAAATTGGGGTTTCAGCTGCGGCTAAAGCTGCGGCTTGAAATGAAACCGAAGCAGCAGACTGAGCCGGCATTTGGCCTGCTGCTTGGCTTTTTGGCTGGATCAAAGCTGCAGTTTGTGCTGAGGTTTGGGTTTCGAGATCCGCTGCAGCTGAGAGTGATGCTGAGGTGTGAAAGGTAGCGGTTACATTTAAATCCGTGCCAGCTGCAGCAGTTTCTATATCTGTTCCACTTCCCCAGACAGGAATCTGAGTAGTAGGTAGAACAGGTTCAACTGGGGCTAAAAGTTGAACACCTTCTAAATTTGACTGTGGAGTGTTTGTCTGCACCTAGGACAAAAAAAAAGAAGCATATTTGGGGAATAGATTAGTAGATAAAGAAAATGGCTTCCAAATGCCCAAATGCATGACCTGGGCATGCATTGCACCAAGGGCTAAGCACCATTTGTCCACCTCATTTCCAATCACCCAACCATCACAGTTTAGAACTACATGTCAAATATTCACCTGTTCAGCCACTTCTTGCTCAGGGTAGGAAACGGGGTATGGGGTAGGTTGTGCCTGGGAGAGAGGTAAGGAAGGGGTGTAATGGAAGCTACTAATGTTTAGATAGGATGCGGTTGGGCCACTCTGCTGCTGCGGCACTGCAAAGGACATGGTCAGAGCAGGGAATGTGCCAGGGAGTGCTACACTGGACACCTGCTGAGGTGCGGACTGGAGGATGCTAAAAGCAGAAGGAGGATTCAGGGGAATGATGGTGGGGTGGGGTGAAGGTGAGTAATAAGGGCTAGCTAAAGGAGCGGGGGAGATAGGTGGAGGCTTGAGGCCCCCTGCTTGAACACAATATGGTGAGGGAAACTGGGAAAGAAAAAAGGGAAAATGATACACAATGAAAAAAGTCACCCATTCAATACAAACAAGGTTTGCACAGGTGTCATGTCCCACGCATATTTTCCTGAAACAACCTTATGTGACCGTTGACGGCAACTTCTTATGACACACCTGTGTGCTGATGTGCAGGGGTAGTAGAGGAGGGGGCGCACTGGTGGCGGACTGTGGAAAACCGGTCGCTAAGTCAGGAGGACTCGGGTGAGCTGTAGTCTGGTCAGCAGATAATTGCTAAGAAAGATAATCAAATACTGTGTTTATGTAAGAATATAAATGAAAACCACAGTTCAACTGGCATCATGATACTCAGTATTTAAAGGAATTCATGTATATGTACATGCATCCGCGACTACCCACAAACCCAGGAGTCCTCAGATCCATACATAGAACGGTTATGGCCGTAAGCCCCAATCCTGGCCCCAACCAGTTCAAAGGACTGGATGGCATCGTCTTATTTCTTCTGACCCACCATCGTGGCACAAAAGTTCCCAAGTCACATACCAAAAAAAGGGTTCAGGGTGAGTTTGGCTTTGGAAAGAAAGATGCATGTTTGTGCAGTTAAAGAATATCTGCCACAATAAAGTGAAGACTTCTGACACCTTTTTTTCAACTTGAAAAGGAGGATAGCTACTTGGGCCTATGTTAGTTGGTAAAACCAAAAACCATACCCACATCTATGCAGTTGTGTTGATGTCAACTAAACAAAACGGAGAACCTCTTGTTATGCTTTCTGTTGTGTTGATATCACAAATGTAAACCGTTTCAGTGAAGTACCTGGTCCTGGCCTAGTTGAGCAGTAAACTGCGTCTGTACGATGGGCGTCGCAGCTGGGAAGCTCTGTGCTGTCTGTCCACTGGGGTGCGTAGGCGGGGCTGGCGTCGATGGAGCAGAAACTGTCTGTCAGAAAACAAATATGACAGCCCACGTTGACTACACAATGACTCATCACGCAAAAGTGTTTGTATAGCGAGCGCTAACTCAAGCTCAAGGTCAAAATTCTCTGAGTGCTGAAGCAGGCAAAAGGTAGTATATCTTGTTGGGCAGGAATCCAAGAGGAGAGCTGGATAGAATGGGGGGAATTGCAGTGGCATGACTCACTGGGCCTGCGTATTATTTTGTGAACCATTGCACAGCCTATCTAAAATGAAGGCATCATTTTGGATAAGCGGGAGCAAAGATTGCTTGTTGTACATTTCTATTGAGAGGCTTACAGAAAGAAGCAGCTTGCGGGATCATAAAAAATGCAGCAGGCTGCCGCAGGAGCAGTGTTTGCCCAACACCTTCCTTCTCTAACCTACCAGTGTATCTGCTCTGCCTTTTTTCTGACATCTTGGTAAGAGGAGGCGTTTGTCCGGATCGGAGTAAGTAGAGAACACTGGGACTTTTAGACTCTGACTCTTGTCTACGTGCTCAAACAAAGAGGACGCGTGACGGTTAGCACCACTCTCTGAAAGTGTAGGTGAACTTGTTCTGCGGCCGACGATGTGATGGAGACAGCGGTTAAGATGACTGAGATCTCCGCCCTCAAATAGAGTCCTGCACAGGTCAACATTTGAAGGTGGGTCAGGCAAAATCATCGGTGGGGAGCGACGTTTCGACGAGGTCAAAACATAATGTAGATTGAGCGGACAGGATGTGGATGAGGCCGGTTTCGAGATTGAAGTCATCTGGGCAGATGTGAGCAAAGAGTGAACATGGGCGTGTCCCAAAGAACCCTTTCTCCTGGTCCTGTCCCACCGGTGGAGAGACAAGCAATTCCCACAGTGGCGGTCAGGCTGCGGCCTGCATGGGATGCTGAGTCGTTGCTCTGAGGGGCGGGGCGGCTTCAGGGGATGGAGAGGTGAAGTGGAGCAATTCGCTGAGTCATGATGAGAAAAGTCATGGGGGGATAGGCGGGCAGATCTGAAAGACGGGCTTTGGGAACAGTTAGAAAATAAACTGTCTCTGGCAGACGAGCAGGACAAACACACTCTTGAGTGAGTCCTACATTGGAACCTCTCAATCTGGGAGTCACTTCCATAGCTGGGGCACACAGCGCCCCTAGTGGTGATGCCCTGGCTTACAAAGGGATCACTGTGGTGATTCTGATCAGATATCATTCCAAGAAAGGACATAAAAACATGTTATTACAACATGCAGAGATAGTTGACTGTAAGAAGAAAAAAAAAGGGAGGAGATATTCAATATCCTTACTGTTTGAGCATTATCTGGCCCCAGGCGCAATTGTGCAGCAGGTTGTTGGTAGGTCCCAGCATGCAGCTGACCTGTAGTTTGCTGGTAGGCTCCCTGATGCAACTGTGTGGATTCTTGTATGAACTGGTCCTGCGAAGCCTGTGCTGTGGTTTGTTGGTAGGGGGCCTGCTGCACTGAAGACTCCAGCTGCGCAGGAGGGCTGTAGACTGACTGAACCGCGCAGATGGTCTCAGGCGGCGACTGGTAGGAGCCATTTTGATGTTTGCTGAGATCCTCCAATTGCATGGCGGAGCTCACGCCACTGTCGGCTGTAAGAGAGAACTTTGTCATTAATCGCAGAAAGGACAAAGCGGGGACAAGGACATTGTTTTTTTTTTTTTGTTTTTTTTAAGAGTGATGACATAGCATGCAGGTTAATTCATTTGCACATTCTCACATGTAGTCGCTGTGGTGATGGGGACTGTACAAATCAAGGTCTGCTGCTCCACCTCTTGGTCGTCATACTCAGTTGCAGCCAACATGGTCCCCTGTTGTCCGGGCACCTGCAGGAGGTTCTGCTGCATCTTCTTAACAGATCCCTCGCCGTTTCCCGGTGAGACAGTGCGCTCCCTTCTCCATTTGATCAGGGCCACACGGTCCCGGATTGACTTCCCAACAACCTTGACATCGCAGTCCAGAAAAAAGCCAGACTCCACCTATGAGACACACAGGAGACGCTCTAAGTAAATACAGCACATATTGTATATTAAACAGACACATCAATAAGTCTTTTCATTGGAGGTACAATGGAGTGTTCCACTTGGCTGTAACCAGTGGAGGCGCTGTTGATTCATTCTCAACTAGTTTGACAAGACAATGACAGATATAGATCACAGATATGACAAGTTTTCTGACACATTGTAGCGACTGGGATTAAATGTCTTCATTTAATAAGGTGCATCATTCAAACACGTACTGTGTATTGTGCACTCACCAACCAGTTATTTAGGACTCAAGTGCACAATCTAATGACCGCACATGCTGTAATGGAAAAAATCTGTCTCAAAAAATAAAAAATGATAATAACGGTCTCATTTTCCTGAGAACTATTCATGTAACATATTATGTTTGTTGTTGTGCTTTTGTAGTACAGTATAGAGTTTACCATTTCTTGCGCAACAACTTCCGGGTCCTCGTTCGCCAAGTTAAAAGTGAATTCAATTGCACCAGTATCCTTGTACTTCCCCTTCAGCTTCTTTGGATCCTCAACCCACAGCTTCAATGCGATGGAGGATTTTTTCCCGTCATCCTCTTCATTGAGCTCCACTCTAACACCTGTATCTTCTGCAAAGAAGGCGTGGTTCAAAAGGTCCTTGATGGAGTACCTGCGGGAAAGGAGCAAAACAACAGCTACTCAGGTCACTGAATGAAGCACAGCACACAAACATGAACTGTGTCACAGCCAAATACTGGTGTTGACGTCATAACACAGGAGCAGCAGCACAACAACAGAGTTAAGGCTGTAGGTCAGCCTCGACATGCATGCATGAGTTTTGTCACACGCTGACCTTTCCTCCCATCTGTGACAGATGCACTCCCCAATTATCTCCTTAATTTCTGGGTCGCTTACTTTGCTGTAGCTGGCAGGTTTTACCCCCTGGGGGGAGAGAAAAACTTAAGTCAAGGTAGCAAGAGGATGGCACAAATTACACTGCGGTAGCATGAGCAAAAACACAGGGAAAACACTCCAAAAATGCACTTCAACTGTTTTTAATCGTCCTTTGTGGGACTTCCATTTTTTCATTTGAATAATCTTGCGCTGGTTTATAAGACATTTTAAAGCTACCGGACTGTCCACTCCGTTGTGCACGTCATAACCTGAAGGTGGCAGTTGTGTGACAGCTAGTTCACTGGTGATGTCGAGAAGAAGTAGACAGTGAGCAAACTAAAATAAAGCTTACGCGAAACTTCAGTAGATCTACAGTACTTGTTTCTAAAGACCACAGAATATGTTTGCATGTTGCATATGATTGTGTTTCTGACACGTTTGAACTAAAGGAGCAGTCGCATGTCAATTGTTTAAAATTATTAGAATAGCAAAGTGACTTTCCAAAAAATGAAACTTAACAAAATATGTGCAACAATTCAGTCAATAATGAGGTGATGAGGGCACTCTGTAGTGAGTCACATTCAGGTAACGTATTTAATTTCACTTTACCTTGATTTTAAAAGAAAAAAAAAATCATAACCATTTGTAATTTAAGAAAGCTGAATGGAGACTCACGCTGGTGACTTTGCGGTAGATTTGTGCTGCGTTTTGACATTCAGAGTACGGGTATTCTGATGTGGCCATCTCCAGCATGCACATGCCGAAGGCGTAGACATCCACAGCCTCATCGTAGTGCTCCTCGTACATCTCTGGGGCCATGAACTCTGGTGTGCCTAGACCATTGACACAAAGTGATTAATGAATGGAGCCTCGGGTGGAGCAAGAGTACCGCTAATAATTAAATTTAGAGCTGAAAGAAACTAATCGCTAGGGCCCGACCAATTAATCGGACGGCCAATTATAGCGGCAGGCCTTTTTGGAAATTAAGAATAAGAATCAGGACGAGTTTTGCCAATTAAAAGCCAATATAATCTTACTTTCTCATGAAACTGTAAATTCTGTTCAGTAGATATGGGCAGGAAGTAAAAGACAGACATGACTGACAGTATGTTACTCACACAATCTCCGTAAGATATATTTTGAAAATATTTGTAGTCATGCTTGGTGTGCGTATTTCAAACGTAACTCTGCCAAAAGGTGACATTTCCACATGTGAAAAAGTCATTGCTGTTTTTTTTTTTTGAAGGCATCACTTCATGAGTAGAAGAGAAAACTGGAGTAGAAGAAATGTGATTCAACGTTGAAGGACATTATGCATTAACTTGACTTATTATGTTCCTGACTGGATGTACTGCATGTATTTGTGGCCTAAATATCAAGCTAAATTCATCAGTTCAGAGTATTTTTGGACTTTGTTTTGGTTCTTGAAAATTCCTATGTGTTGGAAAGTTAACGAAAGACTAAAGGACAAGAGTATTTAAAATGTTTTAGCCATTTGATATTTTTCAAAGAATCCATCACTGACTCATTAGATTTTTTTTCTTCTAAGCATCAGAATTGGCCAAGAAAAAAACCCCAACAAAATTTACTAAGGTGTCAAATTAATGGCTAACCAATAACACTTTTAGCGAAGGAAGCCCTCTTCAGAGTTGCCAAGCCCAGATCGCCGATCTTGACAGAGCCCGTGGGGCCCGTGATGAAGATGTTGTCACACTTGAGGTCCCTGTGGATGATTGGGGGCGTCCTGGTATGGAGGAAATGGAGGCCCTTCAGGATCTGTCTGCACCAGCTCCGAAGAACTTTGGGCTTCATCACCTTGAAGCGCTTCAAATACCTTAAAGGGGAAATTGAATACAACCGTGGGAAATGGCGGGAGATGAGCTAACTTACATCGTGAACCCTTTTCACTCACGTTTTCAGTGTCCCTGAGGTCATGAGCTCCGTCACCAGAACTATGCATTTCTTTCCTTTCAATGGCGACTCCCAGAAGTCATAAAATCTCACAATGTTGGGGTGCTGAAGAGCCTTCAACATCTCGGCCTCCTCCTTGAACCTCTGCCTCTCCACCTTGGACAGTTTCCGCTCCTTTGGAATGTTCATGAAGACAATTACTTTTTAAGTACGTTGACATTCACCCAATTTTACTATCAGTATCCATGATGTGGTATCGGAGGAGGTCCTTAAAACTAAACACACTAGAGATAAAATCACCTTTCAATCTGCTCTTACAACGTGCTTGAGTAACTTCAGGAGGTGACTGTGAAATGCCTGCGACTCATGTTGAGAGTGGGCACGACTGTGGCGTAAAGGAAAACATGGGGGCTCTTTTCAGCCCATTTCTTTTCATGTGTTGAACAAATACAACAGTGTACACATCAGACCCATATTTCCGGACATTGCATGTTGGGTCTTGAGATCAATCCACGTATGCAAATAAAGGAAAGATGCAAATTTGCGTGATTTTGTTTCTTTTTATGCACACACTGGCTTGCAATCGAGTGGATCTGAAATCAAACAACAAAGGGGATTAAAGTACATCGTGTATACCGGGCCCTGCCTTTCCTTGAATTCTTGTCTAAATAATAAACAACCTGAACATGAATTTTGTTGCGGCTTGAGTTAGCACATCACAAACATGCACTGTTGAACGAAATGATGAGACTGCTTTGTAACACTCACATTGTTACGCTGTACTTTTGTGTGCATCGATTATAGACCGATGCCGAGGAGTCGGATTTCAGGAGGCCATTGTGACCTGAGCAGTGTGCAACCTCATGCATCTCGGATTACGTCTGCCCTGCAACGCTCTTGGCCTCCCTGTGTGGACTTTGCATGTTCTCCCACATTCCAAAAACATGCATGGCGGACTGATTGAACACTCAAATTTGTCCCTAGGTGTGAGCTTGAACGCGGATGGTTGTTCGTCTCTGTGTGCCCTTCGGTTGGCTGTAAACCGGTTCAGGGTGTCCCCCGCCTACTGCCTGAAGACGGCTGAGATAGGCTCCAGCACCCCCCCGCGACCCTTGTGAGGATAAAGCGGATCGGAAAATGGATTGATGGATGTCTAGCACTGGACTGATTGAACCACTTGTCTCTGCAATACATCCAGGAACACGATCTCCGAATCTATTGACAACATTTCTGAAACTGGACACTGAGCTGCAGCGGGGACAGAAAACTTTTGCAGCGCTGCACGAATGTCAACTGGCAAGCCATTGGCAAAGGAACGATATGCTTTGTAAAATTGCAAATCAATTTCAAATGCTTTGTCTAAATGACAGCTGAAATGAAATAGAAAACTGCCTTTTATCTTTTTCATATGAACCTCAGAACTGTGAGGCCAATGGACTAAATCTCAAGGTCACCGTGTTGCCAAGGATCATTAAACCGTGGTTAAAATAAGACTTTTGCCGACTGAAGCTTGTTAATATATCCCTGAGCTGTGTTTAAAAAAAAAAAAGCAATACTGAATCTCCTGAAGCCGCCCTTTCCACCCCCCTCTCTTGATGCAGAGGGCTGCATCAGCAGGATTTGCTCCCCAGGCGCAACTGTGTTGCACCACTTGGGGAGGTATGTGAACTGATGTTCAGAATTCAGCGCAACCTGATCAATCAAATGCCGAGCGGTGAGGCAGAGCGCTCGAAAACGGTGTCGCTACTGTATTTCACAAAATCGTAGCCTAATTCGTTTGATTCAACTCCCTCAGCGTGTTTTTTTTTTTTTTTTTTTTTTTTTTTGCGGCATTCAGCAGCACGCCCCTGAAAAGTCCGGATTCATGTGAGCCGCCTATTTTCTGCTATCTCATGCTGTGACTTATACAACAGCTACGCAAGCGTGCCTTGCTCTAAGAGAGGTGCGTAGGCAAGGAAGCTCGAAAGGGCAAGGCCTGGTCGCCAGGCACAGAAGGGTTGAATCATCACTAGAGCTCCCCTAAGACGCTGCTCAGACAACATAAATACAGCCACGCACGCACGGCCATACTTGATGCAGAAGAGCGTGTCTTCCCTGTCGCACATTGCACACATTTAACCCCCGTGGCCCTGCATTGTCGTGACGTTCTTTTTTTTTCTTTTGACAGATGGCGGAAAATACTTAAGATTGAAGCATTCTTCAGGAGATGCTTTCATCCCTTCAATTAAAAAAAAACTGATTCGAATGGATTACTTCAATATTAAAGATAGCATATTTCATATGATTGCAAAAAAAAGTGAATGGTTAACATTTTTGGGATTTTTTTGAAAAATATTGTTTTTACGACACTCTTGAATAACCCGTGGTGTTACTCTATTGAACAGTTTGTCAGAGTATGTGCTATGATTGGAATAATAATCATAATAATTAGTCAAGTAATTGTACATTGAATGAAATCCCTCATCAAAAATATCTTGAGTCAAAATAGATTCAAAAGTTGACACACCCCTTTTCAAATGTTTGTTTTTGTGAAAAAAAAAAAGAAACAAGACAATTTCAAAACATTTTTTCAGCATAAATGTGACCTATGAAATGTACGCCTCAATAATTAAAAATAATAATAACCTTTTCAATAGTGTTCACACCCTCTTGCAACCGGGATTTGGTTGTGTTAAGAATGAACCAATCACAATAAAACTCATGTTAAAAATTAAATCGGTGTCAGCACACATGTGAGTCCTCCCCAAGAGAAGATCATTTCCTTCAAGAACCGCAGTGAATCAATAAATTGACATTGACGGTCGTGTGAGCCTCAGTCACGATGTTATAACCATTAAGAAGGGAATTCATTGTAAATTACAAGATCATAAAATTGAGCTAAATTGCTGACTCAGTCTTGGCTTCATGGCCCGCTGCACCTGTACCACAGATTGTTCCATCTAAACAGTGCACCGATTTAACCTAATCAAAGTACATCTTGAGTCAGATAGTCATCCATCCATCCATTTTCCGATCCGCTTCATCCTCAAAAGGGTGGCGGGGGGTGCTGGAGCCTATCCCAGCTGTCTTCGGGCAATCGGTGGGGGGCCACCCTGAACCAGTTGCCAGCCAATCGCAGCCAGATAGTCATTTTTAAGTTAAAATACATTCCGTGAGAGAGAATATTTGAAGTTCTGAAAGGGCATCTGAGATCTAGGCTAATCTGCTCGCCGCATGGATGGCATTTAAACTGATCATTAGATTATATCATACAGTATGCAGCAGATTAGTGATGTGTCAAATTGCACTTGCAGTTATCAAGCAGCAAGTGTACCTTTGGCCAAAATACTGTATACCGGTCATAAATGCGTGTGTCATGTTTCTGGAATTGCGACAACACAAATACATTTAATTAATTAATTCATAGGTGCATCCATCTCTTTATAGTGGTTCTTTGTTTTTCACTAAGGTCAAGGGCAACTGGATGCTAACACAGCTGATTCAGGCGAAAGGCAGACTGCAACGTTTCAGCCCATCACAGTGTACATCCAGAAAAACACGTATTCAGGCTCACGTTCACACCTATAGACAATTTTATCTGACACTGTTGAAGTGGTATTAATTCAACAATGAGATATATGATTGGATCACCGATGGTGTAATTGTACATTTGCCTGACTTTGGTGCGGGCAGTGTAAGGTTCAGTTCCCATTCAGTTGTTTGTCTAACTGTATATGTCCTGCGACTGCGACTGAGTGCCAACCAGGATGGGTTGTTTGAATTCGAGAAATGCTTAGAAAAGGTGCATCCGTACAACCATTATCCCACCTTTTGCAGAGGTTACTCTTGACCAACTTTGAGAAAACAAGTGAGGTATTTGTTACCCGTAATCCTTTAAGGCGGCAATATTAAAAGCAACAGGCCACCAACGAAGTTTACCAAGACTGCGTGAAGAAGTTCAAGTGTTTCACACTTCTGCTGTGAGATGACGTCAGTTAGAAAAAGTGGAGTCCAACTCATTATAAATAGTGCTGTCTTTTCCTAAATTTGAAAGGTTTGCAGGCACCGCGACTTGTACAGCACAACCAATATATTCATTTACATTGAATTTCAATGAGCGTAAATTATACGTGGATTTTTGCTATTCGTGGCATGGGCTAGTAGGATAAATATACAAGCCGGTTAAAAATGCTGTTTCTTGTGATTGATTCGGTGATCGGTTATCGTTGTTTTCAAATTCGCTGAACGGCATTCGGTTCCAAAATCCTGATCTGTAAAAACCAGTACAGGTAATTACTGTCTTGTATTTTCATAAAGACGGATACTTTTGAAACAGCATTTTGACCCTATTGATGGATCTCATGACAAATGATGGAAGTTATGACGTCACCGGTCTCATGAAACCTACCTGGAGTTCGCACCATGCTACTTCGACCCAAGTCTCCGTGTCAAGCCCCTTGTAGACCGTCTTGAAGGAGCCCCTGCCCAACTCAATGTCGAACTTGAGAAAGCGGCCCCCTGGTGAGGTGGACACAGCTTTCATTCCCGGTTCCTCTTCGTTCTCATCACTTCCTGCTTTGCCTGTGACGTCGTGTGACACGCCCTCTTCCTTGACCTCGCTCTGGCACGCGTCACGTTTCTCCTCGCAGTCCCCCGCGCTCCCGGTGTCGTCCTTCACGTCCACCTGACCCTCCGGCCTCGACTTCTCCTGCTGGCCCACACGCGTGGCGTGTAAAGTCCGGTTCCGAGTCCGGCCGACGATGGAGCGCAGGTCGATGTTAAGCACCGGCGTGCTGTTGGCACACTCCGCCGTGTCCAGCGTCTGCTCCTCGGAGTCCGACACCCACAAACTCCGCCGAATGAACCTCTGACGGACCAGTCCGCGGTAGTCCGAGGAGGGATAGGCGCTGGGGTCGCTGGCTCCTCGCAGTGCTGTGTTCGGGACGTTGACATTGTCATCCGCGCCGTTTTCATAAATGGGCCTGAATGCATTGGCGTTAATGTCAGAGTCCAAATCGGGCGCCGAGGAAAACGTTGATCCAAGTGGAGGATCTTTGCTCGAATCCTCCGCTGCATGCATCCCTGCTAATGTCTTAGTCCCTCGGCATTGTGTGCGGAGGATGCGGATGAGGAGCGGTCCTCTCCGGTGCTGGCTCGCCTACCTGCAGCTGCGCTCGCATGCAGTGACGCAGTTCGGAAGCTCCCAATGTACGGCCTCGGGATTGTTTAAGATCCAGAGCACCCCCTACCCACCCCACCGGGATCGTGCGCGCTCTACTCCGTGCAAGTTTACCTCAGCGTGCACCTTGTTGCGACTTCATAGCACGCACAAATCCACTTGATGCCATTGCACCAACAACGACAAAATTGGAAAAAGAAAAAAAATGGACTCACGGGAAAACGACCTGCTGGTATGTGCGCACTAATCCCTGCGTTTATCACGGGACAAGTGAAGTGCGCAGATGCCATGCTCACTCAGCGACACGCCCGCAAATAAATAGCCGGCATCCGGGTGGAAATAGCGCGAGCTCAGTATTCCCTCCTCCGACCACACGCAGTTTTCTCCCAAGAGTGACATATTGGAGCGCAGTGCAGGAGCTCGGATAGAACAGGAGCGTTTATCAGATAATGCTCATTGCGGAACGTTTCCCACCCCTCACCACACGACACAGCCCGGGGTTCCATTTCTCATCGATGAAAGCGGGACAATTTGACGGCACCAAAGCCCACGCCCAACTGCAGCGAATCCAATCCAGGTTTTAGGCGACTCCCTCCATCTAAACTGGACTGCCGTAGTGGTGCTGGAACCATGTTTGGGGAAACAAGGCAATCCTCCTCCTCTCTCTCTCTCTCTCTCTCTCTCTCTCTCTCTCTCTCTCTCTCTCTCTCTCTCTCTCTCTCTCTTTTCGCACCACTCAATGGCAGCACCCACGTGGAAAACGTGTCAAGAGTGAATGTACCGGTATTTATTTATTTTTCTTTTAAAGAAGTACACTTAGCATCTGTCCTACGCACACAGAAAGTGACGTCAGTTTGCAGTTTGATACACACTGCTGAATGCACAAAGTTACATATTGTAAACACATTCACCATTTCTCACAATAATTACCAAAATTGTTTAACAAAGGATAGGAAATGACAAATATCGATACACACCACATCATTTCCATCTGCTCTGCAAATGTTTTCACATGATCGCTCTGGTAAATCCAAAGAAATCACAATATCCCATCACTTTGACTTTATTTTAGAACAGGCCCTTGGGCCTACCAACCCACACTATTGTCTTGGCACAGTGATTACGTAGGTTATGAGGAAAGGGTAGGGGTGAATAAAAAATTCTGTTGATGTCTGAAGATTTGTTATGAAGCGAAGAGACATAGTGATTAAAACTTTTTTTCAGCACATTTGAGGAATATATTCTCTGAATGTCCACAGTATAGTCGATTGTATGCTCTTGTGTCTTACCTGACAGCACGGTGGACAAGTGGTTAGCACATCTGCTAAAATAGGGATGTCAAATTCATTTTTGTTGCAGGCCATATCATTGTTATGGTTTAAAGTGAGGAACATTCACAAAAACTATTGCAAGATCTCAAAGCTCACTGTTGTAATAAGTGAAGACAATTTGCGACAAACATGAAATTGACACACAATTTGTCTTCGTGGGCCACATAAAATGATGTCGTGGGTCACATCTGGCCCCCCGAGTCTTGAATTCGACACCAGTTTCCTCATCCATTCTGCTGTTCGGCGTTCGAATCTTTAATCCGACCTCCCTGTGTGATATTTACACGTTCCAGCCAGGATAAGGCCAAGATCATCCGTTACAGCACAAATTGTACAGAAAATGAATGGATGGATGAGCATGTTACTTTTCTCCTCCAACCAGTGACAAAACATGTTGTAGCATGTGAAATTGTGACGACCAGACTGCAATACCGCTTTATATACACCAGATGGCAGAAAAGCGCCGAATACAGGAAACAAGTCAAGTTCTTCTGGTGCTCACTTTCCTCAACGGGAACATTACTCATTTTATATTTTCATCACTTTTTCCGAGTGCGGTGAGGAAAAAGAGGAGGGAAACCCCAAGCACGACAACTAAACTAGTGAGTGTAGTCGTCGTTAGCGCGAATCTGCCTGCCCTCGAGTCGGTGAAGGGGCGGGAGGGAGTGTTGGCTTTACTTCCCCCCTTCTGTCGTCACGACAGGGTTGTAATTCCACTGACCGTGACCGTGGCCCCCGACACACACACACGCTCGACCACCGCGGCTGTTCCAACATTCCCGGATTAATCCACGTCCTCCCGGTGCTGGAAGACAGATCGTTTATCGGAGATGGCAACAGGAGACTTAGAGATGAACGGCGATGCAGACCGGAACGGCGACGCGGAGGTAAGGCGGTACCGTTAGACTGGACCGAACCCCGCTTACTCTACTTGTGATGGGCTAAGCCGCAGTAGCGATAAATCGGTGGGGCTCCGCAGAGGCTGGAAACTGGAAAGAAATAATAAACGCTCACCGGTTTGGATCTAACCAGATTTCCCCCCACCATTCACTATTTAATGAAGCCGACACAAGCGTTTACATTTGACCGAGGAAAAGACCCGGTTCCGAGTAGTTTCAGTTTCACAAGCATCAAGTTAGCAGGGGAGTTCGCTTGAGCTGGAGACAGCATTCGAATGATGAAAAAAATATACTGTATACATATCTATAAATATTTTCAACAATGTGAAGGGCCGTGCCTTTTATTAAAAGGTAGGGACTGTATTTACTGTATACTGTATGTACATTAGATAGGACTTAATAAAACAAATTCTCCTTTACAATGGAATGCAATAGGTCCGGTGGCGTATACGCGTGTTAAACGGGCCTAATACATTAGTTGAGTCAATCTGTGAAAGATGACCAACGCTAACATATTGGTGGGGTCATGGGCAAAAGGGACGTAACAATGATGTCATCAATAGTGACTGGAAAATGAAGCATCCTGTCAAATTTCGCTGATCTCACCCATATGATGATCTTACAGTCACTATATAACTCAGCGGATTTCAAAGTGGGGTCCGTGAAGAATTTGTAAAAGAAAAAAAAAAGTGGTGACTTTTTTTTTGTGTGTTATGTGCATTCCTAGAGACCAACGTGCCAATAAATCAATAAAAGTACTTTTCCCTCCCTTAGCTTTGGGCCAATTAAAAGCTCTGATATGGTTGTGACATATAACATAAATCTGACATCCCTGCAACATGAAAAAGTCACAATTTGTTTTCATTCTTGTTTAAAGAATAAAAGGTGTCTTATTTACAGGCACACAGCCCTATTTTTTTAGAGCAACAAAAAAGGCTTTCTCGTTCTGTGTTTTTGAGAATAAAGGTTTTAATAATATTACTGAATTAACTGTCATTGTGAAACTGTAACGTTCTTTACTGGTTAAACTTGGACTTCAATAGTATATTATTACAACTTTAAAAAATGCAACTATTATTTTTACGTTACCACTTTTCTGTCGAAAAAATATGAATTTGTTATAATTGTAGGGGAGTGTGTGTGTGTGTGTGTGTGTGTGTGTGTGTGTTTTCCTTGGAAAAAAGTTATTCGCTGTAAATTTGAGACCCTCTTCATGTAGTGTACGTTTGTATGGTACATCCCACCCCCAATTAAATAGAATGTAAAGAACAAAATTGTCTGGGCTTTGATTAATTTTGGCTTATTCTGTGGTGTGCGAATTGGCCAACGGATGGCATTATATCTATCTACAGCCTGTCTATGGCGTTTCTGAATATGTGTTAGCATTAAGAGAGCAGACGTTAAAGCCACGTTATGGGGTTGTTTAAAAGAATTATGTTTTTGAATGTTTAGTTTGACAGCAAACTTCAACTGGGAGTGGCACTAAAGTAAACCGCTCGAAGCTTGTTTGTTTTAAAATTTGTTCACTTTGCCAAACTTGGTGTGAAGTGAGTTGAGTTGAGTTCACTGCTTTTCATTCTTAGCAGCTATACAAGTGTAAAAAGAAGTTAACTGATGTATGGAAAAACAAATAATGTACAGTATTTACCATTAATTGTGATGATGTGCATTTAGAGAAAAATTGCTTCCTGTGATGTGAGTCTTTTCACATACATCGCTCTGTACATTCAGTTTTTTTAATTACTGATTTCTACTTATAGCCAGTAGTCGTATTGTCTTTGCCAGCCAAATTTCATTTATCTTTCTGTCATAATCACATTTTGTCTTCAGACGCTTCGTGATCTCCCGTGAATTACTGAATTTAGTATGGCATGATGTCATGCGAGTGTAAATTTAGGACGTAATTCTCCTGAAAATCTAGAACTAGGTAGACTGCAGAGGTTCCTCCCTATTCGGGTGTTGCTACGATATTGCACTTGTCACCATTTGAATACAGTGTAGCTGTATGGAAATTCTAGTTTTTAAAAGAAACTTGATGAGTTCAAAACAATGATAATCATGATTTAAAAAAAAAACAACTACTATGATTTTTATTACACCTAGCATGTTTTTATGTTCTTTACACAATGTAAAAGCTATGTTACTGCAGGCAGGAATTAGCATCCAATTGTTGAAGAATAAATAAAGTAACTATGACAGCTATGCAACCATCAATTAATTAGTCAAATATGTAATCTCTGTTCTGATATATCTCCAAAGAACAATGAAGGCACGGAATCTTTAATTGACTTTTATGGGGGCTGAAATCCCTCACAATGTCCCAGAAGTTTTACAGACCCACAGGAAGAACCCAGTCCAAGTTCTTGAGAAAGCCTCTCTCGAACAACACTAAACTGAGGGGGGGGGGGGGGGGGGGGGCCAAAGACGATTGAAGAGAGGAGGAAGTGAAAAGGAAATAGTGTCACGATTGTGGCATTCTGGTCCACAACTTAGCCTTGTCAGTCGTAGCACAAGGCAGGCCCTTGTTGAAACTGCTGCTGTGTGCTCGGAGCAGATGAAACCTTGACAACTCATCTATGCAGAACTTGTCCTGCTGCCAGGGATGAGGGCTTCCTCTTATGTAAGGTTATGGGCATACAAAACAAGGAAGTCTGCGCATGGCTTCTTCCTGGCTGGAATGACCAGCCCCATTCCAACAACGCAAAATGGACCTGATGCCACATTCGATTTGCATTTGCTGTTATTTATCAAAGATGCTGAACATCTGAGTTTGTTCAGCGTTGTGCGTGATTCACGTGGTTGGCTTATTCCCAATGTCTCTGGGTGGAGGCCCCTGAGTATTAAATGAACCCACTAAAGTCTAAAAAAAGGATGTGGCGTTTACGACATGATTTGACCTTTATAATGAAAGCAGAACTGTTATCCTGTGGGTCATGACAGTGTTCCAAGTTTTGGTTTCAGCTCCTAAGCATTTTGACTTCCATCAGGGTTTCCCCACCAAGAAAATAACCAGCACAATGGGATAAACGCGGTTGTGCAATGCCCTCACCAAGACCCCATTCGCACATGAAGGGCAGCGTAGAAGTGCACTGGTTTCTCAAACTAAAACTCACGAATTGTGCCAAGAAACACATGTTGCTGGCTCGTTGGAAATTCCAGCTTGTACAAAAAAAAAGTCCCAAATTCCCCGAAAAGGAAATGAAAGCATACAATATTTCCTACTTCGGATTTTGAAACACTGCACCATCAAAAGCTGATTATTCAGTTGGAAATCAAGCACAGTCTCCAAAGGCCAAACTATTCAAGTTCATGAAATGAAAAGAAAGAACTTTAAACTACATTGAGACGGCATTTGAGTACCTATATAAATTCTATACATACACTATACATTGTACAGCCAACTGTAAAGATATACATATACAATATAAGGACGGAAAGTTTTAAAATGGAACAACTCGATTTGGTTCGGTTCAATGAGAACTGATTTTCTGATTAAATTGAATTTCCTTGAACCCTTAGTCCACTCCGTTGGACTTTTATTTGTTGTCTCTCATTGTCATTTTAGCTATCTTATATTGAACAGCCTGCACAGAGCTGTGCGTGCCACTTTTCTATGGCAAGTTCCATTTCTAGTGTTGTTGGCTTTTTTTTTTAAATCACGGTTCATTCAGTGATGTTTTAAAAGAATAACACAAGGTACACTGACTGTCCGTAGAGTCGAACTTCTAATTCAAGACTTCCACTGAACGGTCCTCATGCATATGGTCTTTGTGTTGCAGATTCCGCTTCAGGATCTCCCGATGAGGCCAAGGAGACCCTTGAACATGAACCATTACGCCAACAAGAAGAGCGTGGCACAGAGCATGTTGGATGTGGCTCTGCTGATGGCCAATGCCTCGCAGCTGAAGGCCGTGCTGGAGCAAGGCCCAGTCTTCTCCTTTTACACGCCACTCATCATTCTCATCAGCATCTCTCTCACCCTGCAAATCTTAGTCGGGATTATGCTCATTTTCATCGGTA